AATATTTATACAAATTTATTTCTATTTTTTAAGATGAGATTTTCATCATTAAAACAAAATTACAATAAAACCAAAGAATTCGGGAAATCAAAATGTGGATCCATTCTACTTTTTTTAGAAGATTCAATGGTGTCATGTTTTTTGTTATGTGTGTTTTTTGTTCTCCGATATTCTCCTTCAAGGGATTCATTTCATTCAATCGAATGATTTTTATCAAAACTATCATGTCATTTGATTCGTTTTTGTCGTTTAATTTGGTTAAACAATTTTCGACATTATCGACTACATCTCATCAACGTTTTTGATGTGTAACAACTATATTTTGATCATCGTAAATTTTTTAGCACCCGAATAAATGCAAATACACAGACACTACTAGCCTCATTTATTCATGTATATATAGAATCCTGTCCGTTTTCTTTATTACTATTCTTTGATCAAATTGAAACGACGTCGCAGTCGCTATATTTTTTTGATTATATTGTTAGCCATACGGAAAAAAAACATAGTTCCAAAATGATTTTGGATCAAGTCTTACTAGTATTGGTGCTGAAGCATTTCGTCGTCATCATCATCATTATTGTTGTTGTTGTCGCCGACATCGTCACTGTTTTTATATTAATGTATTGTATTCTCTCATTCTCTCTAGCTCTCTCTTTTCCTCTTTTGCTTATTCACTCTTTTTTGTCTCATACGCATATACTGTTGTTGAATTTTAATTCTATTCCTATTGCTGGTTTACCAGATTCTTTCGGTATGTTGTTATTATTGTTATATTTTTCATTCATTGTATAAAGTTTTTTTTTGTTGTAATATTTTGTCAACATTTCCTTTAAAAGCGCGCGTTTTATTTGAAATTAAAATTGGACAAACAACAACTGGCTCCCTCTATATTTTTTATTTTATAAATTCTATTCAAAATTCTTTCCATTCACTTTTGTTTTAGTGTTATTATTCTGAAACATATACAATCATTATATTTTGGTTTTACAATCACCATTATTAGACTAAATATTTGAATGCCATAAGAATTTTACTGAATAAATAACAAAATTTAATTATTAATTTAATTTATGGCCAATACATTAATGAAAAATAAAACAATGACCCCTTTCTTTTCGCTGATTATCCAATTGTTTCATTTTATCAAATTTTCATTTGTTTAATTTTTTTTCCATACTACTTTTATTATTATTGTCGTTCATCATTTTAGATTCTGTTTCTCTCTTTCCATATAAATAAATGGTCATTTCGTTTTCTTTCGATTCATTTAGCCAATATACTACTAAGGGCGTTCATTATTGTCAGATAGTTTATTTCAATGATATTATTATTATTTCGTGTTTGGACTTTTAATTATCCATCATTATATATTTGAATTTTTATCCAAACAAACCAAAAAAAATTCTTTTATCTGATTGCTTGTTCTAAATTTTATTAAAACTATATACATAATAATTTTTACATGCATTCAATATAACTTTGTTGCTTTGTTGAATAACAAAGTTCCATCTAAATCTAAAGATGGATTGCTTTATCTAAAGATGGATTGTTGATTGTGACCAACTAGATCTGATCCTCAATTTCTTCTGACCTATCTCATAAATATAACCAAAAAATATCTTATAGTAGAAATGAAAGTAGAGAAAACAAAAATCAAATAAAGAAATATTATTATTATTATTATTATTATAGTCGATTTTTCTTTTTCTTTTTTTCTGGATGGAAAATCAAATTCGATTTGTTATTTGTGATTTATTATTCAATTCGGCTATTCATCTTAACATTTTATGGTTATGATTGTTGTTGTTGACCAATTTTTTTGTAGATTCTAGCCAGAAAAAATGGTGAATTTTTTTTGTTTTCTAATGATACATTAGATAGATGATTTTGTTAGACAAATCTCTCTTTTGGTTGAAGAATTTATGAAAAAACACTATCCAAAATTATTGACTGGTTATTATCAAATAAAAAGTCAATATGAAAAACAATCGAATCGAAGTTTGTTTTTTAAATTATTCTCCTTGATTATGTATGAATCTGATCAGTAAAAGTTCAAGAATAATAAAATGATCAACCATCATTGATAAATAATCATAAACATAAAACAGAAAATTGGATTAATTAATAATCATTTTTATTAAAGTTGTCATCAAATTCTATACATCATAAATTATTCAATCTCTCTTTATCTCGTTTCATTCATTTTATGTATTATTGTTATCAAACAGTGAATTTTCTGGTATTTTTTTTTCTTTTTGGTTGTTGACCAGATCTCACTCAAAATTATCTGTTCTGTTTTGTTTAGTTTTTTTCTGTGGTAATCTAATATAAAACCAACAAAAACAAAAACAAAACAAGTCAACCATTCTCTATTTTTTTTCTTTCAAAATGATGATAATCATCATCATCCATATTAATGACCATTGATATTGAGTACAGTTGAAATTCTTACCAATACGGAATAAAAATTTGTCATTATTCTGTTTCATTTGATAGTTCGCAATTCTTTGTTTTATTTTTATTTTATTTTTTTTCCATGAAAATTATTTATATGTCAATTGCCAATACTATTGCCAAAATTCATCATTTGTTTGACAATGATTTACATTGACATTTATTTCTATTGAATTTTAAATACAAATAAAATTTGAAAAAAAAATGTAATAACATGTTAGCAATGGAAGAGAAAAGAAAAAACAAAGCAAAATCATCATTCTTGAAATGCCATTTTTTATTATTATTATTGAAAATCTGGTAGTTGAACCATAAAAGATGATTTATATTATCATCAAGCTTTTTTATATCATTTACAAATGTTGTTTAGTTGTTTCAATGTAAACATAATTTTATTATTACTATTTTGTTCAACAAACAAGCATTTTTTTAAAAAATGTCAGAATTTGCTTTTATTCATTATCAATGTTGACGAATCGTTAACTGATTTCAAAACATTTTCGTACATCACAGAATTTTTCGGGAACAAATTCTTATAAGCTTTCACTTAAGAAAAACAGATAATTTTAAAAAAACAATACATGTTATTACAACAAAATAGAAATAGAAAAAAAAATTCCATCTACGGAATCAGCGAACCATTTTCTAATCATTATCATTATCATCATCATAAAATAATCAAATGGAATTACCTAAATGTAAATTAGTAAATTCTTTTTAATATAATCATCCATTCATCCAACCATCCATAGATGTATGATAGAGTGGGCGGTGAAAGTTTTAATATCTTACATATAATAATAATAATGTTTTATAATTAACATATGTATTTTTCCATTTGTATGGTTCCATTTGTTTCAAACTTTAATGTAAATTCCAAATTTTTTTCCCCATTGTTGTTGTTATTGTTATACGAATTATTGTTTTCTCATTTTTAAAATACCCATATTTTTTTAATGTCGAAAATATGAATTAAACAATGAAACTTTACTGATAATGATGATTGATGTTGGAATTAAAAAAAAAGAAGTTTTTTCTAGTTACTTTACAGATCAAATATCTTTATCAAAGGTTTAAAAGTTTTGTATTTGGCCTATATTGAATGGATGATTGAATTTTCTGTTTTACAGGTAAAAGTTTTGTCATTATTTGTCGTGCTTTGTTGACAATTCTCTTATTTTTTTTAATATTCTCATTTATTTTAGCCCGAAATATTGTTTGTTTTTATCAACAACATCATTCATACAATACATTGTGGTTGGTTAAGTTTTCAAGTTGAGATACAGATATGATTTTACATTTTGGAATGCTTTGATCAAGTCAAGTGTTAATTTGAGAATTCTTTTCTCTTATTGTTTGTTATTGAAATTTTGAAATAATGATTATGTTGAAAATGAAGAAAAAATCTTGAATCGTTTGAATGCCATCTGGCCACTATGTATATGGAGAAAAGCAATTTTTGTTTAACGATCACTTTTTGTTTTTGTGCACAATCTTTTATCGGAAATCCAAAAAAAATGGCCACATTATATGATCGGTTGGTTTGAAAATTAATCGTAAACGATCGATTTTCCTTTTCAAATGATGATATTTGATTGAGAGAATTAATAATTTCTCCTTTGGTTAAGTACCATTCACCAATATTGATTGGTTTCAATTATCAATTCGATTTCATTCATTAGGAATGAATTAAATAAATTTCTTTTTCTTGGTCATAAAAAACTTTTGATTTGATTTTATTCCCAAAATTATCGATCTTTGGGGATTTTTTTTCATTTCATTATACAAATAGTAGCTAATTGAATCTTATGAACGAATTCGAGCATTTTTCAAAACAATCAAACACACACACACACATTCACTGACAAAGGATCAATAGGTAATCAATCAATCAATGAATATTTGAATTGATGTTTGTATAAAGTGAATTCCCGTTGCTTTTATTTTCTAGTTGATTGAATTGTTTAAAAATAAAATATTTACAACATTTTAGTTACCGTAATTCTTGTTCTATTTATCGATTGTTTTCTTCATTTGAATTTGATTTCTTCGAGAATGAATAAAAATCACTTTATTATTACATGTCAATCAATAAGTTTGATATTCAGCTTCTTTTTTGCTCTCTCTCTCCCTTCTTATTGAAAAAGTCAAAAAGAAACGAGTGAAATAGAAAGAAAAATCACTTTTCAAGCATTGATCACTTCATCAATTTGATTGTTTCCATTCCTGAATTCTGTTTTTTTTTCGGTTATCATCATTATTATTGTTCCACAGGCATTATTTTCAATGTGTTTTATTTTTCAATTTTCTTTTTTTTTCTTGTTCAAATTGAAAATTTCTTTCTTTTTTTTTGTTTTCGTCTATTGATTTATTTTGAAATTTTAGCAGAACGACTAAAATAGGCAAACATTTCAAGCTTAATAAGATTTTTTTTCCTATTTTTTCATCATTATTCCCCTTCTCTTTACCGCAAAAAAAGGAGAACTTCGTTTGTCCAAATTGGTTATTGTAACGGAAATATTGGAAAAGTTTCTATCATTATCATCATCAACAACAACAACAACAATAATAAAAACACGGAAATAATCAAAACCAGAAAATGGTAAGCATTTTTCATAGTTTGATATAATACAAAAAAAAACGAAATTGACTGCTACCAAAATTGACATGAAATTGAATTTAATTGAATTTCGTTTTTTTTTGGTTTTATTTTATTCTTCTTGCACAAACATTCATAACCAGTATGGATTCGTGAATCATGCTTTGGAACTTTTGGTCATACAAAATTTTGGCGAACCAATATGGGAAAAAATCAAGTAAATTTTGATTTTCATAATGATTTTGGCCTTTCATTTTTTTTTGTTTTGGTTCATTTTGCAATTTTAAAATTGAATCATTGCATCAATCATGTATACTATACACTCCCTAAATGATAATTACATTTTTTGTTTTCCATTCGATAATAATTTGAAATAAAATGGAACAAAAAAAAAAGAAATTGGTTTTATTTATGAACAAAACCACTCTTTTTTTCCACTGGGCTTTATTTTTTTTCCACAAATTCACTTTAATGAGTTGATTTCAATGTCTTTTTCTCAGGAATATTTTTCCATACGAATGAAAAAAAAATGAAATGATTTAAACCACAAATCACATACCGTTAAAGGCAATTATGAGACATTATTTTATTTTCACAGCGTTTTTTATGCAGGTTCCAATTTTACAATTTCATTTTTTTTCTTATTTTTTTCCGCTTCACACACAGCCACCATTGTTTTTTCTTTGATTTGACTCTCCACCATTCTTTCTTCGAAATCGTTATAATTTTAATACCTTTGATTGTATACGTAAATTCTGTCATGAATCTTAAGCATTTTTTTCTGGGTGGTAGAATAATTTTAATTTTTAAACAAAAATTTAAGCTCAGAATAGTATCGAAAAAAACATTTTCAGAAAAAATGCTTTAAAAAACTTAAAATTCATTCAATAAATGATGATTGTTGATTTTTTTTTGAAAGTTCATTCATGCAAAATGAGAGGGTAATAAGAAAATAAAACTTTCTGAGTAAAATTGGTTAATAATAATTTTAATAATCAAAAGCAAACAAAAATATTTTTTACATTAATTTTGATCATTTCGGAATTTCATAATATTCATTATTTCATTTATTATTGTTGTATTATTAAAATTCATCAACAGGAGAGAAGCTGATATTGAAATGGATGGATCATTTCTTGTTCGTATTGTTTATGATGATGAAATGACCTATCAAATAGTGATGGCTGCCGAACGTGTCCTAAGTATGATTAAAAATTTCTATTTCTAATATTTTCATTTATTCATTTGATTTGTATTATCAAAAACAATTGGATTGTAATTTGCACCAATTGTTTATCCATTTGGGGTTAAAAAAAACATTCATCTTTGCTTTGTGTTCAACATGAAATATTAAAACAAAATGAAGAAATCCCGGCAAATGAAATTCTTGAAATGTTTGGCCGATCATTTTTTGATTTTTGTCAAGACTCTGGCTATGATACCATATTACAAGTATTAGGTGCTACAACAAAAGATTTTTTACAAAATTTGGATGCATTGCATGATCATTTGGCTACGATATATCCGGGAATGAAAGCACCATCATTTCGTTGTTCAGAACGTATTGATGGATCATTAATATTGCACTATTATTCGGAACGTGAAGGACTGGAACATATCGTTATCGGTATTGTAAAAGTAAGTTATATATTCTTTATTTGATGTTTTATCGATATTTAACAAAAGACAGGCCATATGACTAAATGAGGATTGATCGACCAAAAAAGAAAAAAAACGGTCAATTGATCTTCATTCGTTTATTATATTCATATTTTTGATTAAAATTATTCTTTAGTTGATTGTATTCGGTGTTGCGTGTATAGAAATTATTTCAAATCCATCATGATAGCGATTATCGATGAGCATTTTTTTTTGTTTTGTTTTGTATTGTTTTCCTTCTCGTTCGTGATGGTGATGCTGAAAATGATTGACGAGCATTTGATGTTGGTTAGTTGATGTGAACCATTATCGGTCATTATTATTATTATTATTATAGCATATGAAACATTGTCAATTCGATTCGAAAATATTGTGAATTATAAAGATTAGGAAATGTTTCATACACACATAATGATAATGTCATAGGATTCAACAGAACAAACAAAAAATTTAAACTTCTATTTATTTTTTTTGTCGGACAAATATAAAAGAAAAATATCTACAATTTGATCTTTGTTGAATCAGATTCTTTAACATTTTTTTTAACAGTCAAAACATCTTTCATCAAATTACATTTCATTTGCTTGAATCATTTTCATTATTTTTTCATTTGTTTGTTGCCGATTGAATTTCTCTGCGAATAGAGAATCTGATAACAAATACTGACAGATAGAGAAAGATAGGGAAAATAGAAAGCAAAAAACAAATTTGAAATTTACTTAGTTTTTTTGATTCTAACAAAAAAATAAAATAAAAAAATTTATAGAAAGATTGAAACAATAATGTTGTTGTTGTTGTTGATGATAAACAATTTAATAAACGTCTATGAGATGTTTATCTTTTACGATTTACAAAATTACGTAGACAGTAATTTATTTTATAATGTTGAAACAACTTAATAACAACAAAGATAACAAAACTGGAATGACGACCTCATGATATTCATTCTGTTTCTGTAGAATTTCAGAATTTTTATCATCAATTCCATTGTAACACAAACGAAGAAAAAATGGTCACAACATCATTATCATTGTCATTATCAAAGTGTCATAAAATAACCAAACGGAACCAAAACTTTGTCACCAACATTTTATGATGATAAAAGTGTATGTGTGTGTATGTATCAAGATGAAAACTTACATCCAAAAGAAAAATAGAATTTATTGCTTTTAGAAATTTGAAAAAAAAATTAAATTAAATCAAATACTGGATTGTGAATTACTTTCATGAATCATCCAAATCATTAGTCAATGGATATTGTTTATGATGATGATCAAAATGTTATATACAAACATTTACTCTATTTCTAATATATTCCTTTCTTTTTTTTCTGAATTCTTATTAATGTTTATAAAATTAATTTTTTTTTTGCAACAACAAAAAATTCTAAAGAATTCAATCAAAAACATTGTTATCATCCATGGAAAAATAATAATGATGATGATAATAACAATAAAAAATTGTTGCTCGATATATGTACACAGGAGAAAAAAATTAATAGCTATTCTTATTGATTAAAATGTTTGGTCGAATGATGATGAAGATGATCGATTTGGTTTGACATTTTTTTTCATCATCATCATCATTATGATTCAATTTTCTTCAATGTCTCAATCATTATCATTATTTATAATGTTACTTTATTCTTTGTTTTTCTCGTTATTTTTTCATGGTTTTGTTTTTGTTTTTGTACATAATTTTTTTTTCTCTTTGCTTGTTTATTATTAATAATAATATCGATTAATTAATAACCACAAAAAAGAAAATTGAAAAAAAACAGAGGAATACAAACAAGCCATGTTATGATGATGGTAGAATAATTATGTATTAAAAAGAAGAAAAAGAATATAGGCTGTCACACAGACAAACAATTAATGAGATCATGAATCATCTGTTTGTGTAATAAAATTCATTATGATTATAATTACACACATTTATTAATGATAATAATAATTTTTTTTTCATTAACAAACATCTTATTTGTTAATTTTATTGTTAAATTAATGTTTTGATGAATTATCAACAAAATAATCATTTTGATGATGATGATGCGATCTGACAATGTCATTTTGATGCATTTATAGTTGACAATATTTTGTCAGCATCAGAATTCGTTGAATAAATTCATTCATTCATTTTTTCTTATTATATTATTTCGATATAATTTTTCTTCACAAATAAATAAGATGAGAAATTGGCATTTTTTTCGTTGTATATTTATGGTCTATTAATGAAATCGGATACAATTTCATGAAGTTCATTTATTAAATATATATTCACTCTCTATTGTGTTTGTGGCTGGTTTTTTTATATTTCCTATTGTAGCTCAAGAATACAAAAAAATGGATGGAGAATATATTAAGAATAATATCTATACTAAAACCAGGATGATTATGATGATGATAATGATTATTCGAGCGAAAAATTGCTTGATGATTGTGAGATCTTCATTTTTGCTGCTTCTGATGATCCTTTTTACAAAACAAAAACAAAAATTTCATTCAAAATAGAATTCACCATTTCGACTCGATTTTTTTTACTTATTTGAAATAGAATTTATGAAACATTTCTTTTACATAGATGTTCTTTTTACGTGGAAATTTTCCTCAACAATTCTGTTGTTGTTGTTTGCCAAAAAATGAATTTGGTTTCCTGTCTTCAAGTTTTGTTTGTTTGGTGAGTTGGTGGATTGGCGGGGAAGGGACCATGGTGATATGATTTTTCCCTCTCTCTCTCTACAAACGATGATGATGATTGTTGTTATTATGATTACTTTATTATATTTGTGTTATGTATACACACACATTGCCAGAATTTCATTGGGCAATCATTTTGATCACCTGCAATTGGCAGCTCAATCAGGCAGATTTTTTTTTCTCTTTTGCTTCATCAATTGATGATGATGATGATGATGGTCAAACAATTTTGAAGCCAAACATAATACACACAAGCACACTTAAAATAACAAAAATATAGCGATTTATTTTGTTAATATCAATATAATATTAGATTGATGATTGTGTTTGGTTGTTCATGTTGAAGACTGAAATATATTTTTTTTTTGTTCCCGTTCCATTATTCTGAACAACAAAATTGAAATTGAAAAAAATAAATAGAAAAGGTAGAAAATAATAATTTTCCCTGGCTTTTTTGCCTTGAATGTCGGTGAAAGAATTTTTTTTTACTTTACTTTTGCTGAAAGACCAAAATGACAAAATCAATAATGTTCACACAATGTTTGTCCATCGTTTTCGATAAACTTTATCATCATGAATTCAGTAAGGCAGTAATATGATTTTTTATATTTTGATGGAAGAATCTGTGATAACAACAAACAACAACAACAACAACAACAAAACGATAACGAAACATATAGAAACCGATTTATTTTATTATTTCAGAAAAAAGTAAACATGAACATAAATTTTGTTGTTGTTGTTGTTGTTGTCATGTTTTCACATCTCGAATTAAATTGATTTTGTTTCTTCATTATTACATTTTGGACAATTCCATGTTCAAAAAGTATGATGGTCATCATCATCATAATAACCGATATGACAAATAATATACGTAGACAAAAATGATGATCAAAAATACAATCATAATCATAACGCTATATACCAACATTGTATTAATATTGATGTTTATAGATAAAATTTCTGACAAAAAAAAAAATTTAAACTTTGAAATTCGTTTCAAAATTCATTTCCATTATGTAAACAAAACATTCCATGTAATTATAACTATTTTATGGTTGGTTCATGTTTTAATCGAAAGATATTAGATCGATAATAATGATGATGATAATTTTAATCGTTGCCATTAGTTGAACAGAAAATATTCTACAAAAAAAAAGTTTTAAAATATTGTCCAAAATTAATGGTTATAATTTTACATTTTATATGAATGATGCTCCAAAAAAAAAGTGTCAACATGGAAATGATGTAAATAAATTTTTTTCCATGTGAAATTCTTTCCTTTTTTTCCATTATTAGCCAAAAAAAATGCGAATTATTTTGATGAATATAAAGTGATTTTATTCTTATTGCAATACGGTATACACAATATGATGTCTGTTTGTACATCATAATCTAATCGGTTTTGTGTTGAAAATTCACTTATATACTACCACATACAGGGTGCAATTTAAATAATGGATTGTTGTTGAATAAATGGAAAAAAGAATAAGAAAATATTGTGCTTATGATGTAATAATGTAATGTGATACACAAATGATTGTTAAAGTCACAAGTTTTACTCATTTCTTTTTTTTCAATTCTTTTTAACAACAAAAAAAATATATAGGCGGTTGCAAACAAACTACATGGACAAGATGTTGAAGTAAACATTATCAAACGTAAAGGTGATGATTGTGATCATGTACAATTTGAGATTATCGAAAAAGTTAAAGCAAAACCCGTATCCAATCAAATTGGAATGGGCAACATGGATCAGATTAATATCAATCAATTTATGTCGTTTGAGAACAAAATTTCACCGCTTACATTTTGTAAAGCATTTCCTTTTCATCTTGTATTCGATAAGAACATGATTCTTCGTCAGGTTTGTTTATAATGATAATAATAAATTATTCTTGAATTAATTGAATACGAATTTCCGAAACCTAGTTTAACAAAACACCATTAAGGCTATAACATCATGTTTTTTTTTGTTGATCATATTAAAAGCAATAGTTTTAGTTTGTTTTATCGATTTCGGCCTCTACCAACAGTGAAAAAAATGACCATTATCCTTAGTTTTTTTTGGTGTTGGCCTTAATGATTATGATTTTATTACTAGTTTTTTGCTTGTTGTTTTTTTTCTTATTATGATTGTTTCGGGGAAAAATCCGGGGCCAAAATTAAAATAATATAATAAACTAAGAGCGATAGACAGAGAAAAACCTTGACCAAAAAAAAAGTTACCAGCATATCTTTTTTTAATTTGGAAAAAATTAGGCATTTCTATTCCATACCATGCATGCATGCAAAATATACCATTCTGATTATCATTCCCTTTATCATTTCTCTTTTTTTTCTCTCTCTCAATTCTTGTTACAAACACACACATAAACTTAGGCTGGAATTTCAATGGCTCGTGTACTTCCTGCATTCACTGAAAATGAATGTAACATTACACAAGTAATGGATATGATTCGACCTCATATGGAATTTACATTTAACAATATATTGGCTCATATTAATACTGTATTTGTATTGCGTACGAAATTTGGTAACTATAATGAAAATGGCAAAGAATTTACAAGGTTCGTAAATATATATTGTCAATAGTCTATTGAATTGGATAGAATGACCAATGATGATGATATCGATCATGTTCGTTCAACAATAAGCTTGTTATTATTGTTGTTGTTGTTTGATACTAATCGAACAATAATATCATTTATATCTGATTATTTTGTTCTTTCTTTCTATAGAATGCGTCTTAAAGGACAAATGATTTATGTTCCAGAAACAGATCTTGTTCTTTTTCTTTGTTCACCAAGCGTATTGAATTTAGATGATCTTAATCGTCGTGGATTGTATCTAAGCGATATTCCATTACATGATGCAACGAGAGATTTAATATTGTTATCTGAACAATTTGAAGCAGAATATAAGCTGACTAAAAATCTGGAAATATTAACAGATAAATTACAACAAACATATCGAGAATTAGAAGATGAAAAACGTAAAACCGATAGGTTTGTGTTGCCACCTGAAATAGTTTTATTCTTATCAAATCTTTTTTTATGTGGATAATTTAACAATATTTTCTTCTCTTTAAATAGACTTCTTTATTCGGTGTTACCACCATCGGTTGCAAACGAGCTTCGACATCAACGACCTGTACCAGCTAAAAAATATGAATGCGTTACCTTATTGTTTAGCGGTATAGTAGGCTTCAATGATTATTGTGCAAAAAATGCTGACTCAAAAGGAGCAATGAAAATTGTAAAATTATTGAATAATCTTTACACGACTTTTGATGTGTTGACCGATCCGAAAAAGAATCCGGATGTTTATAAGGTTCAATTTTTTTTGTTGAAAATCATCTTTCAAAATATTTTAACTAAATCGATAAAATTCATTTTATTCCATGATTTTTACATTAGGTTGAAACGGTGGGCGACAAATATATGGCCGTTTCAGGATTGCCTGAACCATGTGAATCACATGCTAGATGTATAGCAAGATTAGCATTAGATATAATGGATCTTTCTAAACGAGTCAAAAATGCTGACCTAGATGGAATTGTAATTATATCTATTGTGGCTCATTTGAATTATTTTCATTTCTATAACAAGCATTTATATTTTTTTTCTCCCTTTTTCAAACTATAATTTAATGATGTTTTTTTTCACTCCTTTGGTTTATGCACTCAATTAATTTATTCAATTTTTTTTGCTTTGATATATAGCAATTAACTATTGGAATTCATTCGGGAGAAGTAGTCACCGGAGTGATTGGTAAACGAATGCCTCGTTATTGTCTGTTTGGAAATACGGTCAATCTTACTAGTCGTACGGAAACAACTGGTGCACCCGGAATGATCAATGTTACAGAAAATGCTTATAATTGTCTAATGGAGAATAAAAATCATGATTCGGATTTTAAATTTACCTATCGTGGTCCAGTATTGATGAAAGGTAGAGCCGAACCAATGAAAACATGGTTTTTGACTCGTCGTACCGAAGAAATCGAATAAATTTTTACTCATAGAAATGTTTTTTTTTAGAAAAAAATGTTTTTGTTTTCACTGCACTATTGAAAAAAACTGATTCTTATTAAATATCGATACCAAATAGTTTTGAAATTTTTTTCTTTTTAATTAAATTAAACAAATAATATTCAGTTTTCCTTCATTATATAATTAAAAACCATTTTCATCTCCGTTAATTTTATTATATTAATTTCTGCAATAAAACAATCAAAATAAATTTGTTGATTGGCTAAAAGTATTCATTGCAATACTTTTGTTAAAAAAAGCTGACCATAATAGTTTTATCAAAGAATGTCAAATTTTCAATGGCAACAAAGTAAGTATAAATCTATTATTTGATCAAGTTAATTCGTTTATTCATTTCATATTTGAAAAAAAAAGTTTTCGGAAAAGTTTCGATGGGATTATGTAAATCGATACAAAAAAAGCCGGATTTTTTCTACACAGGCGAATATAAATTGATATATAATGATTGTCTTCAAGACATTCATAATGAAACAATAACCGATTCTCTAAGGAAAATCTATTGTTGTAAAGATGATTTAACTGATGAAAAGAATGATGTTTATATATATCATGAATATTGTTGTACCTGGTCCAATCTAATGAATCAGCACAAGTAAGCAGTTGTTTACGAGGAACGCTTTGTCCAAATTTTCTTGATTAAAATCTGAATTTGTCCGATGAATCAGACAATAAAAGCATCAGTTAGAATCCAATCATTTCGAATGAAACATGACATTTCAATTAGAATTTATAGTAAAGAAAAAATACTTTTATGTTTGAATCATCAATTTTTTTTTCTTATTTCATTTTTTATTTAGGAATTCTTTGTTGTTTTTAACACTGTTAATTTTGGGAAATACTCTCATTTTAGCCTGTAGCATTATTTCAAATTGTTATTTAATTTGGGTTTCTATCAAACAATCGGAAGACGATGTTTATAATGGCTTTAATCGAAAAGCATTTAGATCAAAGCCACGATTTCCTTCATTCGGCAACATAACTGAAATATTACGTAGCAAAAATCCTATGGTACGATTAAAATTGGAATTTGATGTCGATAATATAGAAACGACAATTGATTGGAAACTAGCGAATGATCGTTTTACACCAATGCAAAATTCATTTGTATCTTCAATCACAAAATCTGAATTGAGTGACTAAAAATAATAAAGAAAAAAATTGATATTATTCATAAATCCATTCATGATCATAACTTAATGTCAATAAATAAATGTTTTTTTTAATGGATAGTGGGCAGATCTGGAATTCTTTGATAATTAGCAGTATTTGTTAATTGAAACCCAGCGAAAAAAAAACAATTCGAATCATTGACAAAAACACATTCGATAACGAATTGAGGATTAATTTTCATCATTTTTATCAGTGAATAAACAAAACTAAAACAAAGCCAATGTATTAATAAAACCGGAAAAAACAAAAATGTTAATGACAATCAAACTAGATAGATTGTTAATCATAATGATAGTTATAATTAGTTAGTCAACCAAAAAATTGAAAAAAAATTGAAAAAAGATTGATTGAATTATTAAATTTTTTTTCCGTTGATAATGAACATGATTATGATGATGGACAGAACATTTCACAATATCATACTGATATTCAATATTTTTTTTTATACAGAAAAAATTCCATCAATTTTGATCATCATGAGTTTTCTTTTGATTTAATGATGATGATGATAAACGATGACCGATGATTTTTCATTCTTTTGATGTAAAATATTAAATTTCAATGAATTTTTCATTTTTTAAAAAGAAAAAAATCCATTCAACTGAAGAATTCTGCAATTTGATTTCATTTTCAACAAATATTAGTTTATTTGATGAAGAAAAAATGTCAGGGAATTTCTCAATTTTTTTTATGGAATTTAAAATTTTCATGATTCACTTCGGTTATTGATGATGGTTGTGAAAAAAAATTGCGGTATATAGCAATTTTAAAAGGGGAAAAAATTGTCAAAAATTTGTCATCCATGAATAAACAGGAAAAAAATGACAAGTATTATCAAACTAAAAATTATTGAAAAAATTGACAGTTTATTTTGTTCAATAAACATCGATAACATTTGCTTTAAATTCCAAACAAATCTAACAGAAACAAAATGGATAAAACTGATTTTTTTTTTAAATGACAATCATTGTTTGAAAATACAGAATCGAAATCCGTTTATTTGTTTTTTTTTTGATGATCATCATTTATGTAATATGTATTCAATTAAAATTAAATCTGTTTGTTTTTTCATCATCATCATTATAATTAATCCCATATTCGTTTAGGAAACTAATTCAAAATTCAATATTGGGATACAATTTATTCTGCTATGTCAGCTCCATCTATGTTTCAAAATCAGAATGATTGATAAAATTCCAATGTGACCTTTATGACTAGAATTCTGAAGAAATAATTTTTTGATAATCATTATTCTAAAAATACTTTATGTTTGTTGATTTTGTTCGGGAAAAAAGTGTTGCTCATATTTCTTTATTCATTTAATAAAAATAAAAACGCATTTCGAAAATGATATTTCTTGATCATGAATAAAACGACGATTAATAGTCTCAACGATGATTGTTTACGAAAAATATTTGATTATTTACCAATATCTAAACTCTTAGAATTGGAATCGATTTCACTGAGATGGAAACGTATAATTGAATATCGTAATGAACGACAAATATCACTAAAATTGTTTCGTAGTCGAAATGAAATTGCTGAATATGAACAGAATAGCCATATTTACTATCAATTAAAAGCCTGTTTATATTTTCATCAAACCAATGATTTCATCCTAACAACTCATTTAAATTATCTTTCTTGTCAATTAATACTGTCCAAATATCCTAATCTTAGAATGCTGATGATATCCGGTTGTCAATGGGATCCAAAGGATTTGATCATGTTGCTTATAGAATTGAAACATCTCGAATGTTTAGCATTGGTTATTTGTGGATCTCCTTCAAATGATAATTACATCACATCCATAGTCAAAACCATCAAGATTTGTAAATCATTAGATGTTTTACCAAAATTAAAACATTTTGCCATAAGTTTGGCTGATAATACAATTCCCAATCCATTCAATATTGGTTTCATGCTACGTGTTTATGAATTACATCTTCATAATGTCACTATTGATTATAATCTTTATTATTTTGATAAAATATTAGATAGCTGTAAAAATAGTCAACTACAGCTGAAAAATTTAACAATTAACAATGGAAAAAGTGTTTCAGCTATGAATGTAAATGTATGCAAAAAATTATCCTCATCACTTGAACAGATTACCGTCAATTATGAAGATGAAAGTTTATTTCCCAGTCAATTGCAACTACTATGTAATCACTTTAACCTGTTGAATTTTCTGGACATTCATCTCAAATTTTGTGTAAGTGCTCTAAAGATTGGTGCTTTCAACAATAATGATAAATGAATGTTTCTTTACAGATAGAATTGAAATTTCTACATTTGTCTCTAAGTAAATTGCCACTTTTGAAAGAATTTCGCTTACGATCGGATGATAATAATTCCATCTCAAATGATGAACAATATCAGGATACGGATGAAATTTTGCGACCTCTCCATTCAATCGAATCGATATGTTTTGATGTGGATTTTGAGACATCAATATTCGCACTATTACCTCAGATTTTTCCTTTGGTGAAATTTCTAACCATTAATACATCCAGGTTGTGTTGTACATGCCCAATCGAACCTGAAAATCCAACCTTACCCCCAATCGCAGAACGAAATCTTGTAATCGATTCGGGTAATGCACAACAGCCAGTTCAGGCTAATGATGATAATAGAAATCAGAATCAAAACCCTGTACCACAACAAGAAGAACAGCAAGAGCAACAAGGAATGAGTAGAAAAATTACAGACGATGACATTGAATTCGAAATTGACAATTGCATTCATTGTACGAAACGAATGACTATAATTATGAATAATTGGTCACTAATGGAAAAATTGGCTATCACTGGAAGTCGTTGTAAAGAAGAAAGCCTGATTGAATTGAAATCCATGCCCAGATTACGTTCATTATCGGTTGCTAATTGTACAGAAATTCATCTTAGAACGTTACTTAGCGTTTGCTATGAAATAGCCAAAAATCGTCCATCTATTTCATTCATTTTAAAATTGAATGAAAAAACATTCAAAAAAATAATCAAACTCCCTCTAAAGCCGATCAATTTATTCATTTTCAATGTTAGCCCTATTCTGGAGCCGGAATCAGAATATCCTATGTTATGGTGATTGTTATGTTTGATAATTGTCATTATTAATTACAAATGTTAAGTTTTTTAATTATTTATAATTGTTGTATTGAACGAAAAAGGAAAAATCAATTTTATTATTTCCCAAATCTAAATTTTGACAATAAATTATAATTATTTATTTTATTTGTTGATCATCAACATTGTATTGATCTATTAATGATGAAGCCGTATTAGTTTGAGATGATTTTCGAATATGCTGTTGCTGACTTAGTAGATATGATGAGATCGGATTTGATACAGCAGCGGCCACTTGTTTTAATCCATCGTGATTACTATTGTTTTGTTTACTATTGATTGTTAAATTCTTCGATATGGATTCCAAATCAGCGCTGGTTGAATGATTAACATATGATATAAGGGTATTATTTTCTGGTATGAAAACATCATGCATATAATCATGTTCACAATCAGTTTCATCTTCTCCATTTTGACAATCTTCGGATCCATCACAGCGCCCTAAAAAATTTTCAATTGAAAAAAATGTTTCGTTTAAAAAATGTGTTGTCGTATAAATTTTTTAAACAAAAAATTACAATTTGGTGGTATACATCGTTGAGTTTGTGAACAACGAAACCAATCTTCAGGACACGGAGTCTTGGCACACTTTTCGATATCCTATGATACAAACACATACATAAAAATTGCATTATTATTCAATTATGAAACAAATAAGCAATTCAATTGATTTGAACAATATGAACCGATTCGGTCGAAATAAAAAAATGTCATTAATTGTGTTTATATTTTTTAAAAAAAGTTTGAAAATGATGAATGAATAGCGAATATAACTAACTATTCCAGTTATTTTTTCATCCATTCATATAGAAATAAATACCTGTTGCATGATGTTTTTTTTTGACAATAGTTATTGTTTGACAAAATTTAATATTACATCATTTACCATCAATTATATTTAAACTTACCTCATCGGATTTGTCACCACAATCATCGGCTCCATCACAAAGCTAAATAAATGTAGAAATTGAAATGTAATGAAACAATGAATTGGTTAATATTTGGCAATAATAGTGATTTCTAAAACACAGTCTTACCCAATGTGGATGGGCACATATATTCGTCTCTTCACAGCTAAAAAAATCATTTGGACAGGTAACGTTTCGTGGACAAGGATCTGGATGTCTTTCATCCGAAGCAAGACCATCTTTACAATCGATTACCCCGTTACATACGTTGTTCATCGATATACATCGATTATCTGCACAACGAAACCAATCCTCGGGACATTTGAAATTTTTACAATTTTCTTCATTCTCATCCGAGTTATCACCGCAATCATTCTCGCCATCACACATCCAATTTGGTAGAGCACAGACATTAGTGTTAGTACATTTGAATGATGATGATGGACAAGTAACATTAGCTGGACATGGATTTGGATGAAGTTCATCCGATGCTAGACCATCTTTACAATCAATACTGCCATCACAAACTTCACTCATGTCCAAACATTGGCTATGATTGGCGCAAGAAAATGTTCCTTTTGGACATGGTTCATACACACAATTGAATTCATCCGAACGATCACGACATTGTGGATGCCGATCACAACGACTTGCTTTTGGTACGCAACGACCGCTATTACATTTGAATTCAGTAGTTGCATTACATTGCATTTGTGCTGTAATTATTTCAATTCGAGGATGTAATTGACAAATTTTTTCATCTTTAAATAATATTATAAATTAATCTTACCACAATAATTTGGATCTTCATCTGAATTATCACCACAATCATTTTCGCCATCACAAAGATGACTTTCAGGCAGACAATTGTTATTCTGACATAGAAAATATAGTGGCATTACACATTCGACAACATGATAGGATTCCTCTTGACCGAACAACTCTTCTGCCGAAGGTATGTCATCAATCGAACTGCCGGTACAATGTAACATTAATGGCCATAGTAAGGATGACCATAATAACAATAGACGTAGTGTCCTGAAAAAGCGTGAAAATAAAGAAAATGAAAGTGGAAATTCGTCATGGCATAATTAAAATTTATGAATAAAAAGATTATTACCAAGAAATTTCCATTTTTGTTGTTGTTGTTGTCTCAAACTATCGATGCCGAACGTGTCACGTGTCGATCAATTACTGTGCCACCAACAGCAAATAAAACGATCGTAGTTCATCAAACAATAAATGCTTCACTACTAAGGATGTTGAAATATATGACAGCTCCAATAATAATGATAACAATAGAAAATGTTAAATTTTTGGTCAGTACAGATCGAAATAAGATAATACAATATGTAGCTTGCAGCTGCTGGCCAAAGAAGAAAAATTTGATCGAACGTCGACAATTCGGTCGTGTTTGCTACAAAAAATTTTTGGCTTTCGATTTCCTTCTTGTTTGGTCGAATGTGAAAACCATACACACTTGTATGATGTACTCGATGATGTTCGGTTAGAATATGGAGCCACTTGATTGAAAGATTGTTTTTTCTTTCTCTGTTAATTTTGTTCGTCTTTTCTTCATGATTCCTGGCCGATCCTAATAAGGATCTGTTTTTTCTCTTTTACTGAACATTTTAGACTCTTTTTTTTTTGCTCTCGATTTCGTTGTCTCATGACGAAAAATCAGACAATTATTTCATAGCGAACCAAAACTTTCTCTTTTTTTTGTACCAATCTCATTTGACTTAGTTTTATTACCAAAAAAAATTGGTCTTCAACTCTTTTTCAGAGCGAATCATTTGTGTGTAATAAAAAAATATTTTTTTTTCTATTTTATTTGTAACATAACTTTTTTCGAACCATAAAAAGCTTTATGGTGATGGAACATGTTAGCATGAACAACGAAAACTTATCAGGATGAAACAAGGTGATTATCAGATAGAGTTGTAATTTTAGCTATATTTTCTGCCAAATGATGATGAAAAGTTTCACGATGTACGAAATCGAACGAACGGTATCTTTCAACTATACGCGGTGATCATTCATATTGGTCTGGCTTGGTAATAATCGATCAAGTTTGAAACTAAAATGTACAATCAAACTAAGTATTAGTTTTATGAACTAAAAATAAATCTATTCATAAAAAATCATGGCACAACTTTACTCGCTAATTATCTAACATGTATTTTATTCATTTTTTTTCGTTTTCACTCAAAGATACTATCAAAGCAAATAAATTCAGGTTCAAATGTTTTGCATTGACAAATTGAGATCATTAAATCGATGAAATAATTATTCAGATAACAGTGATGATTAATGAATATAGATCATTGTTGAAAAATTGTTTGCAAATTTGAGATCTTATAAAATTGATTTGATACATTGATCAGAAAATGTTTAGCTTCGTTATGGTTACAGTATCAAACTGTATCCGAACTTAATTATTGTTTCATTCAATGTTCAAAACTTTCACTTATTACTTTACTTCTATCTATGTTTTCTCTCCATTCATGATCTTACTGTTTAATGTTGATTTGCTTTTCGTCGTCTTTAGATTAGAATCGATGATGAAAAAAAACAAACGCAGGTGTTCGATAACTTGTACATTTGTGTGCGTACGAGTAAAAACTAGCGAAACAATTGGCATCTTCTTCGTTTTCATTTTCGACAATATCTTCAACAAACATATTTGACCATAGTCCATAGTTCAGCTGCTTTTCTATTACTTAAATTGGTGAATTGTCATATACACATCCACGTCGATCTTATTATTTTTTTTATAATTCGATCTCGAATAGATCTCTTCCGTTATCTTCAATGGATTTGTAACTAGTAAGAAGATTCTACGATCAATCAATAAATCAAATGTGTCGGCAATATGTTACAAAAATTTCATTGTGAAAATGTATTGAAAGAGTTAAATGATTTTGGACAATATCAAAAATTTTTATTGTTCGGTTTCATAATGCCATTGGCTATACTAGCCGCATTTCAATCGTCTTATATGTTTGTATCTGAATTTAATAATTTTTTTCTTTGATCGACTAAAATTTGACCCGATTTTCGTTTTTTAAACTGTTCATCCGCTTATACACAGATATAACGAATTTGTTCCAGATCATTGGTGTCGTGTAGATTTATTGGTCAATTTTTCATATGGAGAACAAAATCGTTTGATTCGACCACGATTAAAATACAATGACGATGATAATAATGGACAGGAAACGCTAAAACTAATGTCCAATTGTGAAATGTATGATATAAATTATCGTCAAGTATTGACCGGTTTGGAAATACCGAAACAAAATAGTTCATCGTCATCATCTACATTATCATCATCATCATCATCATCAGTATTCATACCGATTAAAAAGTGTTCACCAATCAGTGGCTGGGTTTATAATCGAAATCAATTTCGAGAGAATGCTGCCATGCATGTAAGTTTTTTGGATAAAAACTTAAATAATTTTTGTATTGGGAATATTAGTTAGACAAAAACATTTTTTAACTTTGTCATTGATTGTCAATCAATGATGACGTTTCAAAGACTTTGATCCAGAAATAAATGAATGAATTTTTTAGAATTGACATTTGACAAAAACACAATTTTTTTTCTTTCTTTCTAGTATAATTTTGTCTGTGATCGCCGTCAACACATTCAAATGATCGGATTTGTACGAAAATTATCTTCTGCTCTATTTAGCTTGATATATGCCATTCTTTCAGATAGGTATAATAGACTGTTTGATAGATTGATTTGCTGTTATAATGAATAATCAATTTTTGTTTTCAGATATGGTCGTAAAATTGGCCTAATATTCATTTTAACTGCATACATTTTATCAGCAATATCACCAGTGTTGACCACGAATTATTATGCATTTTTAACTTGCCAAGCAATACAAGGATCAACATGGCCAATCGGAATATTGATCGGCACAGCATTTGGTATTGAATTTGTTACACCTGAATATCGTGCGGATGTTTTAGCATTGGTCGGTCTGGCATTTCAATTTGGTGAATGGTGTACATATTTTCTCATACAAGCTCTAAGACATTGGGTTTGGATTGCTATCGTCAACACAGGATTTGTTATTCCATATTTTATATTCTATCAATACTATGACGAATCACCACAATGGCTTTTAGCTACCAAACGTTTTGATAAATTAAAAGATCTCTTTGAACGAATGAATCGTATTAACAGAGCGAAATTGGACAATGATTCGATCGATTCAATCATAAGTGTAAGACTTTATGTTATTTAAATATTTCAAATAAATTTCAATTTTGTTGTATAATACAGAAATTTACTCATTATTATGATCATGAACGACGTGTAGAAGTTAGTTTAGCAATTTCCATGCAAAATCTTGATTTATCGACATCGAATCATAACAACAATTATAAGCAAAGAATTATATCATCAAACAACTACAATAATCATTACCGACGTCCAAGCATGAACAGTTTTCTAACCGACGATGAATCAGTACCAGATGGATCACAGCCATCATTTTGGAAAAAAATTAAACTATTCATCAAACGTTCAACACTATTTCAGATGATATTTTTATGGGCAATCGTGTTGATAACAAATGAATTGATCATTGATTTTTTATCAAAACGTAAAAATCGTTTCGATGACAATTTACTTGTTGACCGATTTTTTGGATCATTGATAAAGATGCCAATCATTTTATTGACATGGTATCTTGTCAATCAATGTTTTGGCCGTCGTTGGTCAAACTGTATTATACTTTCATTAAATTTAGCCATTCTAATGTTCCTACTATTTGGTCAATATTTATTGAAAAAAATTATATGGCTAAATGTTGGCATTTCCGTACTAGGCATTATGTTAGCCGAATGTTCCGAAATGATAACAATATTGCAAACATTGGAATTGACGTCGACCAGATATCGTATAATTGTAGTCAGTATTGTTCATCTATTTTCTCAATCGGCATTTTTAGCCATTATTTATTGGCTCTATAACTACAATGTAAGTATAATCAAACGTCAAAAATTGTTTGATGACGATGATTACTGGCTTGTTTTTTTTGTTTTGTTTCCATAAATAGCTACGAATAATCTTCAATGTTCAAACGAAACTGATATTTATTTCTTGTATTACTTTACTATCGATAATTTTGGCATCTTTTGTAACTGAAACAAGAAACGAATATCTACCGATTGGCGTATTAGAATCTGAACAATTAATCACAAATTTCAATTATTGGTCAGTGTCAAAAGATCGATCAGATATTGAGCCATCCAACCTTTTTTTATCATTAAGTAAATGGGATGTCAATGCAAATCATCAGATTGTCGGTTCGATAAAACATATGGAAAAATTCACTGATAGCTGACGACAACTTCAAATAATTACAAATCTATAAATTGATTTGTGATTATTTGAATGCAATAGCCGTGTTGAAAGAAAAACACATTCGGCCATATATAAATTTCCATGAAATTATGCCAGAAAAAAACTTTGATAAACTTTACGAAAATCCTCACGTCACACATTCGAATCGTCTCACACATAAACACAGAGAAACTTGTTCGAAAAATTTCGAATGTAATAAAATGAGTCAAAGCAAGGTATTTTCACCATATTATTATATTCCAAATTTAACCTAGTCAATTATCATTCTTAAAAGCAAAACAGTTCCGGCGAAAATAGCACGGATGATTCGACGATAAAATCATCATTGTCAAAAATGACAACTGAAGAAGCTATCGAATACTTGGGCGAAAAATATGCTACTCGTTTTACGATGAATGATCCATTGTTCGTTGAGGCTGTTAATCGTCAAATTTCCGTTCCGCCAATAGAGATAAACTACATTGGTCGAATCAAACGATACAGAAATAACCCAAATCACAATTACAATCGAAGGGATTATAATCGTTAATATTTTATTCTATAAATTCATTTCTTTATATTCTTGTACTTTATATCAATTTCTTTTTTGGCATTCATATATGAATTGTCAATATTATCAATCTGTGAATTTATTTGTTCCATAAATTTAATAAGATCTTCACTTTTTTGAGCAGTATATTGCGATAAACGGTTCTTTCGTTCTGATTCATTAGCCGATTCTGAATCAAGTATTTGATCTATCAATTTTTCGAGTTTATCTACATGTAAATTAGCTTTTTCGAGAGGTTGACATCTATTCTCAATCTCATCGAATGATTGATCTTTGATATGAACAATTTTGCGATGTATCTCCTGTAATTCATCACGCTCATCAAAGTCAAAATTTCGAACCATTGTTTGTAGTTCGGCTTCTAGAAATGGCCGATGATTAAAAATCCGCTTTACAATTTCGTCTGTCGCTATAATCAACAAAAATTATGACCATTTTATATTTGACATAATTGAAAACTTACATCGAAAAACATCTCCTGTTAAACCTGATAAATCCATGATGAACGAATTTATATAATAGGAAATTTCTCAGCAATATTATTGGGGATAATTGACAATAAAATTTCCAAAATTGTTGCAAGCGTGTGAGCCCGTTTGCCACACACCACTAAAATGCAGTATTTTGTTCGTTATTGAGTGTTCAAGACAGAATGGAAAAATTCGTCAAACTTTTCGATTTGTAAAGATTAAATTCTGAAACCAATTCTTCATTATTTTCATAACTAAATTGATATAAGAATTGTCTGATTAAAGATTTGCTAGGATTTTGAAAACCTTCAAACAAATTATTATTATTCAAATTTAATTTGTTAGTTTTTTTTTGCCTTCTAGCCTACATAGGCAACAGTTGCCAATTGTATTCAATTAATTAAATTCCCATATTCTTGATTAATTTTTCAATCATATTTTAAAATATTTCGAAAAAAATTCTAAAAAATCGTAATTAAAATGGAAGAAGTTAAAAGACGCTTGAACAGAGAAGGAATCAATACATCCGTATTTGGTAAGTATTATCACATCAATAATGGCGTGAATACACCGAATAACGGTAATTCCATGTAAAAATTAATGTATTTTTTCAAATAACAGCGGAAGAAAATGTCGATTTATCCACATTTCTTGCATTGACTCGGGAGGATTTTATTGATCTTAATTTTTCCATTATAAAAACTCGGAAAATTCTTATGATACAAGAGGAAATTCGTTCTAAATATGCAACACCAGCAGCTCCACAATCCAAAATTAATAAAGCGAATCATTCACGACCTCAATCCCAATCATTAAGCGATGTTGTTCAGGACACCATCATTACACCTACCACTATCACCAATTCATCGACAAATTATTCAATCGTAACAATTCCAGCAATGGGATGTTCTTCAACGAATTTTGATAACCACCAAATGATTGAAGGTGATCGAAATGTTAATGAAATTGATACTGCCCTTGTCAATTTGAACGCTAACTCTGATGCTCACTCGTCCCAAGGTGAAATGGTTCAAGTTGAAATCCATAATCAACATGATTATAATTCTCCCGTACCGAATGAAATACGACAACAAAATTTGTCGCTTATTAGCCTATCTAAACGACACAGTGAAGCATTTCGATTAATAGAAGTAATATTTGCACACCATCTAATTGAGCGTCAAATCAGTTTTTACCATTTTTTATTTTTTATTTTTCGTTTCAAAGAATCTAGATTTTCGTTCATTATTAGCACAAGATGATCAGGGTGCAATACTTCTTGAAGTATTGGACCGAGGTGATTATCTGGATAAAAGACTGCCAGGCACACTTGTGAAAGTAATCGCTGTTGTTGCTGATGAATTTATTTATCGAAATTTCGGATTACGATATCCATACGAGGTCGGTGAACAAGTTGTGGAAAGAATTTATGAATCCATAGGTCATAGATGTAATCTTGGAGAAAAGGTTAGTGAAATCTTTAATGTCATTTCAAATGTTCAAATGATCTCACATCTGAAATTTTACTATTTCAGAAAGAATGGTTTGGACTTCGTAAAAATAATAATCGTGTCGGAAGAATTCATAGTAGAAATGAGAAGAGAAAGTAAGATTTTTAAATTTTTATACTTTTAAATGGAATTTAATTTATCAAAAATTTTAAATTATAGACGTTTAAACCGAGAGTACAACACATCATTAAGTATGGAAACATCATTTATACGATTCAAAAATCCCAAAAACCTGAAAAGAATGTTGAACGTATAAAAATGGCAGAATATTCACATTATATAGAATATTCCATCGGAGTTGATTCCAATTGGAACTGTACACACACCATAATGAGTAGCTATTGATAGTTTGTCATTTTCTGTATACCATACACAACAACACTGAAAACATTTCATTTTTATCTTATCTTTATTATTTTTCATCTCAAATTAAAGATATTTAAATAAATAAAAAATATCAATATTTTAAAAATGATTATTTGTAGTAAAAGAATTGCCATACTTTGTTCATTATTATCTGTTTGGGCAATCATTATGTTAACATTGATGGGCATACTACTTTATAGTCATGCTGTAACATTTGCAGAAGATCTTGAACTACATGAAATTGAAACATCGAATATCAAAGAATTCTATCCGGAAGCGTATCAACGTTATGAATCAGCAGCGCATAATTGTTGGATTGCCGCCTGTCTTTACATCGCTACATTGGCGTTTTCCATGCATCAATATGTGACAAACCGAAGAATTCAATATGGATATTGATTTTATTTATTTTATTCAATTCAAAGATATGATTGTATCTATGTAGTTTATGATAAATTGTGTGTTATCCAAAGTTATTATCATTATGTTTGTCTGTTTATTTAGATTGGAAACGATTGATAATTTTTTGATTGATAAAAATAAAATCACTTGACAACCATTTTGATATAGCTAAAACCATTATTAACGCCCTTTATGAACACGCATATGATGCCACATAATCGAATGATTTTTTTTCGATTAAAATTAAATTCCAACATCGGAATAAATTCCATTCTGGAAAAATTAATAATTGAGTTCGACAATGACTGATGAAATATTAGAAACAGCTATTCATCCTAATCAAGAAGAAATTATAGCAGCTGAACAAAATGATGAAAATCAACATCAAAAGCAATCACAACAAAAATCAGAATTAGATGGCTGTCAAGACGATGAATCAACAATAAAAACAAATTCTTCAAGTGAAGATGATGAAAATGATGATGATTTACAAACTTATCCTAAAATCGAAGTTTGTTTGTTAAAAAATAATCCTTGTGATAAAAAACGTAACTTATCGCAGCAAAAGCACCCATTTTCTCGATCACCTATTTGCCGTAGCAATTCAAGCAATCAATTAGCTTCATTTACAAGTGATAAAAATGAAAATTCCACCAAATCATCTTTGAAATATTGGATTTCAGCAATATTTTTGGTGATATTAGCTTCAGCTGTGCTTTCATTTCCCATTGAATTTCGGAAAGTTTCGTTATTATTCAATGAGTTCGGAAAACCAAATAGCCTAAATCATGATCAAATTGAGCTGATTCAAAAATTTCTAAATGAAACAAATTCATTCATGCCAGATATAAGTCAAGGAATTTTACAAACCGTAATTTATAACGTTTATTCATCCAGTGCAAGTTCGATCATCCTATTATTGATCGGTAATGCTGAACAACAAGTTCAATTGCATGATATTTCACAAAATTTGGCAAATCTTATAGTTGAACTAAAACAAGAAGATTATTTTCCTACTATTCAATTGGATCAGCATTATACAAGTGATATGATTGAGCATCAATTTGAAACAGTTTTTAATGAAGAACAACGATCGGTGATGGTTTTGGAACATCTCGAATCATTGCCTTCTACAGTCACAACTACTTTTCATCAATTCGTCGACAATAATCAATCGAAAATACCTAAATCATTCACGATCATAACTCTGGTACAGAATTACACTACTTTGAAATCAATCGAAGTAGATAAAGATATGTCTCTACTTGATTTAGAGAAAATATCAACAGAAATTTTACAACAACTTTGGTCGAAAGAAGTACCTAAAGAATCACTCGATTGTCTTATCAATCGATTGGCTGAATATTCTATCATCTTATTATCATAAATACGAAATAAATTTTATTTTATTTTATTTTTTTTTGTCAATGAGATTCTTAGATAAGTTTATTATTTATTAAAATTAAATGTCGATTTTTAAAAATGTTGGCTTGGAACCACCACCACTGAATTGTCGTTTGTAGTTTTTTTTTGGAAGAGTTTTTCACGAATTTAGTTCTCACTTGCCTCGTTTCTTTGACTTCTTAGGCGATAATAGATTGGTTCTACTATTATCCGTCAAAGTCGAAGATTGAGCCATCGTCGTTTCTAAAGATGAGCCCGCACTTAATTGACTGCTGCTAGGACCAGTTATTTTCTGATCAATTTTCGGCTTAGCGGAATGGCGAAATTTTCGAATATTTTGCGATGGATGTAATATTAGATAATACATCGACTGTTATGAAAAAATAACAAAATAATAAATTAATCGACGGGAAATCGGTGTAAAATCAATGATAATTACCATAAAAATCAAGCCAATGAAAAAGCTTGTAAAAAATAATATAAATGCTGGAAGTCGATACCATTTGAATATATCGCAAACATTGTACCAAAGTAATAGAATGATAAGATTTTCGATGAACATCACCGTATAGTAAAATAAATAACGTTTTCGTGATGGACCCTCAACCGGATTAAAGTAACAGAAAATAAATATAAGGGCCAAAACAGCATTATAAAATAATTCTTCTATCCGGTTATCACAAAATGTTGTTTTCATGTTGACAATCCAAATGAACATTATCAACCAGTGAACAACGCACACAATGCCTATGTAATAAGTGAATTCGGATGCAAACAATGACAAGGCCAGTACACGCGATGAAAGCATAAAAAAACGCCAAAAAAATTGAACGATCGCTCCCTACCATTCATCGAATGATCAATTAACAAATTAATTGAATTAAAAATTGAACTTACGGGGTATGTCATATTCTTTTTATTAGCCAAAGACATACGAAGCATGCGAATATAAGTCACAAGACACCATGCTAAAGATACCAATGAAGATATTATGGAAATTGATTGAGCCAAAACTGAGAAAAATTATAATTTTTCATATGAATTTATCAATAAAATAAGCCATACCTGTCCCATCTCGATTTTTATCCGGCATTTTTATGATCAATACCGTTAATTGTAACACCAATTGTGGAGCAGCTTCCATAAAGCCTTCAAATAGACGAAGCATTGTAGCATCAGTATCTTCGTAAATCATATATTGAAAATAACGTCTAGCAATTTTCTTTTTTTCTTTACTGAGCTTACGGAATTCAATTCCGTAAAGAATCGAATCAATATAGCGTAGCACTGGACCAAGTTGCAAAGTTAAAAGGATAACACGAAAAACCCATTTAGTTGTTGATACGGGCAGAGAATTAGGATTTTTCGAATCAATAATATACCATCTTAATGACATTATTGTCATGATTAAAGACGGTACGGTAATAAATAAGAGGGTCAAGGAAAAATACCAATAATCATGATTTAAATAGTGACAGGTGGTGACGATAATATCAGTTATAAAATCACAAACAAAACTACCAATTGAAAACGATAAAGTTAACATATCTAGATAAGTGAATGACATGTATGTTGATATAGAATCGAGATAATCCTTATCCTGAACATCTAATTTTGAATCAAATAAAGGTGGGTGATGAGAAAGGACAAAATCAATTGAACGATTCGCTTGAATGCGATCTGATTGTGGCTGAGACACTTGAGATCTTGAACCTTTGACATTTTTTTTCTCATCCGTTAAACATAATTCATTGTCAATGATCGAACTGGTTGATCGAATAAGCTTTTCTTCTTTCTCCGGTGAGAAATTACTGGTTTTACTTTGAATTGGGCTATAAATATCTTTGGTTGTAATTGTTTCCAACTGTTGTTGTTGTTTCAATTCTTTTATTTCATATGAATCAATATTAGTATCGAGTATCATACTGAAAAAATTCAAATGAGTTCGATTCTTTTCCGGTGAAGAATCGAGAAAAAGCAGTCTTTTCGATTGGTTAAAAACGATTAATTTAAAGTAATTTCTGTTGTATTGTTAGATTGACCCATTATTCCATTTGATGATTGGAACAATTACGGTGAAAAAACACTGTTAAGAATCGATCATTTCGAAATCTTTTTCTAATATTTATTTATTTTATTTTAAATTGATAATAAATAAATATTTCAAGTTTTATTTTTATTAAAATTGAATGAAAAACAACAACAAATTGTTGCATTCGTTGATAAACGAATTATGAAAAACAAATGAATTAAACAGCTGAACAAAATATACAAAGTGTACGTACTTTCATTGTTCACCTTTGTTAATATATTGAATTGGCGCCAAAAATTTAATCAAATTAAATTTTACAAATAAAAACAATTTGTTTGGGTCAATATAACGAGGCTATTCAGTTTTTTCTTTTATCGAGTTAAATCGATTTTTAGAGAGCCAAAAAAAAGATGATTTCGAATTTGACGAAATTTCTGCATAAAAATCCAGACATAATAAATGACGATAAAATTGTCAATAGTCATGATAAACAATCTCGAATCGAAAGAATTTGTAGAAAATTGGGTATTAATACAATGCTTAAAGTTACCTACAAACGAATAATGGATCACATAAGAAATGAACCAAAGAACGATGAAAAGGCGCGATGTTTCTTAAGAAAAGCTCTTTTGCTTAATAATAATTCAGATGATAATTTAGCTATTGTGATGGATAAATTGAATCATGCAATCCTTGAAAGTGGATATGGTGGGCCGACATTTGTTCATGCATATTGTCAGCGATCAAAATGCAATATTGAACTCGGCAACTTCGAAGCAGCTTTATTGGACATCAACATTGCCATCAAATATGGTGGTCCAAATGACGAACGCTCCTTTACACGATCATTAGCTATTTTTTATAGGAATTTAAAACATTTCTTTCCTTCGTGTTCCACCAAACTGAATTCGAAAGATATCAAAACTTGTATAGAAAACAATGACCCATCTCCATGGAAAAGTTTATGGGATTATCTCACTAACGATAAATTGATTTCGGAAGACAAAGATGATCAATCACAGTTGAGCGGTTTGGAAGAATTATTCGAATTTCAGTGCAATTTCAAAATCGACCCACGTTGTGCTATTGTCAATAACAAGAAAAAAGGAAGACATTTCATTTGTCAAAATTCAATTCCAAATGGGACGCAAGTTCTAGTCGAACGTACTTATAGTATCTCATTCGATAATCAATTTCAACTTCGACTTTGTCTTCATTGTTGCAAAGAATGTGAAGATCATTTTGTGCCGTGCCGTTATTGTAGAATGGCCGTATTTTGTAGTGAAGAATGCTTCCATCGAAGTTGGTCATCGTTTCATCGTCATGAATGTTTAATTCTTTCTGTTTTCGATCGCGATAAATTAAACTTGTCCATTCATCTGTATCGAATGATAACAAAAATTGGTGTAAAAAATGCACTTATTACAAAACGACATATAGATAAAATGAAAAATAATAATTCAAACTTGTCCAAAAGAGTTGAAAAATACTGGAACAAAAGTATTGAAGAAATAATCAACGAATTTATTGTCGAACGATATATGAATGATGAAAAATTACGAAATACACCGGATTTTCGTATGAAACCAAGCCAAAAAAATAGAACTTATCAAATGATGCTCACCTTGTTGGATCATAATGAAAAATTTGAATCATATTATGATATGAATTACATTGGATTAGCAATCGATACAGCTTTGATACTACTCATCAATAATTACCTGATCAGGAAGCAATCAAGTAAACAACAATTTTCTCTACCTCATTGGGCTCATTTACCAAAGATTTTATTGAAACAGATAATCAAAAAGAATGAAAATAAACAATCTATCCACGAATTGAACATTTTCAATCATTCTTATGAGGATTTTGCACGTTTAGTCGAAATTCTTCTTCTTAATGTCAGGAAATTGACGACAAACATGTTCTCTTGGAATAGTTTGAACTCATCAGGCGATCCGCAAAATGTGGCAACTTGTCAGTGTTTAGTTGGTTCTTTGATTAATCATAGTTGTAAACCGAATGTTGACTGGGAATTCGTAAATGGCTGCATCGTGTATACAGCCTCAAGGTAATTTGATATTTTATTTTATTTTTCACTAAAATTTATTACTTGCATTGTGACAGAGATATTGAACCCGGTGAAGAAATCACAAATTCGTATGGACCGCATTCAGAAATCCCATTCATCAAACGTCAAATAATATTATCACAAAACTATTATTTTAATTGTCGTTGTGAAATATGTCGTATTGAAGTTGAATACTATCCGAATGTTTTGAAATGCCAAAAATGTTCTGGTCCTGTATTGGTCATACCTGATTCGTCAATCAATTCTGAATGCATGAATTGTTGGCAATCTTATAAAAATGCTTTTGAAAAAATGGAATATGTTGAGGCAAGTTTTCGGAAATTTTTTGCCATACAAATGCTTATTCAAAATGAATGCCGTGGTGCTTATGATGGACAAAACGTGTGGTTTGAAAAAATGCTACAATGCTTGAAAGATCAACAATATTACCTATATGGAAAAAATCAAATGTTAATAAAAAATCTAAGAATTGCCTGTCGTTTGTATTTAAATCGTGGCGAACTTGATACTGCATGTGATTTAGCATTTCAATTGAACGAAATCGATGACGATTGTTTCTCGATATCTATTAATGATAAAAACATGAATGATTCCAATTGGATAAAAGCTCTCAAAAACCGACACCTTTATCATGATATTGGAAAAATGTATCTGCAACAACAACAAGAAGCAAACAATGAGTTGAAAAAAGATGAAAAAAATGATGAACAAGATGTGAACAATCAACGTTTGTTTTTTGCCAAAAAAATGGTCGACACTTATCATGGGGATAATCTGTTTCTTGCCCAAAAATTATTCAACTCGTTGATAAGCGATGATGAATACAAATTTTCGGAAATTACTCTTTGATTTAATTTTCCTTTTTTATCGCACACATTCTTTATTCAAAATTCATTTCGATTTTATCACATAACTTCAATGCTAAATCAATAAATTGAATAAACACGTAAAAAACCAAAAAACAAAAAAAAACTATGGTATTTATTTATTACTGTTATACATTTGAAATAATGGTGGCCAGATATCTATTTCGAGATTAAAGGATTTAAAAAAAAATTATGAAAATTCCCTCTTATAAATCATGTTCTAGGTTTAATGTTACACATTATGAAAAAAAAGAAAATGAATTTCATTTAATATAAAGATTCATTGTGAGCTAATCATGATTGCCTGTAATAATGAAATTGTGTCATTAATGTTCAAGCAAGGTCAATATCGAGCATTGTAAGGCCATCGAACATTATGAATTAGGTCAAACAATGTTGATAAATCGGTGCCAAGGTTAGTAGTGCACCACAATTACTTTTACTCAATATAAATATAATACTATAGAAACGCATTTATTAAAATATTTCTCTAAATGTCGATTTTCTCAATCATCCATGTTGAAAGCTAATGATGATATAGTTTTTCTTAGTCAAACCAGCTGTTTTTACATTATAAAAGCTAGCAATCGTTGAGCTTTTGATCACAAAACTAAATTCAATTCAGCATTTTCAACTAATCTATTCGCGCAATCTATAAGTTTTAGTGGCAAATTCGCGATTCAATTGCAGAAAAGCATTGATCATTTAAAGAATCTGTCAATCTTATAATAATGAAACACGTTTTTATTGACTCTCATTCAGAATGAAATTTACAAATCCTAAATAATAGATAAATTATAACACTGTCCATTCACCGGAATTTTTTGAACTGATAAATTTAAGCAAACAATAAATTTCAAAGATTATACAGATTATGTTTTTATAATCTGAAAGAATTACAAACAACTTTGTTATTATGAAAACCAGCGTAGAAAAACAATAATCAATTAATAAATGGTAGGGTATAATTGAGAATAATAAATATAAATAAGAAACTAAAAACATGAAAATGAAGGAATGAGCCTACATAGCTGATTCATACAATAAAATACAATTCTCAATGTGATTAGTAAGTTACATTGAGGATGTAATGACCAGGTATGAATTTTTTTTCATTTTTTGCGTATGGGCCAGAAAAAATAATATTCATTTGATATACTTTTGTTTGTTTGTTGTATTATTACATATAATTTTTAAAATAACATTAGAAAGCGAAAAAATTTGACACTCATTAGCGTCAATGAAATAAATGTTTAACAATGAAATGAACTATAAGAACAATGATGACGAGACGAATTTCTGATGGTATTGATTGGAATAGCAGACTAATTTGCATTTTTGTAATGGCAAATGGTCCATCACTTGAACCATCACTGTGTAATGTTTTTTTATCTCTTGATCGTGATAATTGATTGGCGATGGAGACTGCCGAATGAAGATCATGAAACTGTGTTTTGAGTACAGATTGTTCTTCTTTAACACGTTCAATCGATTCTTGAAGTGTGGACAATCTTTGCATTATTGTATCAAAGTTACGTATTAAAATTCTGTTGCTAGATGATGAACCAAGTATCTGTGGCGAATCCAATGCGGATTGAATTCCGGCCATTTTGTTTGCGGCATTTATATCAATGGCTGTTGGATCGGCACAAGTATGCTGACGACGAAAACGTCTATGTTTATGGACATTTGTATTAATAGACATATCGGTCGATTGTTCATTTGTTTTGTTCGATGATCTGGCAATGAAATTCGGATTCAAATGCCTGGTTAGTGTACGTATCACATAATCATATTCATATTGTTTAACATCAGTTCTAAATAAGAAAAATAAATGAGAAAACTCAAAATGAACAAACTTGACATGACTTACCTATTATCCCAAGGGCGTAGTTCGGCCATGCGATAAAGCCAATCATTAAATTTGCTGTCCAAAATAAAATATTTTGGTTGCCATAATTCTAATCGAGAGCTTCGTTGCCGCGCTGCGTCACGTTGCGCTTCTTCTAGATTCGTTTTTTCAACAGTCGCCATATTTTGATCTTGTTTCTGTATGGCCAATGTTACTTTATGCCATAATTTTTCTGATTCATTATCATGTTGTGTGTCGAGTGGCACAATAAACCGCTTCAAACGGCTACTTTTTACTTTTGGATCGATACCAGACCAGAACAACTCTGGCACCCCTTTACGCTTATCTTTGTAAAATATTTCCGAATCCCAATGGCCCTCAATACTAGCCATCGTTTCATTACCTAAGCGAACTTTTCCGATCAGTAAATTACATTGATCATCAGACCCGAAGAACGGTTTTAATTTGAATTCCAATTCACTTTTGTATCCAGTTTTTTCACAAGTAATGGTAACTTTACCGCCCAACTCAAATGCTAATGGTCCCAGAAAGATTCCTTTGCAATGTGCAAACGGGAATGTAATCAGATAATCTTCACCGCGAGCTAATAACGTGAGTCGAGCTGTTCCTTCTAATAAAGCAGAAATTGAATTTCCATAGAATTTTGATTTAGCCAATATCGATCCACTAATGCAATAGCCATCTTTACGATTGGTCACATAAAAAGCTGATACAGGAGGATGATGTGAAACTTGTTCTGCAATATAAAATGTACGTGAATCTGTATCGGGGTGATGCCAACAACATCGGAATGTTTCACCCAATATAGGATTGTATGGTTTTTTCAATCCCTTTGGCTTCTTGTAGAAGCCTGATAGATACCATTTGAGAATCAATTTCATTCGCATCAATGGATCATCTTCTAAGGCGGCCCTAAGGATTAAAAATGGAAATTTGCTTTACAGATAAAAACAATGTCAATAGCTAAATCTTACTTTGAGATAATATCACAATGATAATAATAATCGGTAAGTTTTTCCAAAAAGGATCGTGGTTCCAGAATAAATGTGGGCAACACCACTTTAGATAGATCCATGCCCGGTCGAACTTGTTTGAGCAATGTCCATAAAAGTGATTTATTTTCTTCGGGAACCTCTTCAGTTTGACCAGCATCGCCGACCAAACCGAATTCTTCGTTACCCCCATCATAGCAATAATTTGTTTCATCAATTTCGGGTATATCAATAGGAGTTTTCAAGGAATGATCATTAGACAATTGCTTGATGAGTTTATTGTTTGTTAAAACATGACGATCTCCAACATTACCACTATTCACATCGAAGTCTTCATCGATGAATATTGAATCATCACTTTCTTCAGTTGAATGTTGACCAATTGAATCATCATGTTCGCCATGATCAGTATGGCCATCATCGTCAATATCTATGTATGGTTTTTTCACATAAGTAAATTAGAATGCAATAATTTTTTTCTTACCGAAATGAGTTTCAATATCAATTTCATTGATGTTGTTGCTGCAAATTAAAAGATCACCTTCTGCTGAGTTAATATAATTAAAACTTTGCAATGTCTGCGATTCTGGTGCACTATTAGTACTAATAATTGATGAACTCAATGGTGATAATGGCATGGAATCACGACGTTGATCACGATTAACGCTATCGGCAATTGCATTCTCATTATTGTTAGCATTATTCGGAGAAACGATATGTCTAGGGGCAAGTAAATCGGTACAATTCAATGAAAGTTCAATTGCTTCCATCCATTTTCGTCCAGCTTCCTCGGATGGCGCACGAAATATGGCCGATGATACGGGCAGTGGGAATAGTAGTGAAGTGAATTCTTCGCCATGTGGACCCTAATTATCAAGAATAAAATTTAAAAAGATTTGTTTTGGACAGAAAAGATGAAAATCTACCTTAGGAGCCCAGATCGGATGATCAAGAGGATGGAATAATTTAAAACAAAAACCACCCTTTTTAGATGGTCGTTCCAGTACTTCACACATTTTTAACATCACAGTACCGACCCAATTACTAGGCTTATAAGTTTTTTGATTTTTATACATGTAAAGGGATCCGGGTCTCAATTCACAATAATATTTGTTCCATTGTTTCAAGGTTGTACGAACTTTTAACCAATCAGACATAACGATCGTTGTCGGGTCCTGGATGGCCGAAATCAATTCAGCAGTTAATTTTTTCTTTTCTAGACGATAATTTTTTCTTCTAGCTTTAAAAGTTTGTAGTTTTTTACCGGGATCATTTTCATTACCATCGTGATAATTGACCTCTGTTAATCAAAAATAAAAAGATGAAAAAAGTAAAATAAATTTCATCTGCTTACCATCGAATAATGCCTGGCTGTTACTGGCGCCACTAATATTTTGGCTAGAATTCTGATTATGATGATTGGATTGTGATGATAGTGGCGACGGTGTCATCATCGCTGGTGGCAATGGTGTTTGAAATCCTGAACTAAGACTTGGTGAAGCCATTTTCTTTTCCACTTCTTTTTCCTGTAATAAATTGAATCGAATTGATTTCTTTTTTGGCTCCAATAATATGGTCGAATGAATGAATGAAGATGGATTCGAATCTTTTGCAGATGATTGAGATGATTGTGAAATTGTTCCTTTCTTTGGAATCAGTTGTTGACGTTTAGATGATGATGATGATGATGATGTGGACGATGATGATGATGAACTTAATAATGGTTTCTTTTTCAAGAATAAAGATGTGGACGATGGAAATTCAAATGAAAATCTTTTTTTCGGGCGTATATCAAGGACACCAGTAGTGGTTAATTTTTTTTGACTATTGTTTGTACTAGAATTATTATTCGATGAATGAAACAATAATAATGATTTGAATAAAGAATTATTAGAACTTGTCGAACATGATCGTGATGAACGAGAAGTTGTTGAAAAACTTAATGAATTATTTTCACCATTTGATGATGATTGTTTTCTTTCATCTAAATTATTATTATTGTCACCAATTTTTTTATGATTATAAAGAATTTGTTTCAAGTTTTTATCAACGAGTGAAGATTTGTTTCTTTCAGAATCATTTTCAATTGATAATGATATGGTTGATGATTGTTGTTGTTTTTGACAAACGACGACATTGATAACATTGAATTCATCATCATTAGATATAATACATTTAGAATTGTTGCTATTGTCAATAGATGATAATCTTTGTCGTCGTTGTTGTTGTTGTTGCAGATCATTCCATTTATTAGGTTTTGTTGTCGATACATTTCTTTTTTGTTCAACGTTATCTAAATTTATTTTTATTGAACAAATCAATGAAAAAAAACAAATTAAAAAAATAGTTACAAAACAAAAATAGAAGATTATGGCATCATGTGTTGATGTTATATACTCGAAACATCAAATGCAATAAAAATATGCAACAAAATTTTATTTGTGTAATTGTGTTTGTGCCTTTTTTTATACCCAAAAAAAAGTAATTGGCTATTGTCGTGCAAAAATTAACCATACTAACACATCGAAGCTAGATGTTAGATACTGTACTCATCCATCATAATTCAACAAATAGAAAAGAAAAACCATTTTTCCTCTAAAATAAAAATAAGGAAAATTCGATACATATCGTGAAAAAACCATCGAATTTTGTAAACATTGTTCGAATCGAAAATTCTTTGCTGAAATACACATATTAACATGCAAACATTTACAATAACAACAACAAAAAATAAATGATCATTTTTCAATTGATAAAACAATGTGTATTTTTCATTCGAATCAAACATTAGTTTATCCAAATTTATGGCGTAAGATGGATAATCGAGCGAAACCATTATTTATTAATCAATTGAAAAGCTATTCAACCTGAATAAACGAAAAAAAACTTACCACATTAACCTTGTAGGTGTTGTTGATAAATTTAAATTATCATTTAATTATAATTATATAAATATGTCTTTTGGAAAAAACTTTCTTTCAAAATAAAGAAAAAGGAAAAATGAAACAAGTCACATGCTGAAAAGGTCGGACAACATTTAAAAAAAGGCACTCAAATCAATTTTTGAATAGAAATAAATATTTTGTCACCGTATATTACAAAAAACATAGAATGCGTTTTTTTCAAAAATGTAACTATTAAAGTTTTTCGTTTCCGTCAAACATTGAACATAGAAAAATAAACATAGAAACCGAAAAAGAAACACTTATATACCACACTCACACATAAACAAACACAAAGGAATTCCACGTATCATACGCCATCAAAATAAAAACAAAACAAACATTAAAAAAAATTAATGTCAAAATTCAATCAAATCATAATGCCGGGATTGTTTGATCAAGTTTAATTATTTTATTAGAGTTTGATTGTTTACAGCTGCTGTTTTTATTCAATTGGATCAAATATGAAAAAAAAACATTCAAAAATTCATCGACAGAAAAAAACAAACGAACGATCCAATAAATTGAATGAGAATAACATAGAAAACCACATACAAAGAATATTTAAATGAATTTTTTTTTTTAAATTTAGAGATAAATATATTTCCTGCTCATATAACGATAAGTGGAAGAACGAAAAAAAAACCAAACGTGAAACATGGCTTCATTTAGAATTTTTTTTTTCATTTATTTGTTTATTAGTTTCTTATGGAGAGCAATTTCCGTGAAAAAAAAGGATCCAAGAAAACTGTTCATTTGTTTCTCTCATCACTGAAAAATGCTGCTATCGGCTAATTTGAAAACAACTACATAGATTCTATACATTCGAATTTTTATATAGCATACTATATAATGATAATAATGAAATCAAAATCAAAATAATAAGAATCAACATTTATATGGATAAACAATGTTTAATATATGACAATCAATTTCATAGCATTTTTTGTTCCATAGCAAGTTACGTATTGAATTTATTCATATTTGATTTGGATTTTGTTTCATTGTATTAGTTTTTGTGACAAATCCAAAATGGAACAATATTATTATTATCGATTTTCGCATGTGACATGAAAGATATATGAATGATTCTAAAATCATATTTATTTGTTAATAAGAATATTTCAATCCATTTTTTCATTTTTATTTAAACCGATCGATTATTGGTAAAATATAGATGGATCGAAAATTTTCATACGTGACTATTGTCACAAATTATCATAACAGGATCTAGTCTTATTTATGTTCATAATCAATATTAATGGAATAAAATTTCGAAATCTAGAATGGCGAAAACGAATAAAAAGATCGATATCTGTGAAAAAACTATTGCTTTTTCTTTTCATTTAAATTCTAAATGTGCGTGTTTAAAGTCAATTTAATTGTTAATCATGTTTACGGAATAATCGAATTTCATTGCTGATTTTTTTTTTCGTTCATTTCAAATTCAAATGAACATATGAACGCCATCTATTGAATCCTATTCAAGATAAAAAGTTTCATAAAAAGTAAATATTTCATTTTTAAAAAATTAATACACAAATAGATATTACATTAAATTAATTGAATTAGTTTTAATGACAATTTGCATACCTGTAGTTTTTGATGATTCGACTGAAACCATTGAATAAGATTAAAATAATCTGTTTGGATTATTTGTTCGAGTACGAAATGTTTGAAATTTAAATAAATTCTGAATTTTTCACGTTGATGAGCTTTCATATAAATTTCAAACAAATCAGTCTTGTGCTACTGAAATCCTAACAAAAAAAAACTTTTTTTCAAATTAAAAAAAAATAAGAATTTCGCATTCAAAATAGATGTTCAATGCAGAGATCATAAACAACAAAATCAAAAAATATTGAATAAACACCAAATAAAGATTAAATCGTTAGTTAGATGAAAATTGTAGCAGCAAACAAATTCACCATACACAAAGAAACTGATATATTTATCGAGATGAAATATGAACAAGTGATGATGCTTCTAGCTTTATAGATGATGTTGATGATGATGGTGATGATGATAATGGGAAAACAACGAGATCATATGATGATAATAATTATAAAAAAACTTGACTTAAGGAAAATATAATTAATGTTTTCAATAATAAAAATGATGAAATGAAATTACAATCAAGTTTCCATACGGCTTGAAATAATGAGTAAGCCAAAACATAAAAAAAAAAGAATTTCGGTTTTCAATTCAATCATTGTCGCGTCTTTCTGCATTTGATAAGATGTTTTCTTCGTTAGTTTTTTTGTCAATTTTTATTCTCACCACCTGTATGTCGAATTAATCTGTTTGACTTTGATGACGACTATCAATGACAATCAATATCGATCAATTTCGAATTGAAACGAATAATTAAATCGTATGCATACGGAAAATAACCCGTTTCAATTAGATTGGATCATGACATTTCATTTCTTTTTTTATTCGACAAACAACGTCATCAGTATGGTTGATTGGTTTTTCTCATTATATTTGTTATTTAGAAAATGAAATATTTTGTCGCATTATTATATCACACCTAATTTTTCGTCTGCTTCTCTTCTTTCCGCCGATGAATACATCATGCAAAAAGTGATCATTTGACAGGAAAAAATAGCGACAATTTGAATGAAATAATCATCATTATAGATTTGACAAAGATAATGTCATCATCATTATTACCATGATCCACTTATGCTAAATAAGTGTTTAAAATTTATGACACGAGTAATGAGTTGATTGATTCTTTGTTGTTGTTGTTATTGTCGTTTCAATTTTTTCTGACAGCTGGTAATGGAGATTAAGGATTTCGTCACACAAATTTGTATCGAAAATTATTCTTCTTTTTGATTACTATGATCACGATAATAAGATAATAACAACGCCAGTATGCAATGACAAAAAAAAATCACAAATCATTTGCAGCTGAGATCCACAACAAACGCGTTTAATTTCATGATGCATAATTTCAGAAACTATTTCCACCTACTACGATGTAAATAGATCCTCTATTTGGATCCAACCAATTGCAAAAAAAAAAAAAAATTCGAAATTGAAAAAAATAAATTTATTTTTTCATGTCAAAGAAACAGAATAAGATGGTAGGAAGCTTATTGTACAATGATCATGTAATAAATCATCAGCATCAGCATCATCTGGACTGTTGAAGATGAAATTTTTAATCGATGAAAATCGTTTTATTTGAATTGAGTTTATTTTCAATTGATCTATTAAGGATTTAAATAGGTCATCGGTGATCAGATACCAATCTGTGGTAAATGACATTCGATATTTTCTCAATAAAATGGCATTATCATCATCTTGATTGTGACGATCAGATTTCAATGATATATCAGGCGGAACAAAGATTTTATACCATACAAGTAAAGAGTTTTGCAACTTTATTCGAATCATTTGTTTGTTATTTTCTGTTTTAGAATCTTCGAACGTTGTATAACAATCCCTAAAATGAAAAAAAAGAACATTGAAAAAATGAACTATTTTCACACATACTAAAAAAATACCTTTGTCTAAGTTTAATATACAAACTACAAGCTTTATCTTCAACCGATTCAAAAAGAATTTCATCAGATTCATTCAGTAAAAGATGAACAATTTGTTCGATATGATCTAAAATTAATGGTCCATAATTTTCGGTTATCGACGATAAAATATTAACGTTTTCCTTATGATGAGAATGATTATGACAAAAAAGCCAGTCATTCAATAGTTCCGGATTTGGACGAGAAAATACTTTCAATAGAGATTTATCAAATTCAATCGGTTTTGGCAGCTTAGATTCATCGATGTTCGATTCAAAATTCAAAACTGAAAAAAATTCCACATAATCCTCATGATGAGATGAATAACCGACCAATTTTTTCATTTGATGAACATCAATGCTGAGATTTGCTGGAGATTCGAATTCAACACAATAAATACAATCATCAATGTCGTTTAATTCTGTATTGAATCCATCAATGATTATTGCGGATCCATCAATACTTTGAATACAAAACTGTAAAAAATCGGAATTTTCACCATTTGAAATTGTGAAAAGCCTTTTATTATCAACATCTTTCAGCATAAAAGTTTCATTTTCATAAACAACATTCAAGAATGGCAACTTTAATTGAAAATGACAATATAGTCTTGAACATTCTAGACCCAACACACCGAATAAATTAATTAATAGATCAGACATTTAATGAAAAAAATCAATAATTTATTTGTTCATATTCTTTTTTTTGTAACAGAAATTACGAAACTCGAAATATAAGATTCAGAATATCAAGATTTGTAAAATAACATATGAGCAACATGTGATTAAAATTCCATTAAATATCGGATTCTCAGTATCGATGGTATCGAAATCACATTCCAAAAAATTTGAAATAATAATGAAAAAAAATCCACAAAAATCAAAATATAATGTTTATATTTGTTAACTAAATTATAAAGATAACATAGAATAGTCCATAGATAATTGAGAAAACAAGATCAAATCTTATTTTCAGATTTTTGGTTGATTTGAAATATATTTTGTTTGGTTTTAGCTAAAAATAAAGAATTAAGAAAAAAAATAGTTCCGACTTATTAGATGAAAAACTTAATATATAAGCTTAAATTTTTCTTTTAAAAAGAGTCTATGATGTTTAAATAAATCAATAAGGCTTATCAGGTTTTCTTTTCAGTTGAACTTTTAGCCTTTTTGGTCCGATTTGAAAACCGTTCATCGTTTGAATTGCAGCACGTGCTGATTCAGGATTATCATATGAAACAAAACCAAAGCATTTAGATAGATTTGTGTAACGATCGACAAAAACTTTGGCAGAAAGTATATTTCCGAATGATGAAAACATTGTTGTAAGATCAAAATCTCCAAATTCGGATGGCAAATGATAAATGAATAGATTGGCTCCTTCTGGTCCTTCAGATTGTTTGTTCACAGTTATGCTGGCTATTGTTGATACATTTTCTAATATTGATGGTTGATGCACACCATTCAAGGAATCAATACTACTCGATGCTGATGATGATGATGATGAAGATGCCGTTGTTGATGACGTTAAACTTTTCGTAGTCGTTTTTCCATTATTTCCGGTATTACTGATGAGTGATTTACCTTTAACATTATTAATAACACCCATATTTGATGGTCCAAATGATGATACACCATACTGTTGATCTAAATATGGTCCTAAATGCGCAAATCCAAAAGATCCATTTGTTAATGGATTTAAATATGGTGAATGATGGTGATGACCTTTCGGTAATGGATGCGAAAATGCACCAAAAAATGGAGAACAATTGTTCGTTGTTGAATAAAAAGGTGATGGATGGTTGATGACCGATTGACTAGGCCAACAATTAGGCACCATATACAATGGATTCATTGGATAATAATCCGATGATATTGAGGGATGATATGGATAATGAGGATGATGATGGTGATCAACAATTGATTGGTCATTATTATTATTAAATAGGGAATGTTGATCAGCTGAATTTTTAGATGCTATATTAGTGTCTGCGGTTTTTGGATAGATAAAAATATTCGAAGGATCACTGTAAAATGATGAATGATTTCCGGGATTAGCTGTTGCATTCATATTCACAATCGATGATGTCATGTCGGTTACAGGATGCATGTTCGTGGTCATATGACCAAGTATATTTTGATGGGGTGATTGTTGCTGTTGAGACGATAGGTTTGTCGATGATGGTTGATGTTTTTGTTGTTGAGCTGCAGCAGCGACAGCAGCCAATGCTAGATAAGGATTTGTTGATGCCAATGTAGCTGCGGCAGCGGCTGCAGCAGCAGCAGCTGCCGTATTCGATTGATATTGTTTTTGCTGTTTTTGATTTAAAGAAGAACCATTTCTACCACTATGACCGTTTGAAGATTGTCGATGATACGATGAAATCTTCGAATAATTATGGTGATGTCGTGAATGTCCGTGACTGGCTGGTGTTGAAGAACCCGATGAAATCACTGATGATCCGGAGCCGGAATCCGATTGGCTATTCCTATTTTTGCTATTTCCATTATTGTTGTTAGTCGCCATAATCATGTTAAAATTATTATTGGTCGATGCAGAAGCTGCAACAGCTGCAGCAGCAGCCGCTGCTAATGATACAAATTGTGGTGTCGGATGAACTATACATGATTGAGCTGCAAGCGAGGTCGGATGTAAAAATAGAGGATGTTGTAGAGAATTGTTTTGATGGCGAAGTTGATTGTTGTTATTATTCAGAAGATTGGTACCGTTCGAAATCTGTGGCACTAGCTTTCGAACTAAATTTGTTGATGATGAATTTTCTTTGTTAGTAACGAAAAAATCTTTTGTAGATAATGAATGATGATGATGTTTACTATTTGCTGGTGTAAGGTTTATAGATTGTTTTTGTTGAGGAATATTATTAGAAGCTAATTTAACCACAATCGGTAATGAACAACCATCCATTGTCATTGAATTATGTATCGTTTTTATTGAATTGATTGCACATTGTTTTGTACTGAACGTTACAAAAGCACAACCTATTGACATCAAATAAATAAGGTTATAGACAAATTTTTAAAAAATTTGATTAAAAAATCAATTTCAAATCAACTCACCTCTGCTATTTCCTTTCGAATCTCTAAGTACAAGGCATTCTTCAATATTACCAAAACGGGTAAACATTTGACGAACATCTTTTTCGTTGAATTTTTTCGACAACATACCAATGAAAATTTTTCTTTCTTGTTTATTTTCACTGTCGGCCGGTTTCATTTGAATTGGATTATGCATATTTTCTAATGTTTTTACATTGTGCAATGCATCTTGAGCCGATAAAGCTGATTTACGACTGAAAAATGTAACAAAACAACAGCCACGACTTTGCCCTGTTTCTTTATCTCTCAATACTTTTAATGAATAAATTTCTCCATATTCTTCAAATAATTTATGACAATCAGATTCATTCCATTCTTTAGGTATCTGACCGACGAACATTTTGATTGCATCAGGATCGGGAAATTTTTGTTCATTTAACGAATTTTTGTCATTAACATTACAATCATTTATTTTACTATCATCATTATTATCATAATCTTCGATTTCATCTTCAACTTGGCTATCTTCTTCTTTTACATTTTCATCCATGACGAAATTATTTTCATTCCAATTTTGTTCACTTTCAGTATCCGATGTGTTTAATGGTTGACCATTTGGTGTTTCTGTTTCTATTTCAATTTCTATTGATTTTTTTACTAATTTTGTTGATTCGCTTGAAGATAATGCTGTTGGATTATTATGTTGAACCATATGATCATTTGTGATGGACATTTTTGATTTCATCGAATAGATTAACTCTTCTTCTTCTTTTCTTTTGTCGTTGTCGTCGTCGTTTTCAACACTTGACGAATTTGAAATAGAATGACTAGCTGATTGATTAATTATTTTTGAAGAGTTTTCAACATTCAACAGTGACGATGTATGATCGCAATCTAAAAAAATTAATCAAGTTAAAAAAGTGAAATAAGGAAGTGAATTAAATTTTATTTGTCTGCAATTCAATATGAAATTTGATCCAAATTTGAATGTGAGAAATACCTTTATCATCATTGAAAGTTTTCAATTCTTTGACAATCATCGTAGTTGAAGACGATGTTGTCGTTGATTCCGAAGTCATTTTTTAAAAATTATTGAAATTAAAAATAATAATGATTAAACATCAGATTATGACAGAAAAAAAGCAACAACAACACAAAAAAAACACAAAAAATTGATATTTAAGAATTTGAAAATGAAATCAACAAGTGACTTTTATGGATCCATTAATTAGGAATAATTCACCATACAACTTTTGCAACATAGACATATGATACGATCATATTTTTGAGAAAAAACTAACATTGAACGAAATCCAACAATCAATCGATCCACACAGATAGATTTTGAATGTGAAATAAACAACAACAACAAAATTGAAAAAAGAAAGAAAGTCACATTTGAAAAAAAAAAACAAAAATACACGAAATTTTAACCACACAATTTTTCTTCATCCGATTGATAGAAAAAAAACAAGACAGAAATTTATTAATTTAATCAATGATGACCGTAATGTGATAATTAAAAGAAATATTTTCAAATCAAAAACGATAACATTACAGTATTTACACACACACACACACACACACCGGTTCAAAAAATACATTCGACGATTTGATTGTAACGGACACAAAAATAAGCAACCTAACTGAATGAAACAAATACCATTATTGCCCGAAAAAAATTGTTTTTTTTTCGGGAAAAAATAACATCTCTCTTTCTCTCTTTCACTATCATAATCATTCGTCATAAAGAAATCATTAGTTTTTTTTTCGCTTGTCTCTTTCAAAAGATTTTCATTTTTTTTTTTCATTCATTCATTCTAATCTTCAATCATTCAGGTATGTTTGTTCGTTTTCAATAGTTGATTGAGCACAGTATAAAGAAGCTCATTTCCGACTTTTTTTTTATATTTATTCGCCGTATACAACGGACAAACATTTATAATAAAAATAAAAAAGATGATGAAATGATGGCAGGTCATACAGTGATTTTTCTTTTTTTTTCTTTTTGTATGGCCCGAATTTTTTTCATACTTAACAATCTTTCTCTCTCGAAAAATTTTCCAATCTCTTCCGTTCATTATCATCACTCTTTCTCTCTCTCTCTCTTTTAATCATTGATTTTATTTTCTCTAAAATAATTTTTTAATTTTTCTCAGAGAAAATATCTATCTATGATGTTATCGTGTCTGGTCTTGTATCTTGCTTGTCTCAAGCTAAAAGTAGGACTTGATTTGTAATTCGGGATTGTAATCGAAATGAAAAAAAAATTGTGCTTTAAGAGGAAAAGGATGAGGAGAAAAGGAGAAAATAATAATAATGTTTAGACAAATAAACTTTCATCATTCATTCATTCAATATATTCAGATTTGTTTTTTCCGTCTCGGTTGATCAAATTTCTGTTCCTACAATATCTGAATTTATTGTCTCCCGGGCGTATTAAAAACTTGAATTTAATCGATAAAATATGAATAACAATCATATTTGTTTCAGCGTATGTATGTGTGTAAGTGAAAAAAAACAAGAGTTTTCATTTTTTTTTTGTAAACTCTAAATGGTCAACGGAAAAAAAATTTATTCGGAAAAAAATAAGAGAAAGATAATGAAGAAAAAATGATAAACATTTCCGTAGAATGATATTACTCTCCTCTCTTTTACTGAACTAAAAAAAAACAATGATAAAAATAAGAACCTAATTTTTCAATAATAAAAAAAATAACTATTTAAAATATGAAAAAAAACATTTGTTTGTTGAATCTTTTCTCTACACACACTGATAAATAATTACCATGAATAATTTTGATCATCATCAATGAAAAAAAATTATGTTTATGATGATCCTGGAACAAAAAAAAAGTACAAAAAAGCCCTTTTTTGTTCAAATAAAATCTATAATCGTCCTAATCATTATGGATAAACAAATGAATGAATGAATGAATGTTTCGTATATTGATGTTGTATGTGTGTTGTATTATAATGAGATTAAGAAAATGAAATAAATAATAATAATAATAATAAACAAACATATGAATGAAATAATATTTGTATGTGTGTAATCATAATCATAAGTAAATCGGTTTGTAATACATGAACAAGGAAACGAATGTCCAAGAAAAAGAAAATACCAAGTTTTCATGAATGTGTCTGTGTGTGTGTGTGTGTATTTTACCCGCTTGTATTAAATAATGACCGAAAGTATCCGAAAACATTATCATCAATCACGAACATGAGATTTGAATTTTTTTTTATATATTAATATTATTTTATATATCTCTCTTTCTCTCGCAAGTTTGTTCTCAGTCTATGTAATGATTTGTTCAAGTAGAGGGGAAATAAAAAGATCAAATGTATATAATGTGAACACACACGGACATAAGATGATGAAAAGTGATGGCACGCTGTTACACATCTTTATGTTGTTGATGATGATGATGATGATGATTATGATAAGGGCGTTAAATCATATACACAAACAATGATTGAAGGAAGTTATTCAAATTTTTTTTTGTGTGTGTTCTAAGATTATATTCATTTACAGTTGAATATTTTTTTTTTGAAAAATAGAAAGGTGTAAAAAAATTGAATGAATGAATTGAAATGGGTTTGCATTAATGATTGGATGCTCAATGTGATAAGGAAATTTTTTTTTTTTGATTTAATGAAAAACAATAATTTTCGAGAATCTTACAATAGAAAATAATTGATTGGTTTGATTGGAAATGTTTTGGACAATTTTTGTAATTTTTTTTTTGGTCAACAAACCTTTTTCTTTGCAAAAAAAACAGAACTTTTGTTTTTGAAAAGTTTGGAACAAAGTTTAAACTTCTCACAAGTTTTTGGAAATTTAATTCAATGGTGAAATGATGACTGTAAAGTTGTTAAGACTGCAGTATTAAGGGATTCATTTTAGTTACAAAATTTAAGATTATTTTTTTTATTTGAAAAAGTTGTAGAAATGATGGTTATCCTTATTCAGGAACATTTGATTTCAATTTGTATTGAAATTATCAGCGAAAAAAAAGGCAACTGGAAACTTTATTTTATTTTATTTTTTTCAAACGAATTTTTTTTCACTATCATTCAATTCAATTCGATTCAATCATTTTGAATGTTGCGGTGATTTTTTTCTGTTTGGCGTTGATAAATTGTTTGTTTCGGAATTTTCAAAATGAAATAAATAAATAAAAACAACATACTAACGAAGAATTTCCAATTTGGCCAAACGACAAAAACACAGTATGTTTTTTTTTTTTTTTGGTTGCCGCGTTTACTTCTGATTTGAATTCCTATATTTGAATGGTATTTATCAGTTGTTTGTTTGTCAAATTTCCTTCCCCTTTTTATAAATGACGATTGTGTGCGCAATCGTATTTTGAATGTAATAGAATGACGAATGAAACTGAAATGTAATGAAATTCGTTAATGTTTGTGAGTGATATGTTTGTGTATTTAATGACTATAGCATCTTACTTGATTATTCATCAACGAATTCTACAATAATACCAGAATCGATCGAAACAGAGAGTGAAAAAAATGATGGCAAACTACCATATTAATATTATTATTATTATTATTATTATCATCATCATAAACATCAATGCCAACAACATTATTTCATCATTATCTTCTTTTTCTTTTCTTTTTTTTTGTCAAACAAAATATATCCAATATAAGCAGCGGTAAAATTTGATCTATATATTATTTGCTTCTAAACAAATGATGAATGAGAAATTCTTTTAACTGTCAAAAAAATAAATATTTAGTAGTATTTAGTTGATAAATGTTTACACATTCACTTTTTTAATATGAATTCCATCAATTCAAACTATATATCTGTGTGTATGTTTGTATGTGAGTAGTGGCAGGTCTCGATAGTTTTAAAGAAAAAAAAAGAAATCTGTCGATTCTATGAAATCTACAGAAATGTCTTAAATGAAAATGAAATCGAAATTCTGTATACGAGAAGTAAGTTAAGAATATAACTAACATTTAAACTTTTACAAATAAAAATCTATAATTTTATTGGTTGGATTGTATTCTTGATAAAGTATATGGATATTAAATTCTCTTTCTGGGCAAAAAAAAATGTCACCTAATTCAATAATTCCTTCGGATGATGATCATTTTGTCGTGGTATGTTGATGGTGATGCGTATGTTGGATTGGACAAACTTTGGACAATAGAAAAAGTTTGGAATTTTCTCTAAAAGTAATGATGTTCAAATGACAAAAAAAAATGTTCAACATTTTTATTATTATCACACTAATAATGAAATATGGCCTTTGAAAAAATGTATGTCCGTATGTTTAAATGAATGTGACATTTCAGAGTGAGAGGAAAAAATTGTTTTGAATCAAATTCAATTGAAATGGAGATGATGATGATGATGATGATAGTGGTGAATGTGAGATATTACATTCTGTAATTGCATTGAAAGAAAAAATAGATAGATAAATGATCCAATTCTTTCTTTCTTTTTTTTTTGAATATAAGAAAATTGACAATTGTCCAACTAAAAGTTGAAAATTAATCATCATCATCTTGGATGGTAAATTTATTTGTATAAGATGAACTATCATTATCAATAAATAAATGATGCCAAAATGATGTTATTCATCTCATTTCATTTATTTATTTATTCATAATAAAAAAAATGTTCATCTCCCAACAGGATAGACAGTGAATATTATATTCAGGGACATTTGTTTAACAAATGATCATCAATCGACAATTCAAATATGGACTATTGATTCAATTGTTTGCAAAAAAAAACGAAACGATATAAGAATCTTGAATATCCAAAATATCTATTCTATTCGATAATCATCACCGTTAATCATTTTGTCCTCATTATACACGATCAATAGTGTTTCGTTTCGTTTATTATTATTATTATTATTATTATTCATTACTCCGTTCAAGCATTTTTTTTTGATTATTTATTGAGTGCATTTGATAAACGAACCAAATATTTATCTAACTAAGAAATATAAAGGACAATTCATTTGTTAACAACAAAAAAAAATAATGACAATCATAATGATAATAATGAAATGACTGTTTAAATTTCTTCTTCTTTTCTTCATAATATTCGATTCAAATTTTATTCATTGACTCCCTTTTTTAAATGGCCAATTATTATTGATTATCATTTATTTGACTTCAATCGATTACTGTTATTATTATTATTATTTTCAAAGGTGGCAATTGGTTGGCAAAAAAAATATTATGTATAAAAATAGCTGTTTTTTTCTACTTCTTCTGAAAGAAAACTGAGAAATCAATCATAATGGAGCAGCAGACATTTTTGAATAACACTTTTTTTTGTTTGTGCTTCATTTGCATTGTGATGCATTGGCACATAGAGCTAATAAGCGAACCAAAAAAAAACCGAATGAAAGAGAAATTAAATTTCATTGACTAAAAAAAAAATCAAAAATGGTTAATTTTATTTCAATAAAATCAATGATGTATGTTAGTTTTTCATTGATTTTATTTTTACATCACATCATTATTTTTTTTCTCTTCTTTCTCTAAAACTTGAATGCGAAAAATATTCTGTGGAAAAAAAAATTCTCGAATCAATCATTGGATGATTAATGTGAAAGCATTAAAAGATGATTATTGAATGAATTAACAAAAAAAAAAAACATTAGCAAGAAAAAATTTACCAATTTCTTTCCTGCTATAGTATTGATGATAATTGTAAAAAATTATTGATCTGCTTTATTTTATTGAAACATTTTCTTTCCGAACGCATAAGTTACATTTGTTGTATATTGGCGATGGTGATTAGCAAAAAAAAAAATTACGATCAAACTTAGTAAATATATACTGTGTCGAGATTGAATGATTTTTTTTTTGTTTCCATAGATTAATCGGCCTCTATTAATGTAATACTTTTTTTTCCGTGGTCACATTTCACAGAGGGCAGAAAAAAAATATTTTTCAATTAAATATTTTTCCACAAATTACATTACTATCAATATTAATGTCGGGAAACACCACCACCACCACCACTTAGATTGATCTGAACAAGTGTAAGGGATAAAAAAAATCAGCCGAGAATCGGAAAAAATAATATATACCCGCTATACATTGAAAGTGCAGGTCATCGTTTGCAACATACATTTTTTTATATATTTCATCAAATATGCAGCTATCAGCGCTAAAGTAATTTGATTTTTTTTTCTTCTTCAACATCTCAAAGGTTTCCGGGCAAATATGTACGACATTTTTTTTTTGTTTCAAAATATTTTCTTTTCCTCTTCATTTATGATAATTTTACATTTCACATCATTGGGTACGAAATCAAACTGTAGATGGAAAAACCGCACACACACACACACGCAAACACACTTTACAATACAAATTAATTTTCACCATCATCATCATCATCATCGACATCAACAGCAATCCATTTGGTTTATTGATTTTGTATTAAATTAATACAAAATTATTAAATTAAATTAATTTTTTTTTTAATATTTGAATAAATTATGGACAAAAATGGAATATTTTTAATTATTTAAGAATAAAAATTGATATTATCATTGTTATTTGCTTTTCAATACTTTTCCAAAAATGATTCAATATTTCATAAAAAGTAACATGATTATTGTTTCCATTTTGGTATGATGATTAAAATTTTTCTTTTCCATCAGTTTTTTTTAATTTTTAATAACAACTTCCGTTGATCATCATCTTTTGTTTTCATATAATCATAATAATTAAATATGAAATAAACACAAGCAACGTGCTTACCCATATTTTTGCTATTTCGATTATTTTCATTCATCATTAGCTATGAACTAGGAAGATTGATGGATTTTTATATCTTATGATTTTGATCTGAGAGGGGAGAGAGAGAGAGAGAGAGAGAAAATGAAACTAACAAACAACAACGAATACATGAACATTCATTCATTATTATTCAATATTAGATTGATCAAAATGAAACAATCAATTGATTGATCGATCAATCTAATATTTTATTAGATGACCTGTCACTATTTATCGCACGAACATTATAAGGTTGTTATTATCTTTTTTTTTCTTTTCTTGTTTTTGCCATATTAATATAGTAGATATGTATAGTAACAATAAATAGAATTATAATGATAATAATCTGATGAAATTCTTCCTCAGGAAACAAAAATTTATTGAGCTCAAAGAGTTGCACAATTTTTTTCCCTCTTTTTCTCACATTTTTTTTTTGTTGAATGTTGGGTGTACTTGTTATTATGGTTCGAGTGAATCGGTCAGTTTTTTTTTCGATCAATTATCTTATATTACATCTGTAACTATTTAAAAATATCCTGATATTTGATTTGCAATGATATCGATTACGCATTTTATTTGTCAATGAATATTGGAAAAAAACATATATAATGTTTATGTACATAATTCAATCATCGTTGTTTAGAAAATTTAAATACAGCAGCACAATTTGTGTCTGGTGACATATTTTTATCCTAAATCAAAAATTATTTCAAGATATTATTTACCTAATTAAAAATCTTTGTTTTTTTTCATCATAATTATTAGGCTTTTCTCTCAATCTATTCTTTTTTTCTTCTTTTTTTTACATGAATAAATTGATCAAGCCAAATGGTCTTTGGATGTCAAATTAAAATCGATTGCTTTGGATCGCTCAAATAAACACATAACGACACAAACTCATTACTTGCTAATTGGCAACTTTGGTGGCAACCATTTTTTTCATTATTATAATGATGAAGATGAGCTTGATCCACTTTTTGTTTTGGCTTCTCTTTTCCTAAGAAAAAGAAATATCTTAGTTACCATGGCCAATATTCACGAATTTTGTGGATCATCCAGTCTCTCTCTCTTGCTTTCTTCAAACTTTTTCTCTTTTTTACACTAATGAAAATTCAAATTATAATGATTTAAGGATAATACACTATTATAAATTGATGTGTTCGATTTGAAATACAATTTTTTTTATTCAATTTTTAACAATTTGATTGAATAATTATATGGCACATTGAAATTTATTTATTCGATTGATTTAATCTTTCCATTTTCTCAAACTCATTTCTGTTTTCGTCGTCGTTGTTGCTTACGTTGTCGTCGTTTTTTTCGTTTTTTCGTTGTTTTAGGTGATGGTGAAGATGGTGGCGATACTATTTGTTCTGATTCTTGTCTCATTTGTGACTCTTGATGTTCAGGTAATAATAATGATGATGTTTGTGGTATAGCGGGAGTTGAGGGTAATAGATGGGATAAATCTTCTTCGTGTAGTTGCTGTTGTTGTTGTTGATGATGTTTTTGTTCAAATTCTTCAAGTTCAGCTGAATCAAATAAAGCAAAGAAAAATGGATCTCGATGCTTTAAGGCTGCAGCGGCATCATTTGGTTCGATTAGTTCACTTTTATTGAAAAATTCTTCACTTTGTTGAGCATCGACCAGTGGATATATTTTTATTTGTTCATTTAAAATCGATATATGAAGATATGCTGTGTTGTTTACATCGCCTACATAGCTTGAATTTGAAAACAATGTAAACACAGCTCCATTATTCAATGCAATGTAATCATAGCCGTTTATTTCACATGATGGATATTGATGTGCACGTACAATGTATCCAAGACGAAAACGGGTAAGAAATCTTTCGGCACCACGATTACCAATGATAAAACCAGCTCCTCGTAATCGATTTGTTGAGAAATATCTTGGTTCAGTATGAAATTCACCTGAAGTAATCAAATCTTTTGTGTAGAAATCATTCCAAATTAATTGAAATCCAACACAACTTTCATCCAAATCGTTTGTGACCCATTTTGGAATCTGTTCAATTTGTTCCATACTGCGCAAATGTTTTGGTATGCCACCATGACAGGCGAATATATTTTCACAAATGATTGCCGCATATGGCAAGGCGCCAAATGCAACATTAATTCTTGACCACATTTGATAGCCCAGTTCATTGCCAAATTTTAAACGCATTTCCATTAAAAATGATTGACGATTCATATCGGAAAATTCATGATTACCTCGTAATATAGTAAAACTATTCGGATACATTGATTTCAAAATAAATAAATAGATCACCACTTCGAATCCATGTATACCTCGATCAACATAATCGCCCAAAAATATAAAATGTTTGCCATTTAGTTCACCATCAGACCAAAACTTTGATCGAATAAGTGCTAGATCACTAAAACTGCCATGTAGATCTCCAAAAAAACGATAAATTAGATTAACATCATTGACTCGTACCAAAGGCAATTCATTTGCTAATGTTCGTTCAAAAAATTGACAAACTAGTTCAAGATTTTCAGCATTGTTTATGTAAAATTTTCTTCTAAATCTGCTCAATAAATTCTGAAGAAATTTATGTTCCGATTCATTACGACAATTTTGTGTATATTTTTCATATAATTCCTCTGTGGCATGGAATAGATTTCGAAAATTTTCCTGATTCAACTCTTCATTTTCCGTCGCATGTGCAACGTAATCTTCAGATTTTTCAGATTTTTCATGTATCACCGATGTTTCTGGTATCTTTGATGATGCAGAATGTTGTGAAGGCTCAAATAATTTCATTCTTTTTTCTTTTCACAAGCCTTAAAAATTGATTTTTACCTTTGTTTTTATTCACGAAAAATATTATTGTTTAAATCAAAAAAAAATATCAAAATAGATTTAGTACTAAACAAAATCGAATTAATTGATTTAACGAATTATTGCCATTTTTCATTAAGTTCGATTGTTATTCGAACAAATCTGGTTGAAAAAAAATTACTGGAGGCAATTTATTGGATAATTATCAGCACAAATCGATTCATTTTTTTCATTTTGTTTACTCATCGATTAAATGCATAAATAATTCTATGACCATAGATATTTTTTTTTCTAACCAAAAGATCTTAATTGTTGTTGGTATTATTGGATCACAAACTCGATAGGTGACTTTATTTGAACAAATGAAAAAAATGGAAAGCAACATTCTACCGTTATTGTTCCAACAAAAAAAACGATTCAAATGGGATAACAAACAAAATACGCCTCAAGTCAAAAAAAAAAGAAAAAAACAACAACATTCCCTTTTATCTATGAAAATAAGAATATAATAGCAAGTTAGTGAACCACTTGAACCATAACGTTCAATGATTTTTTTCTGGCCATATATTGAATGGATATAATTTTTTTTTTTGAAAAGATCAAAACTAATAAAATATTGGCCGAGATAAGAACGTCACCCAAATATCATTGAAATTAGAACAGTTTTTTTAAAATAATTTTATATCTTTGTCTTATAAAAAATAATATGAATGAACTTGGAAAAGAACAAAACAAAAAACAAAGCGAATTATGATTTGATGGTTGGATGGATGGATGAAAAATACATTGAAACATCATATTTAAAAAAATGCCTTTAATTGTGTCCAAAGTAAAACACAGCTAAAGGCTATTATTATACGATACACAACATACTTCATATATGATCTTTATTGATCGAATCGTTGTTACCATTATAATAGATTATATTTGGTCAATTTATTGATGTACTAAAAGGGATTGAATTTTTTTTTGGGTTTTGTTTTTTGTTTTGCCCGAAGCTTCCGATAACCGTATCATTGAATATATTGCATCATGATCAATATACTGAATATCAATAATATATCGATCCAAATGATATATTAGTTAAGATATGCTGCTGTTGTTTATTGAAATAAACGTATCATTATTATGTACATCATGATAATGATCAATTTTATCATTATATTTGAACACCTACTAAATCAACTAAATCAATCGGAAGGCCTGACAATAAAACGATAAGAAAAATACTATTAGAATCTTTCATCAATTTTGTCAAATTTTTGATATGAATTAGCTAATTTGGCAATAATTTTGTCCAGTAATGCATACATTCCCGGACAAACAGGTAAATAATTTTAGATTCGCCATTGTAGAGATAATAAATAATCAGAAAAGAAAAATATGTTCGTCATATTGTTGTGAAATTAATTTTTTTTCACTGCAATTTACATGCAAACGATGATATGAACAAATAAAAACTGACAACAAATTTTTACTATTTAACTTTCAACTACTATAGCCAAATGACAGTCAAACAATAATACAAGTAACAAATCGAATCGAACAAGATTTTCTCTCAATCAAAAACAATCTTCCTTTTTTTTGAAATCACCTAAAAAGGAGGTCATCATCATCGTTATCGTGTCGGTATTTGTTGACCACTATCGACATAACATCCGAAAATGAAAATTATATGAATGAATAAAATTGTACAGTCTTTGAACTTTCATTCGTTTTACCATCACCATCGGATAAATCTGTCCACATTTAGGTCATCATCATGATCACTGTTGCCGGACGCATCGTTTTTTTTTGTTGAAATTTAAATTTCTAAAATCCGATTAAAAACTCAATGTCTTCATCTTTTTTCACCGCTCATTGATCAATCGATTCATCACTGAAAATTTAATCGATTACAAAAAAAAGAAATAAAACAGATATGAACATTTTGGAAAACAATAATGGAACACGATGTATGAAAATATATTTCGTTCAAGTTCTCTCAGGATATATGATGATCGACTTATGAACAGAGCTGACTGATTTACAGCTTAATCTCACCAATGGTCATAGTTATCTGAAGCTATAGTTAATCGAGATACCACTGTATTATTGTTTACTGTCCATATCGATTGATGATTATGATTGCTGTTTAACAAGGACGCGATGCTTATTCATTTCTTATATAAATATCCGAATATTGGTATTTCCGCATTAATGTTTAAAAATAAACTTTCTTTTTCGATCGAACAACAGCAATTTAAGGGAAACAACAAGATATTTAGGATGTTTGAATGAATAGCTTGTGAAGCATTTGTTCTTTTTTTTGATCATCATCATATCACTGAGAATGACCATCGATGGCAGACCATTGTCGTTTTCATTTAAATGAACAGAGCTAATCATGATGACTATTATTATGATTGCCAAAGAGAACCTTTCTTTCGATATCTTTTTTAATTGATTTCAATTGATTCAAATAGATAGATGTCAACCTCGACTTTATGAATGATGAATAATGACCGCTGTAATTTTCTTATAGCAATCATCTAATAAATTTCGATCTTCATAATCAAATATTTGCTGTCTAACAGATTTATGCTAATTGAGAAAAAAAAATTCTCGCAAAAAGATGAGATGTGTAAAAAAACTAAACTAAAGAACTAGTATGTTTGTTTATTATGGATTTTTTTTAAATATTGTCCTAGATTTTTTTCTCTATCTGATATTTTTTTTATTCGGGTACTTTAAACTGACGTAAAAATTTTTGAACCTTATTGAAGATAGAGTTATTATTTTATTGGAAACTTCATTATTAGCTTAGTACTAATTTTTCTTAAAAATCATGTATTTGATTAGCTCAGGAAAAAAGAAAAACAATTTCTTTTTCTATTTAATTGATTAATCCAGCAATTTGTGATTGCCATATTGCAAAAAATTCAAAAAATTCAATTATATATCGGTAACGTCGTTCATGCACGGCATATTTGAATTGGTTGAGTCTTATTTTTATTATTGTCAAAAAATTCAATTTTTTTCATGTGATTTTTACTCTAATTTAAATTTTTGGAATATTCGCGAAAATTGACATTGTAATAATGTCCACTCACAAAAATATTAAACCATCTTCGGTGCAATCATTACGGCCACTTGGTGCTGTTCCCGTAAAAAATGAAAAAGGTGAAATTACTATGCAAAAAGTTAAAGTTCAACGATATGTTTCAGGACGTAAACCAAAATATACCGAAGAATCGGGTTCATCCGACAATGGATCAGATAATTATTCATCTGAAGATGAGCTAAATAATCAAAATCGTAAGATCTTACCAAGCCTAAATCGTCATCAAAATCATAGTTCAATGGCTTTCACATTGTCCAGTAACAAAAATAAGCAAAGCGATGATGAGGATGAAAAAGATGACGATAACGACGACGACGATGATGATGATGATGATATACGTTTACGAATTCGTAAGAATCGCGAAAAGAAATCAATTATCGACCAAGAAAAATTAAATGACGATCCTCGAATGCGTCGTTTAAGGCAATTTCGAGAAGAAACAAGCAAAGAAAGTTCGCGTCCTACAATCCAACCACAGATTATCAAAAGTGGTCAAATGAGTGATCAGGACGAATCTGATCCTGAATTGAAACAAGATGAAGACGGTGACGTTATTAGACGTCGTCATCGACTTCGGGAAGTAATCGATGCTGAAGAAGATGACGAAGACAATGTCGATGAAAATATTGAACGTCGTCATGAATTATTGAAACAAAGGATGCGTAAATTAGAATTAGAAACCGCACAAGATGAAGCTTTTAGTGATGACGACAACGATGATGAAGACGATGATGATGAAGAAGAATCAGAATATGAATCCGAATATTCGGAAGATGAAGCAATGCCTCGATTAAAACCGATTTTCGTTTCGAAAAAAGATAGAATAACCATCACTGAAAAAGAGGAACAAGAACGAAAACGAATCGAAGCAGCGGAATTGGAAGCCAAAATTGCACTGGAAGAACGTCGCCGATCAACATTAAAAATGATTGAAGAAGATCGCCGCCGTGAAGAAGAAGAACGAGAAAAGAACAAGGCCGCAGCCGAAGAAGAAGCCATCATCAAAGGAATAGCTTCGGTCGTCACTGATGATGAAGACGATGAAACAGCATTCGAATTATGGAAAGTTCGTGAATTAAGACGAATCAAACGAGAAAAAGAAGAGGAAGAACAACGAGAAAGAGAACGACGTGAAATTGAACGATTAAGAAACATGACCGAAGAAGAACGACAAGAAGAATTGAAAAAGAATCCACGTGTTGTTACTAATCAACAGCAAAAGGGAAAATATAAATTTCTTCAAAAGTATTATCATCGTGGTGCATTCTATTTGGACGAAGAAGATAAAGTATTCAAACGAGATTTTGCACAGCCAACGTTGGAAGATCATTTTGATAAATCCGTATTGCCATCAGTAATGCAGGTGAAAAATTTCGGTCGTGCTGGTCGTACAAAATATACACATCTAACCGATGTGGATACGACTGCATTTGATTCTGCTTGGTCAGCTAAAGATAATGTTCATGCCATACAATTCCATCAATCGCATGGTGGTGGAATGAAACAAGCATTCGATAGACCGGGAAAACGAAAAAAATGAGAATTGAAAAAAGTGTAAATAATTTTTTAATAATTTTTTTTGCTCGAAAATAAATAATAAAACAATCAAATTTGATAAATGAGATAATTTCCTAACGGAATTGATTGCCCATTTTCTAATAATGAAACGGTTTTGGTTTCAAAATCTACCGAAAATTTTCCTTCACAGTCAATGGGCATTAAAATGTGGTTAAAAGTTTCAACAGATGGAAAACATCTTGGGCCCAATTCAACATCTTTGTATCGAAGAATTTTAATACGCGAATCTGAGAAGATAAAAAAAATTGGTAAAAATTAATTGTTTATTAACACGCGTGATACTGACCTTTATTTTTTGTTTCTTTTGCTAAACGATCAGCGATAGATTTGACTGAATCATCTTGGTAAACAGGCATAGCCATTTCAAAACATGCAACCATTGGTTGAGTGTTAATACAGGTCACTGGAACGAATGGTTCCGTACGAAACGAAATGAACGGTTCTTGTGGGCAACATTCTTCCTGAATACGTGAATCAGCTTCATCCGCATAACGAAGATCGATGCCACAAAGATCTAATGTTGAAACAAGATAATCATAATTTTGTTGCAGAACAGCCAATTCATCAAAAGGTGCACGATCTTCAAAAACGATTTCGCCTGATGTTTGAAACAATCGCTATGAAAAAAAAGACAAAAAATAGTTATGTCAAATTGTCAATGATTAATTAATTAAATCCATGTGTTACACTAAAATTGTTAATTAACAAAATAAACCAAGAAAACAAAGGACCAAGTCACCTCAAACAATAATTGTAAATCTGTTAATCATTTTATAATAAACTTACTTTTCTCATTTCGACGAATGGCATGACTTTTTTCATATATTTCTTTAGATCATTAATCTTGCTCAATCTACTTGCTATTATATGATTCTCCGGTAATTTGTTATTGTTTTCCTTTATTATAGATTGTATGAAAAATTATCATTTTTATTGAAAATAAAACTAAAATTAAGAATACATACGTGATACATCTGTTTCAATGATGCCAAAATAATCGACTGCCATCGTGGAAAACTACGAGCAACATGAATGATAGCATGTGTAGGTCTTTGTGGCTGTTGTCGATCGGATTTAGCTGAATTTTTCTTATTTATGGATCCTGATGTTGATAACGATTGTTTGCCAGATTTTCCTTTTGAACTAGTTTGTATCATATAGGCTTTATATCGTACACGAAATAGATGACATGCATCAATAAAATAGTCAAATATTTGCAGGTAATTCTGATCTGGTAGTTTGGTCATAGGCCATTCAGCTTGCTGTATAGAACCGGGACGTCGTAAAATTTCTTTGTAAATGTATTCAGCCGAATGTGGACAGAGTGGCGACAACATAATTGCTTGTGTTTCAATGAATCGAAGGATAAGACCTTGGTGCATACCCGAACGAATACTTAGTTCTCGATATTTATCACGAGCATCTTGGTATTCAAAAAATCCTGTCTTCAATGCTTCCTTGAACATAAGGTTTTTATAATTAGATTCAGTTTTAATAATCAAATCGTCCATCAAATTGGAGAAAGCAATATCTTCAAACAATACGTTGGGATCATCATTTCGTAATGAATCTAAATGATCAACTATTTCACGACACCATTCGATGAATGCATACAATTTAAGTAGACCATTTTCCGCTTGTTTTTCAACAAAATTAGCATCTTCAATTGCATCACCAGCATCAGCCAATGCAAATCGCACGCCATCGGCTGAATATTTTAGAATAGCATCACGTAATGTGAGAAAATTTCCAGTCGATTTGGACATTTTTTCATTATTCAATAAAAGATGACCGTTTGTACGAACCGATCGAGGCCAGAATTCAGGATGATCATCCCAAATAGCAGTATGATTATACAACATATATGTTAAATGATTTTGAATTAAATCTTTTCCCGAAACACGAATATCCATTGGATACCAATATTCGAATTCACGTTTCAGAATGTCAAGTTTATCTTTCGACACGGAACAATTCTTTGGATATGCGGCATTGGGGAAAAAAATGTAATCCCATACTTCAGGTGTCATATGTTCTGGTTTAATGCCAAGTGGAGATTGACCACGGCCATCTAGCACACCACCTTGAAGATAATGTGCAATCGCATAATAGGCCATATAGATGGTCGAATCTGATAAGGACTCGATTAACCATTCTTCTGCCCAAGGCATTCGTGTTCCAAGACCATATTGTCGACTACAAGCATGATCTTTTAACCAATTCAGAGTAAAATCAAAATTTCTCCTCACTTCTTCCGAATAGGTATTCAAATCACGAAGACATTTTTCTGTTTGTTCACGCCATTTATGTTCACCATATTCCAAAAACCATTGATCACAGAGTGCAACAACACACTCATCATTTGAACGGGATAATACTTGTTTTTCCGGTTCATAATACTTGACACCATCACCGCAATCACAAAGCATTTTTTGTATCAATGGTTTTGCTTCAGAAACTTTTTTACCTGCATGTTCACCAACCAACATGATACCATCGTAGAAACCTGACAAATAGACTTTTGCTTTCGCTTCGGCCAATTTTTCAGTATCGTTCTGACTTTTGATTTTCAATTCTTCGCAAATACGGACAGCACAAAGATTACCATAATCGGGAATTTCAATGATTGGTACAGCATTAAATGGCAAAACCATTTCATCGGTAATATTAAACTTGGATCGAAGTGCTTCCTTGTTTTTTAGATCAGTCAATGCAGCATGATCATCAGGTGAATCTGATGGAACACTGGTTACAACTCCAGTACCTTTACCTTCTTTGATAGTCATCATGGGCAAGGCATAAACGAATTCGTAGGCAGAAAGTGGAGCTCTAAGTTTGACCCCAATCAAGTCTGAACCTTTTAATTCGGCTACCAAATCCACTTGGCCAAATTTTGTCGTTAAGCCTTGATATGAAAGATTTGCTGCCGATCGACGGCTAGAAATGAATATTTCCCCAGTATTTATCTTATAGGCAATGTAATTCATATCTGGTCGTAGCCAGCAATTCGTCTGGCCATACATTGTTTCAGGTCTTAATGTTGCAGCAACCAAAAAAATTTTGCTTTTCTTTGCGAATTTTTCTAAATTTTTCGGAATGGGTTCGATAACTTGCAATTTAATTAAGGTGTATTCTTGCGGTCCAACGCCTTCGCCAGATGAACGATCATGATCCATACAAGGTTGTTGGTCTTTTGGTGAATAAATTGTATAACGTTTACCGAATTTAATTTTGTTTTTCTCTTTAAGGCGAATAAATTGCCAGCGTACAAAGGAATCATAATAAGGATTGACATCGGTTGTTATGAAAGAACGACGCCAATCAACACGGATGCCTAACATTTTAAGATCTTCAATCCATTTTTGAGGGAAATATTTTAACCAATAAGCAGCGTCCAAAAAGTTGACAATTTCATCATCGGATAAACCCAATGCCTGCATAATTTGCCATTGATATTTAAACGAACCAGATTTGGCAGCCGCTTTACTTTTTTTACTTTTTGATTTATCTTTTATTTCTATTTCTTGAACTTGTTCAACCGTTTTTTCTTCAGTGGGTGTAGAATCTTCGTCAGGAAATTGTGGCGGACAACCATAAAGTTCAACTTCACGTTTCAATTTATCAGCACAGGCTTTTATCGGTGTACCAGTGCAATGAAATCCAAATGGAAAAAGACATCGTTTTCCTTTGAGTCGAAAATAGCCCATTGCGAACTGGAAATAAGAAAAGAAACAAAACAAAAAAATCGAAAAATCCAAAATGACGAAGAATCGACAGCTCACCTCTAATTTGGTCAATGAAAACGTATGACCAATATGACCACGGCCATTCATATATGGATAAGGAAAAGTTCCAAAGTATTTTTCTTCAGGATCATTTCGTTTACCATCTGGGGTTGGATCTATTTCGAAGATTTTATCATCGGACCATTGTTTTTGGATTTCGGATTCAATTCTAAGAAAAAAATCCAATTTGGCCGTACTTTTAGCAATTGCTGGTTTAGCCATTGCCAACAAATAAAAATTAAATTAATGAAAATGTTTCCACGTGGAAAATTTGAAAAATTCTTCCCGATTTCAACACATCAAACACAAATGATGCAAACACTGCATTGAAATATCACGCATTTGCCGGAAGGTGCCGTCATTAGATGATGTATCATCATTATATGGATTTGAACTTCACACACAAAATTAAATTCACAAATTTTTAATTTATTTACATAGAATTTTTTAAAATGCAAAAAACAATACATAAAATAATTAGTGCCAATGAGTGTCTATTCGATGAACAATTTTCTTTATCCACAAATATTCTATGATGATAACAAACAGAGAAAGGCGAAGAACAAACAAACAAAGATCACAAACAAAGATCACAAATTGTACACCCTTAATTTATAAAATTTGTTTTCTCTCGTTCTCTTGCTTTCTCTGCCACACAACAGACGAACGAATATGATACATTCGACAAGCGAAAACGATAGTATCGATAGTTACGATCGAATTTTATTTTTTCAATTCAAAATGATCATTTCGGAATCTTTTTTGACATGCTAATACGTTCACTAATTTCCTAAATGTTTTATATTTTTCGATGAAAAACTTTAGATTTTTCTTTGTCTAATTGTCGTTAAAAACAATAGATTTTAATTGATTTTATTGGCTTCAAAATTTTAATATTTTTGCGACAAACTCATTTGTTTGATTCAAATAAGGATTTGTGGTTTTTACCATCGAATTCATATGTTATTGAATTGAAAATCAATTAAATTAGCATTTCTAAAAAAAATAAAATGATGATAATGAAACGTACAAAATGTCAGGTAAATCAAATGTTTTTAACACCTCTTAACTTTTCAATTGAAAAAAATTTATGTAATACCTCATTGTTGATACATAAATCAAATTTGATGTTTTGTTCGATCAATAAATTATATGTTATACTAATGATCTGGGAAAAAACCTTTGACAACACAAACAATATGTGTAATTTCTTTTTAAAACTATCCTTTATTATTCATAACCGATTCATCCGATTCGATTTTTGTGTATGAATGATTCAAGGTTCTCTGTTCTTCATCGTCATAATTGATTGAATAATGCTAATGATGTTCGAAAAAAACAAGTTTCATAACCATTGTGTAAATCGTAAAGATTATCTTTTTGTAATAGTTAAATTGCACGCGCTTATCAATCATTGAATTATGGTAATGCATCACAAATCAAAATAATTGGCTATATTTATTGTGTTACCCGATTTCTTATTCATTTTGTATTTCAATTTTTAAATGGAATTTCATTTTGGAAATTTCTTTTCATGTACTAACTAGCAATGCAATGTTTATGTTAATAGATACAATTGTTTGACTTTAGCTTCTGAACAGTTGGGAAAGACCCACCAATTTTTCGATATAAATTGTCGAACGTTTCTTTTGATTTTGATCATTCTTGATTCAAACATCATAATGGCATATTTATCCTATAATTCTATCATTTTATTTTTTGTGTCAGTTTTTTTATTCATTATCAATGATGTAAATGGACATAAATGGAAACGAGGTGGATATGGTAACATCGTTAGTACATCATATCTAAATGGTTGGTACTTTAAAAAAGTGTTATCATTTTTTAAAAAATATTATTAAAATTTGAAATATTCTTGAATGTTCTTTATTTATAGATTGTGATGGTGGATGTTATGGCGCTCATAGCACTGGTATTGATAGTGGTTATTCATCAACAAATTATCATCATAGTTCATCATCGCAAACATATTCTACAGAAAAAAAAATTAGCAATCATGTCATCGAAACGAAGCCAGTAATCAGTGTGCCAGCAACTATTGTGAGAAAAACATACGCCGTTCAACCGACTGTAGTAAAAAAAACATACTATACACAGCCAACACATTCATATTATCGTCAGGATACAGGATGTGATATTAATCCATGTGGTGGTGGATCACAGATTATCAAAATTATTAAAAAAACTCGCACATATACCGGTGATAATGGATGTGGATATGATGATTGCAATAATTATAATAATGGCTATATCAATACCGGATATGTTCAACCAGTTGTTGTTAAAAAAGTTACAAGAATTATAACACAACCTCAAACAGTTAAAGTCGTTAAAGTTATTGATGATGGAATTGTTGGTCATAGTGGTGGTGGTGGATACAGTGGAACCGGATCTGCCTGGAATGGTAATAGTGGGGGTGGTGGTATCAATAGAGGTAATTATCAAACAGATTGCAAATATGATTGTAATAAATGGAGAAAATAAAGAATTCAAAAATTTTTTTTAAAAAAACCTCATCTTTATTCGTATTTTTCGAATATTTTTTTAAATATTTAATAAAATGAATCAAACTTTATGAAACTTAATACCATTTCGATTGGTAATTTCAATCGATTCCGGTCTAAATATCATTTCGATGTTTCGCTGTTGATTTTTATTTCGCAGTTTGATTTCTGACAATGAAATTATCTGTATACTATCGACAAACATTGATCTCGTTATTAGTTCGATCAATGGACCATGTGACCAATTCATTATAATCGAATCAAATTGATTGTAATTAATTTCCGAAACGATTACTTGTGAATAATTGGTTCCATATTCAAATTTTTGATAACTAATACAATATTTGGATGAAATATTTCATCAAAATGATTTGAGTGAATAATTTACTTACTTTGAATTGAATGTTATTTGTTGTTTTTGATTTTTTCGATTATTCTGAAATTCCAAAAAGATTTTAGCATTCTGTGCTTGACGATTTTCCGATGACGATTGTGCCATTCGTATAGTAATCAAGTATTGAAATCCTTGAAAATCGTAAAAAAAATTATTCATCATCTTTCGATATAATTAAATTACTCACTAATGTATTTCGGACTATCACCGGTAGCCATAAAGAATCGGTGACCACGAGATTTATTTTTAAATCTACGATTTTTTTCTGCATTTGGTCCAAGTTCAACGCATTTGGAACCATCCAGACCACAATCATGACATTCACCATTCTGAAATGAAGACCAATCTTGGCATTGATATGCAATAGGTTTAGCAATCAATTGATCCGGTATGATTGTTTCGATAAAATATTCTACAGAACGAACATGAGCACAAAAAACTAAATGTCTTGTTCTATTTAAAGATATTAGATAATCATTATTAATTTCATATTATTTAGAGATCAACAATAATAAAATAACCTATTAGCACTTTCTTCGAATAAAAGTGCATTCAATCGTTCACGTGGACAACCTGGTTGTTTTTCGGCTCCATTAACAAAAATAGAAATATGTGAACATGTTTCATACATTCCAAAACTGGTAAAAGGGATTTTATCATGACCTCTATCAGTATGTATTGAATCAACAAATTGAGCATCTGTATCCCATAAACGAGCAGCAGAATTATTCACACCTTCAAATAGTGGTCCTGCCGGATCTAGAGCGGTGATTCGACCTACTCGACCACGTAGATATTTTCCCGCATAGCCTGCTATATGTGAACCCAATGAATGACCAATGATGTGAACATTTTCTAATGGAATATTTTTGAAAAATTCTATAAATTTTCCAACCATAATACCGACGATTTGTGAATTGGCCACTGCCTAGAAATAATTGGTTAATATAAAAGGCAACTCTTAACTCATACTAACTTGTACATAAGGAGGATCATCACCATTTGGCCATTCAACTAGAATTATATTCAAATCTTCTAATTGTAAGTAATTATTTTTAATCGAATGCATCCATTCTCGAGCATCTTCATTATATCCATGAATAATTAATTTTGTTGATTTATTAGAATCAAAAAATGATTGAGATCGATTTATTCTTGGATTATAATTATATGTTTCCGGATTTTGAAGGTTTTTACGGGTGTACAATGAAAATGTTGCATTGATCACATCTGGATGTTTAGGTAATAGATTGATTGGTCGATGAATAGGATCGAAAAAATCTAAGGTATTGAATGTGCCAAAACCATCATACGAAATGGATGCAGTTTGAATTGTAATAAACAAATAGCAAATTATGAACAAACATAAGAAAAGTTTCGAAGCCATCATAAAATGTTGATGATACAAAAACAAACATGTATTTGATATATTTGTGTTGCATAAAAATCAATCAACTGTTGTTTGAATTATTTGAATAAATATCCTTTATTGAGATATTCAAATCAATTCTAATGAGGAAATTTAAAAGATGGTCATGAATTGAAGGACGTGTGACTTGATAAGACGGCTATCATCAACATTGATGTTGATGATTACCATATCTCACTACAATAAAATCGGTTTAGTTTCCTGTTTCTTATGAATAAATCCATGCTCAAAACAATTTAATTGATTTTTAGTCTGTTATAAATTCCTAGATAATGTCCTTAAACATTTATTTAAAAAAAAAAATTTGATTATCAATGAAAATTTTCTTTTTAATTCAGTCAAAATAAATTCATTTTATTTCAAATTTAACCATCAAAAACGTATCTTATCCCAATCCTTAAATTTTCGCATGCGATTAAACAAACACAAATTTAGTAATGATAGTAGTAAAATTGATATTGTTTCAGAAATAGTTGCGACTAAATAGAGTGTTCGAGTTTCATTATCTGGCCATTTCAAACGAAAATTTGGATCAAAAAATTTCATACCAGTCAAATAGATGGACATAAAAAAAGTCATGGTGAATGTTGTAATGGCTATCAGTTGTATTGAAGTAGACACAATCAACGATATAGGAAGGGATTCAATATTATAAACCTTATATAAATACCAACAAGTATAAATGGTACCAAGTAAATAAAGTGCTAAACACATAACTGCTAATGCAGCAGCAAATGCATGAATCAACGACATAATTATTGATTCGGTTGAACGAAATGTTGTAAAAATTATCACACCAAATGTGAAAAAAATCATAATTGTTACCAGGTTCCAATTAATTGATCGTAATTTTTTTGAAAAATTTGCATTTTGGTCATCTTTTGATTGTGATTGAAGATAATATTTCACTTGTTTATAACGAAACCATGATGTAAGTGTTGCTATTATAAAATAATTAATCAATAGAGTAAATATTATCGTTAATACCTAAATACTTACCGAATATTGCTTCAAAAATAAATAATAATGATAATATACTAGCACCTGGTGGATAACCACCCGAATCGCTAACCAATGGATAAATAGGACCAGTATAACCATAATATGCTGAAGTTGTGTATGGAACCACAATGATCAAAACAATGGATATAGAAGAATATAATGGAAATATCCATAAATATTTTTTGATTGATGAATACAATTGCTTTTTTCTATGTTTCCAACCATTATTGCCATCATTAGGTACCGTCACTGTAACTGATTGACCATTTTCGTTAATAGTATCCATGTATATTCGTTTAAAATTATTTTAAAATAACAAGTTAAAAAATTTATTATGGAATTCAACAGATTGAGTGATGGACTGCAATTTCAATTTGAAAATGAATACTTTTATATTTCGCATTTTTATCAGTTTTACAGTTTTATTGATTTCATACTATCTCTACATCATTCAAACATCTTTATCGTGAGATATTTGTTGTTTATTTTATATTTATTTTATTTATTCAAAATAATTTGAATAAATAAAAGAGAATTTTTTCCCCAGATAAATGTCATATTTCTTAGGAATGTACGGAAAAATATTTTAAAAAATAAAATATTCACATCGATTAATTAAGAAGGAATTATTTATTTTTTTAATATTCGAGATTCAAAAAATAAATCTAATTAAAAACATAATGAGATTAATTAATTAATTTGATTATGAATTTAAACATTAAAAACGTATCTTGTCCCAATCCTTAAATTTTCGCATGCGATTAAACAAACACAAATTTGCTGTTGATACTAGCAAGAGTGATATTGTTTCACTGATACTTGTGACTAAAAAGAGAGTTCGAGTTTCATTATCCGGCCATTTCGAACGAAAATAGGGATCAAAAAAATTAAAACCAGACACATACCAGGACGCAAAAAAAGTCAATGTGAATGTTGTAATGGCTATCAGTTGTATTGAAGACGACACAATCAACGATATTGGAAGGGATTCAATATTATAAACCTTATATAAATACCAGCAAGAATAAATGGTACCAAGTAAATAAAGTATTTCACACATGATTGTTAATGTAGCACCAAATGAATGAATCAAAGCCATAATTATTGATTCGGTTGAACGAAATGTTGTAAAAATTATCACACCAAATGTGAAAAAAATCATAATTGTTACCAGGTTCCAATTAATTGATCGTAATTTTTTTGAAAAATTTGCATTTTGGTCATCTTTTGATTGTGATTGAAGATAATATTTCACTTGTTTATAACGAAACCATGATGTAAGTGTTGCTATTATAAAATAATTGACCAAAAGGATAAATACTATTATCATTAGTACCTAAATACTTACCAAATATTGCTTCAATGATAAATAATAATGCGAATATACTAGCACCTGGTGGATAACCGGCCGAATCGCTAACCAATGGAAAAATAGGATTAGTATAACCATAATATGTCGAAGTTATGTATGGAACCACAGTCATCAAAACAATGGATATCGAAGAATATAATGGAAATATCCATGAATATTTTTTGATTGATGAATACAATTGTTTTTTTCTTTGTTTTGAACCATTATTGCCATCATTAGCTATCGTTACTGTTACTGATTGACCATTTTCGTTAATCGAATCCATGTATATTCGTTAAAAAGTTATTATTGAATTCAACACATAGGGTGATTGACGGCAATTTCATAAAAAAATGAATCATTTAATTTTTCAAATTTTCACCAGTTTTATCACTTTTTGATTTCGCACTATCTTCCTTATACATTATACATCAAACATCTTTATCGTGAGATATTTGTTGTTTACTTCATATTTATTTTGTTCATTCCAGATAATTTAAATAAATGAAAGAGAATTCATTATTGCCTCATATAAATGACATGTATTTTATAAATGAATTAGTTGATGTGCGAAAAAATAATAATAAAATTCACACTTTGAAGAGCACATTTGGAGATATTTTTCCATGAAAAATTTTGTTAAATTAATATTTTAGCTATTAAATAGTTGATTTACTTTTTCGATTCAAAAACGATAAATTTATTTGTTTTTTTTAATAATCAAAATAAAAAACATGATAAGATTTATTGATTAATTTGATTACGTTCACATGAAATCCATTCATCATTTGGTATACCACCATCGATATTAGGAATAAACATCATTGTTATTGGCTCTACATTAGTTGAATTGCTATTTTATTTTTGTTTATTTGTATGTTTATCAAAACAAAAAGAAAAAAAAATTATCAATTATAATCATATTTTTTTTGTTATTGAAAAACAATTAAACAAACCTTTGGAATGAAAGTGCTGTAACTTTGATATATTCTATATTCATTTTTGTTGGAATGATATTTAAACCTAGTGTCCATTTTATTTCAATTTTAGATAATTGTTCGGGATCTGTATTCAATACAAATAATCGAGGATATTCAGTTTCATCTTCAAATACTTCGGATCTAAAGTGAAGATAATTTTGATAATAAAAAATTATAAACGACAAAAACGAAAAAAATGTTTTCTATTACTTTTTACTGAAAAAAAATTGCTCATCAACGCCATCTTGGTTAATGAATCTTAGTTCAACTTGTGTTAGCAATGGCTTAATACTGATATCATTTTTGATCATTTTCAAATCAATTCGATATTGATATCCTGTGTTTAAATTGTATTTTTATAAAAAAAAGTAAATTCTCAATATACTTAATCAAATCTTACGAAAATAATTTTCCTCTGCTGCTGTAGCCATAAAAAATCGTTTTCCTTGTGTATATGATTGATTCACTGGATAACTATGGACCAATGGATTAATTATAACACATTCGGATCCATCACATCTAGATTTGCATTCACCATTTTGAAATGAATCATATGATTCACATAGATACGAAACTGGCTTTGAAATCGTTGGCGAAACTGAGTCTATAAACAAGTCATGTGAACGGCCATGATTACATGAAGAAAATTTGTATTTCCTATGAATGTGTAAAGGGAGATTGGATTGCGGTCGATGAAATTATTTTTCCCGAAACACAAACTTCATCAACAAAACATACTCATAAATTCCTCCTTCGATTGGCACTTCATCTTCAGCTTGTTCTTCACATCCGGGCTGTTCTTGTCCACCATTTGGATAGATGTCAACATGACCACATGTTTCAAACATTCCTAAACCTAATTGAATTATCGGTTGTGCGTCCGTATGAATTACTTCGACAAACTTGGCATCAGTATGCCATAAACGTGCTTCAGTTTCATTGAGACCTTTATAAAATGGTCCAGCAGGATCTAATCCTGTAATACGAGCTATACTGCCATTTAGATGTTTGCCAGCATAACCAACTATATGACCACCTAGTGAATGGCCTATTAAATGGAATGAATTTAAAGAGACATTGAATTCTTTCATCAAATTTTCGATTAGTATGCCCATCATGATGCCAATTACTCGTGTATTAGACACGGCTTGAGTGTATGGAGTTTTTGCTCCTCCAGGCCATCCAACAATAATAACATTCAAGTCTTTGGCTTTTAATAGGGTATCTTTAAGTTTAGATAACCAAGCTTCTTGGCTATCACCACGCCAACCATGTATGATGATTTTCGTATCTAGATTAGCATCAAATCTTGTTGATTCATAATGATCTGTATTGTTCCAATCTAATTCATCGAAATCATCGACATTATTAGGTGTGTAAAGACAAAACGTTGCATTCATATCCTCTGGGCTATTCGGAAGCAGAACGATAGGTCGATAAATTGGATGATAAAAATCAGTCAACGAAAATGTACCGATTCCCGGATAGGTTACTGTTGTTAGATTTGAATCACATCCTTATAATAAAAAAATTAGATTAAATAATTTATTTTGGACCTGTATCTTGTGTTACCTAGAATTAATATTGCTAACAATATAAATGCTGTATGTATCTTGAACATTTCTGCTGGTTAAATTGTGTCTGAAAAAAATATGATAATTCAACAATTCATTTGAAATCAATTTTTTGATAATAACAACAATATTAAAGAATAATTATTTGAAATACCTTTTTTTTCGTAATTCGAATGAAAAATTTCACAGCTAAATAATTTTCTATAAGACATTTAAAACAAAATAGCTTTGGTAATTTTACATTGAACGACATCTTTTTTTCAATTTATATATCAAAAAAACTGACAAATCCATGCTTGACAACGGAATTAAATAATAACAATAACATATTAAAAAAAGATCCATATCTTTTAACCATGAAAATCAGCAAGGCAAGAATTTACAAAATGTTGCACCTGTGTGTATTAGATTTTATGATTACAAAAAAAAAATTTCGATTTTCATTGAGTTTTGCAATTTGTACAAATGATGTTGTTTTATTTTAGTTTCGATGTCAAAATTTCTATTTTTGTTTTTTGTTAGTTTTTCTCCTAGATCCCGGTTGTAATCTTTTTTGTTGTCAATTTTAAGATACTGATGGATTTTGTTTTTTTTTAATTATTTCATAATAAATTTATCATTGAAAAATTCTTGTTATCATTGTGTTTATTGTCAAAACCGACCGTGAAAATGTAATAAATATTAATTTTCATATCACAAACATAGAGAAAGACAAAAATTGATTCAAAGTCCAAAATACGAACAACCTTTAAACAGGAATTTGTTTTTGTTTTTTGTTTTAATAAACAAAAACATCATTTCAATTTTTTTATGACAAAATAATTCTTGAGAAATTGCTGTGAAATTGATTTTATTGCTATAATCCAACAAATATGATCTAGTTATTTATATTTAGAGGTTGTCAACCATAATTGACAACAAAATCATCGTGTATGATTTATGACAAATTTTAGATAATGATTAATTATTTTTTATTGCTACTAAACAAATATGAAAACAAGAATAATGTTTTTTTTATGATCTTTTGAAAATTGCTTCATGTCCATCGCTTATGCCGAACTCGTCTGTTTCAAATGTCCAATGATCTGGCGATTTCAATGATGCACTAATGATACAAGGTTACATAACATTGAATTTTGAATTTTGATCATTATATTTTATGAAAATACCTTTCAGTTGAAAGTGGCATCACTTCGATACTATCGATGTACATTCTTGTATGCTTTAATGATAAACCACCATGTGTCCATTTAAAGTGAATACGATCCAAATCCGATGGTTTCATATCCGACAATATTACACGTGAATATGAGTGACCTTTTTCGAATTTTTGATCACTATATAGGATTGTTGGAAAATAATTTTTTTTCACATTTTCAACACCATAATTACTTACTGATCATTAAATTTTAATGTTTCACCATGATCTGCCCAATCAAGAAATTTCATTGTAATTTTACCATGTACAGAATCACTTTCATGTGATTCATCGACCATTTTCACTCGAATCATATATTGAAATTCTACAAACACGAAAAAAAATTTATATGATTAAATCTTGAGAAATAAATCACTTACTAAAAAATTTTTCATGTGGAGCTGTCGAAAAGAAAAATCGTTTTCCTTTCGATACTGATGGATCGGTGATAAATTTTTTATAATTTATTGCTTTAGGTCCTAGAATAGCACAATTAGAACCATCATGTGCACAACTAGTACATTGGCCATTTTGATAATCATCATATGAATTACAAGCATAAGCTACTGGGTATGATTCAACTTCACCATATGCTTCCAGATAATAATAAGCAGATCTTTCATGATTACAAGCTATCAGGTTGGTAATACTGTAATACAACATAAAAATCAATAATTGAATTGTTTTTTCATTTAATTATTTAGGATAATTACCCATGTATAAGTCCTTTGGTGATAATGGTTGTAAATCTTTCTTGATCACATCCTGGTTGACTGACACCACCATTTGGATAAAAATCAATATGTGAACATGTTTCATACATTCCAAAACCCAAAGTTGGTATTAGGTGATGAGCATCAGTATGAATCGATTCAACAAATTGCGCATCTGTATGCCATAAACGTGCAGCTGGATTTGTCAAACCTTCAAAATAAGGTCCAGCCGGATCCAGACCAGTTATGTGTGCTAATTTTCCTTCTAACCATTTTCCAGCATAACCAACAACATGTGCACCCAACGAATGACCAATTAAATGGAATGATGATGGTGAAACATTAAATTCGTTAATAAGATTCTGAATGAATATTCCGGTCATTGCACCAGCTATACGTGCATTTGCTGTTGCCTGAATAAATATAAAAATGTATGAAGATTTTGAAAAAATTCATTAATTCATCTTAAAATATTGACCTGAGTATAAGGAAAGAAATCTGATTTAGACCAATCAACAAGAATAACATTAACATCATGAGTAACCAATATTTTATCTTTCATTGGATACATCCAGCAATTGATCAGTGGACCATCTATGAAACCATGAACAAGAATTTTTGTTTCAAGTTTAGGATCAAAATGTGACATTCTTATCATGTCAGTATTATTAAATGACAATGTTTGTGGATTATATTGAATTTTTCTATTATAAAGCACATAATTTGGATCGATTCTTTCCGGGCTTTCAGGTAATGCTACAAACGGTCGCCATTTTATATCATAAAAATCATTATCAGTGAATGTACCGATTCCTGGATATGTAACACTTTTGTGAGCATCGCATACTGTTTATTTCAAAAAAAAAGAGAAAAAAAATTACATAGGATTTTTTTAAACATATTAATTTACCTGGTAAGCAATAGAGAATCGCATTCAAAAATAATGCAAAAATTAATTTTTTTCCAATCATGTTTTATAATTGATTAATGTGCATGAATGAAAATTTGGACACTCAACAAATTCCATTGTTTTAAATAAGTTGGTTTTGATGTCGATCATCTTCATAAACGGAAAAAAAACTTATCTTATCATTCGAATTCAATGATTGATATTGATTATAAAACGATCTGCCATATGTTTGTTCCCAAAAATTTGTTAATATTGGAAAAACCTATTCTTTCTTCTCGATCAAGGTCAATATGTTTATTTTAAAAAGTCATAAGATATTATCTGGAAATAATTAGTAAACAATTAATTTTGGACCCAATTTAAAAACACTTCAACTCAATTCTTTAGATTTTTAATAAATGAAAATATCTCTCCATAAAATCGATTATCGAGTAGTTTTTTTCAAATATCATTATGTAATCTATGATTTTGTAAATACTTATTATTATTTTTTTGCCAATAAATTTTCAATTCTTATCATTTAAAAATTTGAGAGCTAAACTTGGCATGTCATTTGATTGACAAAACAAAAATAATTAACAAAAAAAGTTTTTTTTAATTGTCTTTTTTTTTATTGAAACTGCCGAATCGAATATCTTAAAAATTATTTTTGGAATTTATCGGTTTTTTTAATGAGAAAAAGTTTACTGCATTTTTTCTAACTAATTGATGATTGATTTTTATCATCGATTACATTTGATGGTGTTGTTGAGGGTGTGGGAGATGATGTTGTTGCTGTAAATGGTTTATATGAAATACGAACTTTAACTAAATGTTCAATAATAGTTTCATCGGCTAGTGTGGATAGATCACCAAAATTTTTTCGTTCACCTTTAGCAACCAATTCAAGCACACGACGCAAAATTTTATCTGAACGTGTTTTCGGCAATCCACGTACATTTAATATCATATCTGGCGTTGCTATGGAACCAATTTCTTGTCGAACTAATTATACGAAAAATGAAAAAATGATAGTATGACATTTAAGTATAATGAAAATTTACCTATGGAAAGCAATTCATTATTGAAAGCGGAATCTAAATTAGCATTTCCTTGTTTAAGAACAATAAATGCACAAATTGCCTGTCCTTTTACCGGATGTGGCATAGAAACAACTGCAGCTTCAGCCACTCTTTTATCGCTCAATAATGCATTTTCAACTTCAATTGGTGATAATAAATGTCCGGATACATTCATTGAATCATCCATACGACCGGTAATCCAATAATAACCATCTGTGTCACGAAATGCACCATCACCGGTGTAAAAATATCCTGGAAATTTTTTAAAATATACTGTTTCAAATGTTTCACGTTCATCGTCAAAAGTTCGAGCCATTCCTGGCCATGCTTGTTTATACACCAAATGGCCTTGATCATTCCCAACAATTTCTTTGCCACTATCATCTAGTATTACCGGTACAACACCAAACCACGGTAATCCTGTGGATCCTGGTTTCATATCCATTGCATAAGGTATGGTAAAAATCATTGGTGCACCAGTTTCAGTTTGAAAATATGTATCCACAATTGGACATCGTTCTTGGCCAATATAACGATAGATCCAGAACCATGTTTGTCGATTAACTGTTTCTCCAACCAATGCTATCAATCGTAGATCACGCATTGAATGTGCTTTTACATATCGTTCACCGAATTTCATTAATGATCGTATAGCTGATGGTGATGTATAGAATATATTCACTTTATATTCATTTATAATCATCCAGAAACGATCAACACGAGGATGTGTGGGAATACCTTCATATATAACACTTGTAGCACCGTTAGCTAATGCACCATAAACACTTGCCGTATGACCGGTAATCCAGCCGATATCAGCCGTACAAAAGAATATATCACCATCATGATAATTAAATGCATGTTTGAATGCTGTTGCCGCTGATAACATATAGCCTGCAACCGTATGTAAAATGCCTTTTGGTTTACCTGTCGATCCTGATGTATAAAGTATAAATAATGGATGTTCAGTTTCAACCCATTCCGGATCACATTCATCACTGATAGTGGCATCGTTTATTATTTTATCCCATGAAATAATCATTTCATTGTGTGGTGATTGATGTTTTTGAACAGTCTCAGTATATCGTGGTTTATTACGATTATTTGTTTTTTCAAAACGATCAACTATGATTATTTTCTTTATTTCTAATTTTCTATTTTCAATAAAAAACTTATGTAATTTTTTTTCTCAAACCATTAACTTAAACTTACTTGGCAAGGCAGCCCTGTATGGCAGTGTCTATTATTGGTAGAAAATTTAAAAATTTATCACCACGAAATGATGCATCAGCCGCGATCAGCATTTTGCATTGAGCATTTATCATACGTTCGGCCAGTGAATTAGCACTGAAACCAGCAAACTGTTCGTAATACACCATTCGTACAGGGAATATTATTTTTTTATCGTAGAGAATATTCTATAATAATTTTATAGCTTACCACAACAGTGTGTACGGCACCGATTCGCGCACAAGCCAACATTGCAACAATTAATTGAATCGTAACTGGCAAATAAATTGCCACACGATCGCCTGGGTCAATTTTCAACGTTTGTTTCATATAATTAGCCAAACGGCAAACTTCATTTTTTAATTCTTTATAGGTAATTTTTCTCGTTTCATTTAAATCATTACCCAACCAATGATAAGCAATACGATCACCGAATCCACAAGTTATTACACGATCCAATAAATTGTAAGTAATATTCGTTTTCATTCCTCTGAAAAAATCCACTTTAATTGGTCCAGTTTTACAATCAAAATTAGATTCTAAAATTTTATGATATGTTAATGGTAATGGCGCTGTCCAATAGAAATCGGTTGCAATCTGTTTCCAAAATGTTCCTGGTGATTTGATTGAATGTTCATACATTCGTTGATATTGATCAAATTGACGCAAATTTTCAAGAGCCCTGCTTGCATATGCTTTTTTACATGGGATACGTTCAACTTGTGCCATACTTTCCAGTAAGGATTTATGCATAATTTGCTGTATTGATTCATCGCCAATATCAGACATTTTTTGAAATTATTTTTCAAATATGATTCGAATAAACAACAACAAACAAACAACAGCAACAAAAATTGATCGAGAATTTAAATTAAATCCTAGATATTTTTATATTTGAATTTTTAATTATATCTACCATTGATTTAATTTAGAATTTTCTAATAAAAAGTTAAATTATTACAAAAAATTGAATTGTTATTAAGTATGGAAAAAAATTTCTTCAGATTGAAAAAACGATTATTGCATACGAATTTCGAATATTTTTTTAATTTGATTTATTGATTCGATTACATTGAGAGGAATATAAACATGGAAATTTCCTATCTTTATTTTTTATTTTTGTTTTCTTATCGAATTAAGTCAGAAGAATTTTTTTTCAAAATAATTTACAATCAAAATGTTTTTTAAAAATTTGTTTCCATCAATTACTATTCTATTCGCAATATGTCCTGTCATTTATTCATCTTTGTCATTAACATCCAATAACGAATCGTTAACATTTTCCACTATTTCTGTTTATGATGGCAATATTGATAATTCAACAGAATTGCTCAATTCGGCATTAAAAGATTTTGAACAAACAACCAAAGAAAATAGGGAAGACACCAGCAATGATGATGACTGGCATCGAAAGCAAATACTTGAGGAATTAGCTGAAGTTATTGCTGGTAATCGATCGTTAAAATCATCATCAGATGAAATTAAAAATTGGTTTCATCAAAGATGTTTACGTAAATGTTCATGGATATTTCGTTATGATGTTTCGGAATTGATTCAACAATTTTGCATGTTATCATGGATCAAGAAATTCACCACCAACGAAAATAATAATAGTAAAAGCAATGAACTAAAATGTCCATGGTCCTTTGATAATCTACCATTGAAACTTCGTTTCCATTATCTAGCCATACGTCAAAGTGGACGTCTTTGTTTTCAAAAATGTGATGAACAATCAATCGGGCTCTCATATTCTATGCATGATTATTGTATTGAATTTATACGTTTTATTTGGTTAAATTATTTACCACAAATTCTATTTACTCTTGTAATATTAACTTTGATTTTTATTGCATGTAATTGTTCATTAGCTGATAGCTGTAGCTGTGTTGATATTGAAAAAGTTAACTATTTTGCAGGTGAAAAAGTTTCATTCAATTATAATGATGATGAACATAAAAATCAATATTCGGAAATACAAAACATTCCGAAAGATATGATTGATAATTTTATGTCAAATATTAAAAAAAATGATTATTAAATTTTTAAAAATTTTCACCTGTTATTTCTCAAAAATTGTAATTTTTTAGTTTTTTTTTTAAATCCAAAAATGAAAAATTATTGCTTTCAAAGAAAAAAAATCCGTAACTAGATGGAGCCATTATTAACAATTTTGAAAATAATTCAATTTTTTCTTTGAATTCATAAGGTATATTAACAAAGTATATCTTCTTTTGATTCATTTTGGTTGAATATTCTATTGTGTTATATCTGTTGAACAACAACAACAACAAAACAAACAAACAAAAAATTCTGCCCTAAAACTTTTGAAATGAAAAAAGAAAGAAAGAAAAACATTTGAATGAAAGAATATTCATTTTCAATTTTTTTCATACAATATATCTATTTATTTTGTCAGGTCGTATCATTAACAATAACGTATTCGACAATGGATAGATGAAAAAATGAATGTATTCAATGAATTTGAATCTTGATCTTTAGTTTTCTTCATTTTTGTTGTACTTGTATTACTATTACTTGATTTTAATAAGAATATTTCGTTTTTTTCTGATATGAATTCTCAAAGATATTCGACATTGAGGTATATGTAAAAAGATAAAGATGTTTTTTTTCTTCATTTTCTTTTCATTGTTATCAGTATGTGTTAATATGTTTGATAAGTCCTTATGACGATCGAATTGAATATATACCTCTTTGTGTATTGTTGTGTTATCCGTAAAAATTTTCATTTCAAACATTCTTTCATTCTTGCTTGTTTGACTTTTTTGTTGTTGTTGTTGTTTTGAATGTTTATTCCATTCATTCTTTTGCTATTCTTTTCGAAATATCTAAGTCCTTTATATTTTGTTTTCATTTTAGTTTATCTGTACTTTATATTTTGTTGTATTTCACGTATCGAAATTGAATTGAATTGGCTAAAATAGGGATGGTTTAATTTCAAAGAATTTCACCAAAGAATTTTTATTCATGAAGAAAAAATATGAAGTTGAAAAATTAATCATTTCATCTTTTTTTTCTCACACAAAAATCGATAAAAAATACTTTTCATAACGATCAAGGATGAGATTATTTTGTAATAAAAGAGTCTCCATTCTTAGAAAGATAAACGTTTGATTCTTAATGACTTCTAATAGAGTATACGTTTAGTGTAAATTTTCATGAGAAAAAAATTTGCTACAATTTTTCCGTTTTTCCTTACAAATTCCACTTAATTTCAACAACAAAAAAAAAGTTATAATCTGTTTATCTGGAAAGGGAAAAAAATTTTTAATTCAATAATGATGATAATATCTGTGGTAGTGGCAATATCTTAAATTATTTTTTTTTCATTTTAGTTTTCCTGGTTTTTGAAGTAATTATTTTCAGAGATCTCACTGATTTGCAAAATAACTGACCTTTTGCCTTTTAAACAATATAAAAGATAGTCATTAATTTTATTGTTCATTCGTGTATCAATAATTAAATTCTTATTAAATTTTTCCCTTCATTTGAAAAAAATCAACACAGGTGTCGAATTGTTTGTGTGTGTGTGTCCTTTAATTTTAGTTCCTGGACCAATAGATTCTTGACTGAAAGATTCCAGTTGCTTATTTTTTTTTTTTGTTGTATATGTATAAATGAAGAACAGAATTCAAAAGACTTGATATGATTATATAGAGAATAAACACATTTAGTTGAAAATTTTGATATTATTTTTTTTGTTCATCATTTCCTATTGTATATTTAGTTCATTGTGAAAATGTATTGCTATATTGCCACTACTACTGTCGATGAGAATGATGATGAGAATGATAATAAGAATGGAATGGAAAAAATTCTTTTTTTGGTTCAAAATGTGAATAAAAGTGTCAGTAAAGCGCCATCGATAATATCAGTCTGTCATTTATTAGATTCGGTTATGTTCACATTCTTCATGTGTGTGTTTGTGCGAATTTATTTTTCCATTTTTTCATTTAATATTAGTTGGGCAATTTTCGTTTCATATCATCATCATCATCATTCAAAATTTTTCAATTGAATATCAGCCTTGAAAAATAGGTGAGCTTCCTGTTTTAATCAATTTTGACTTGTGGATAATTTGATTTTTGCTCGACAAACAATTTGTGATATTGTTTTTTCCTCATCAAGATCAAAAAGAAAAAAAGAAAAAATTCCTTTCATAAGATTTCCATTTTTCAAAATTAAAAGTTTCAATTGTAACTTACTATTTCGGAAAAAAAATGATAAACAACATTACTAATCTTATATGAAGGCAAAGCTAAGAAGAATAAAAATTCAGTTACACAGAATTAGCATTATTTTTCAAGTTTTTTTTTCTCAAGATTGTCCCAAATACTTGTACACTTGTCATGGCTAATCAAAGTGGTTTTTTCAAATTTTTTTAAATCCTGATATTGAAAAAAAAACTAAACCGACTTTGGTTTTTTGAATATTTATTCTTGCTTGTGTGTCTTTTATTCTCAATTTTATTGAACATAATTATAAAGAAAAGGAAAATAAAAAAACCATCAAATCTTTTCGAAATAATAGTGTGTGTGTTGTTTGTGGCATCCAAAATCATCCATTTTTTTGAAGATAAATTTCACTATATTGAATGACAGCCATTTGATCTTATTACATAACATAAAATAGCTGCTATAGTTTTAGCTATAAACCATCAGTGAAAAAAAACAATAGTGAATATGATTGATGGTGATGAGTCCATTTTCATAAATAAATGTGTGTATATCCTATAGATAATAATATCCGAATTATGAATAATAATAATAATAATAAACTATATCCTTCATTGAATCAAAATGTTATAATCATCATTATTAAGGCACGTTATAAAAAAAATGAAAATTTGTAATTTGAAACGACCTAATAATGTTGTTTGAGATATGATGGATCATCAACAGATATTGAAATTTATTGATATTTAATATCAGAATAAAGAGAATTTTTTTTAATATTTTCCTTTTTTTTGCTAATGTTTTTTACTAGTTGATTTTTTTCCCATCAAATTCTTTCAGTTCTACACTAATCAATTTTGAATTAATTGTTTTTTCTTCTCGAAATTAACATGTATTTGCTTTTTTTTGTTTAGTTATTTGATGTCAGAATAATCAAACAAACAATCATTGATTCTTTTAGCTGCTTTTGGAAAAATTCATTGACAATTTTCTTTTAAGATCTCGTTACTTCATGTTTAATGATATTGTACATCAATTTTAATTGGAACAAACTATAGTATTTTTTTTGTTTCTTTATTTCTGATAATGACAATTTGTTCAACATGAAATATTGCCTATATTGAATGTTCCTTTGTTATTGAACGACTTTGAGATTAAACAAATCAATAAGGACGAAACAAAAAATAAATCCTCTTGTATTTTATTCACTTTGCATCGGTTTTTTTCAGACTTTGAATAGAGATAAATCTTGTAAAAGTTGTCGTTGACCGAAAAAACAACAAAACCGAAACAACAGAAAAATTCTCATTAAAGTTTTGTCACAGAAGATGAAAATCATGAAATTTTTAATCCTTTTTTGTTGTTTTCGTTGGTTTTTAATAATTCTTTGAAGTTTAACATTTAAACCAATCAATATCCATCCTATTTGCTATTTGTTAAACAAGCCGATCATGTTTTTTCTGATGAAAATTAATGATATTATAATTATTCATCATTATCATTTACATCAATTTTAATTTGGCTAACTTGCATGCTGTACCTTTTTATTCTTTCAGTATAAAATTCAATACATTATTTTGTCTGGCCAAATATAAAATAATGATAATAACAAAAAAAAATGAAAAAAAACTTATTTTTTATGTAAATTTTCCATTCTATAGTATAGTACAAATGGTATTCAAGTAAATTAAATACAAAAATAATTCATAGAAAATATATTCTGTATATCGTTGTTTCGTTAGTAAATTTATCAATGATTTCATTTTTTTGTTCATTTTATACATCTGGTTGTATGGAATATTTTAATTACCTTAAACCTACTACAATCAAAGTTTTTTTTTGTTTTGTTTTGTTTTAGTTATTCATTTTTAAGGCCAAAATTATGTAAAAACACTGGAATTTTTTTTCGGGTGAATACTGAAAAAAAGTATACATTTTGAAGATTCATGAAACCTATTTTCAATCAGAGAGAGGGAGAGAGAGAGAGAGCGATCATTAACCATTTTGTATATATTAGCGTACGTTGTTGAATATTTTTTTCCAGTTCCTGAATGTATGTTCACCAGAGTTTAGTTGTTTTTTTTTTTGGTTGCTCATTTTTTTGTACGTGTGTGCTATTGTTGATTTAAATAGATTCATTTTTATTACGATTGAGGTAGAAGATCCCCTTGTGGTATGCCTTTACACATTATGGTCGTCATTATTATTATTAAGTTTTCTTTTTTTATGTAACATATATTCTGATGCATTCTTTTTGTTTGTTGGAAAATAAAACAAAACATAATCTAGTTAGATTCTCATGGCAGTTTCATTGAATTTTTTTTTGGCAAAGTATAAATGTACGTGTGTGAATGTTGTTTGGTAAGATTTTTTGCATTAGTTAATCATTTGTATCTGTGTGTATGTGTTTTTTCGTTTTGTTTTGTTACATTTTTGCAAACGGAAAATATTTTTTTACATAAATAAAAATTCAACAATTTTTTTAAACAAAATGTATAATTTAATTTTCTTATCATTTTTCAAATAATTTTGTTTCATTTCTATTTAGTTATTTAGAAATTTTAATGATAAATTCGTTTTTTCAAAATTATTATTCTTTCTGACATTGATATATGATTTTTATTACAATAAGTAGTAATGATTATAGTGATAAGAAATCATTTTGATTCATTCAATTTAGTAATCATTTTTCATCATTAAAATGATCAATGATCATTATTGTCGTTCTAACAACCAAAATGTATCAATAATCGATTGAAGAAGTATCGAAAAAGAAAAAACCAAATCCTATCAACAAATTGATCTTGTTATTTATTTTATTACATTAACAATTTTCGGTTATTATTCAATATTCAACATATTGTGATATATTCATTTGATATTCGATTTATCTATTTGAAAGTTGGTGTGTGTGTGTGTGTGTGTGTGTGATTCACAGAATTGTAAGATTAGTTTTTTTCTCTATTCTTTCTTTCCATGTGTGTGTGTGTGTGTTGTGCAAACATTGATTTGGTTGATATATTTCAAATAAAAATGGTTCATGCAGAAATTAAATCGAAATGTGTTTGCTTGTGTGTGTAAATGTGTGATTGATTATAATCATTATTATCTATATTACATTCGTATAGAAATATCATCATTTGAATTGTTAATCATCCAGAATCATGATTGATTTCGATTGATATCAATAAAAAAATTTCACGATCATAATAATCATTCATTGTATCGTATCGTATTGTCAATGCAATAATATTCTCTATTTTCAATCGAGATTAAATTTTTTTAGATTTTTTCGTCATTCCTGATTTACTGTTTATAAAAAATATTCATTTTATTTTGTTTTTTTTTGTCAAAATTAAATTCATTCGATAAATTGATCGAAACTTTTGAATTTTGTTTTCTAGAACTTTTTTTTCATTATTGTTGTTGTTGAATTTTTTTTTTCTTTCGTTCGAAAACCTAAATTGGATTTTCTACTTTCTGTTTTTTCTTTTTTTGCATACACCATACACTATAATTTACCTTTCAATAATAATCATTAATGATAATGAACATTAACTATTAAAAAGAATTTTGTTTTGTTATATATAATTCACTCAAACACACACACATACAGAAGAAGAAAAGTTCATTTTGAATTTTTGTTTTGTTTTGTTCTTTTTTTAGATTTATCATTGGAAAATATACATTTGAAAAAAAAGAATTCAAAAACAAATTAGTGTCTTGTATTTTCTTCGTTTTTTTTTCTCGTTTCTCACTAATTTCACAATAAGTTTTTTCTCAGGACCATTTTTTTTATTCATTATACTAATTAATTCTGTTTTAATAATTTTTTTCTGACGTTTGATTTTTTTTTCTTCACAACAAAACTGTTAAATAGTGTAAATCGATTCTGCAATAATGATTAACAAGACATTTGAAGATTTTTCCTTTTCTTTTTCCTATTTATTTTTTTTTGGTAAATGTTACTTTTTCCTTCAATAATTTTTATTCATCATCATAAAAGCTTACATCCGTATTCTTCTTTTTCTGGTATCTAATGACTAACAATCAAATTGTTTCGACCGGATGTATAATTATGATTCGTTTCTTTTTGTTAAACAACATATGATGTAAACAAACAAACATAGATGGACATTAGATAAACAATAAATTGAAACATACTTGAAATATTAGATTGAACAATACTTGATTTAATAAATTTCACAACATATATTATTGTTGTTGATTTCCAAACAAGAAAGAATAATACTGAAATCAAAAAAAAAGTAACAACAAGAAAAAAACATTGTGAATCCAATTTGATTTTTTCTTTGTGTATTTGTTTGATAAATGTGTTAAAGAGAATCTGTATGTAATACAATAAAAGACAAATTGAATCGGTTTTTTTCTTCATTCACTCTCTCTTTAAATTTCCTTTTGTATTTTCCATAATGATGAATGCATTATTTTGGTGTTCATGTTTTTTTTTCTTCTTGATACTTCGTGATTTTGTCATTCATTCATTGTTATTTTTTTTGTGTTTGTTTGTTTATAATACTATTATTATTATTATTTCATGCTAAATTCTATTTTCATTGATTTATTCAGAATCAAATGTCAAATAACATTTCAACAACAAATAGAAGAATGTTAGTAATTCCATTCATCCATTTACAAAAATGAATAGTGTTGATTTTTTTAATGGTAAATGTTATCATTGATCATCTTACATACACAAAACAAAATATTATTATTGTTCATTCAATCTTTTTTCATTAAAATGCATCTGTATAAATCGATTGGTAATTTTATTTGACGATATGAAATATTATCATTATAATCATCATCGTAAAATTTATTCAATTATGAAAATAAGATCAATGATAATAAACCAAAAAATTCACATACTTATGGTATAGAATATCCAATAGCTTAGAACAGTTGAAAAATCTTTCGGAAATTCTCATGATGATTATAATAATCATCAACTCATCTTGTCGATGTCTTTTTTTCTGGCTTTTATTTTTCACACTTTTTCACATTATTTTCATTATATCCATTAACCATGATCAATTGTTTGCCAATCTCTCTCATATATTCTGTTGTTTGTTTGTTTTTTTTCCTTCATTATTCTGCCGGCTGAGTGTCGAGTGTATTACAAAATTTAAAATTTAAATTTTTTTCTTCATTTCACTTTTTGTTTAGCCTTTATCATGAACTTCAAATATTCCAGTTTATCTTGTTGTTGTTGTTCGTATCATTATCTGAATTTTTTTTCCATACCGGAATTTCGTTTTATTTATTCATTCATTCAAATTTAAACCGGAATTCCCTCAACAGTTTTTTTTCAATTTTCAAAAAAAAAGTTTTCCCACTGCTTATTTATTTCCGATGAAAATATACCAGAGAAGAAAAACAACAACAACAACAAAAAAAAATTCACAAATTAAAAGATCGACCGCCTATCGCTCATTTTATTTTCTTTATCATTCTATTTTCAATTCATCAATACAACATATAAAAGTTCTAAAGTAAAAAAAAAAAATTTAATTGGATTTTTTTTCTATTTTCTTTGCATTTTTTCACTATATATTTTTGACTATACTCCAATTTCATCAATGGATTTTTCCGTATTGACGTATGGCAGATTTTCCATCATAATACAACAACAACTATAACAAGATTTCGACAAATCAAGAACCGCGAAACAAAATACTCATTCTTTACGCATTTTGTCAGATAGAAAGTGGTGTGAAAAAGAAAAGGAAAAAATCTTTTTCATTTTTTTTGATCAATGATTTCATAGCAGCTAAACAAAAGGAAAAAAAAGATATCAACGATATTTATCAACAAATACACACACCACACACATGACGACGATCAAATATGCCCGAATTTGCCGATCGAAGTCTTTTTTTTCAGCATGTGTTTCATAGCGACCTAGAGTGATTGATCGATTTTGTTGATTCAGTTTATCGCCGAATATGTGTGTGTGTGTGTTTGTCTGTCTATGTATACTACAATGAACTAAAATTGAACAAGACCAATAAAAAAAAGAGGCAAGAAAATTTAACCTGAATATATATAGAGAAACGATTTGGCATACGTTATTCGTTAAAGTGTACGTGTACAATCATGTTTGCTCGTGGATTAATTCCAACCGGTACGGGTTGTTCAATCGCTAGCAGTGGTGGTTGTAATTTTATGACAACTCGTACTGGTGGTGGTGGTGGTGGTGGCCATCATCATTATCCACATCATCATCAAAATGCTGGAATTTTTTCTTCCAATGGTACTAGTACCGGATCTATGGGTATTTCCGGAGGAAGCAGTATGGGTAGCAGTAATACTGTTGAAAATAATCGTGTGATATTAAATGTTGGTGGTATACGTTTTGAAACATATAAAACAACATTAAGAAAGATTCCAGCAACACGTTTATCACGTTTAACTGAAGCACTTGCAAATTATGATCCTGTTTTAAATGAATATTTTTTTGATCGACATCCGGGAGTTTTTGCACAAATTTTAAATTATTATCGAACCGGAAAATTACATTATCCAACCAATGTTTGTGGCCCTTTATTTGAAGAGGAGCTAGAATTCTGGGGTCTTGATGCAAATCAGGTATGTGTATTGAATTTATAATTTTTTTTTTCCTTTTTTTCTTCATTGCTATGTGTAAATAAGAATATCATTACTTTATGCAAATTTAATTTTTTTTCTTTTGATCATTTTTTCCAAAAAAAAAAAAAAATTATTTTAAGGTTGAACCTTGTTGTTGGATGACATATACATGTCATCGTGATACTCAACAAACATTAGCCATTTTGGATACATTAGATATGGATGCGGCAAGCCTTACTGAAGAGGAAATGTCAAAAAAATTTGGCTATGAAGAACAATATCGTAAAGGAAAATTAACAAGATGGCAACGTTTAAAACCTAAAATATGGTTATTATTTGATGAACCGTATTCATCTAATGCTGCTAAGGTGAGTAAGTTTGATTTTGTTGATTTGATTATATTTTCATGAATTCAATAGAATATTACACTTCACTTCATTTGGTTCTGATGGATGACAAACTGTAAAATATAATTTCAATCATGTGCTCCATTCATTTTATCAATTTTTCATTTTTTTTTAAATTATTTTTGATGACATCTTTTTTTTGGTTTTCACATAATTTTTTAATAAAATAAAAGCAAAAAAATTGATGATGATGAAATAAATTATTTAGCTACCTTCAATGTGAATAAAAATCTTCTTTTTTTTTACTTTCATTTGAAATTCTAATCACTTCTATTCACATTAATTATCAAGTCAATAATAATGATAATGGAAACTAAACCAAAAGGATTAACGATCGTCGAAGCAATTGTGAAATTCAATTTGTTCATTATTTTTTCGGTGAAATTCAAACATTCGAATATTTAATTCTGAAGTTAATTCAACAATTCAATTCTTTACACTGAATTTATTATGAAAAATGAGAGAGAGAGAGAGAAAAATGAAAATTTTTAAAAGAAAATCATATGTCGCAAAAAAAAGTTTTGTAATTTTTTTCAAATTTACTTTCACATATTATCTGAAACGAAAAAAATGCTATAAATTCTATTTGAATTTTTTCAAAAAAAAAAAAAAATTCATTCCATTGAAATTCTCGATATATGAGCAAGGCAGAAAAAAACATAAAAGTTTTCAAACCAAAAATCTCCCTTTGTTCATACATAATGATGTAGTTTTATCCATGGTGGGTGGATAAATCCTTTGGGAAAGTTGGCAATAGAAAAGAATAAATTTCATTCTCATCACTTTATAAAAATTCTTCACAGCTCTCTCCAGCTTTATGCAGCAATATTCATTTCAATTTGTTCTTTTTTTTTATTTTCATTGAAATTTAGTTCATATTGTATGACTATTATTCTATTATCATTCTACCTCTTTTTTTCTGCTGTTTTTTTTTGGTGAGAATTTTTTATTCAAAATTGTTTTTGAACAAGTTTTTTTTCGAGTTATTCATGTCGATTTTTTTTCGCCCACTATTGACGCAATAAATACGTTCAAATGATAATAATTCACTACATATTGAAAACAAAAGGAAAAAAAACTTTTTTTTCAACAATTTTTCAATCAAATTAAGCAAGGAATGTTGAGGAATAGTTTTTTTCAAATGCATTTTCATAGATTTTATTTGATTTCATTGTCATGATAACCAAAAGTTAAATAAGAATCAAAATGAAATCTTATCTTGTATATTATAAGGGGTTCTAATATATTATTTAAATTGTATTATTTTTTTTTTGTGTAAGTTGTAAATTTTTTTTCCACATTTTTTTCATTGTATAATTGAAATTTAAATTGATCAAAAGGAGAAAACATGATTTTTCTAAAATGTTGAGAAAATCATCTAATTCAGACAATATTTGTTTTTTTTATGTTCAACATCATTTTTTTCCTGACTTTATTCAGGAAATTCCTTTCAGCTATATTATCAAATGCACACACACAAAAACGAATAATTTATCTAAATCTTTAGATAAATTTTAAAGATACATAAGTTGAAGAAAAAAAACCCGAATGTCAATGAGGAAAAATGTTCTTTTTCATTATGATAATTTTTGTTATCATTTTTTTTTTGTAAACATTAAAACCACAAAATTAATATAAAATTATGCTTCCATTCAGTATTCTATGTTTGTTTGTTTGTGTGTGTGTGATCAGGAATTTTATTTCTTTTTTCTTTTTTTCGAGACTAAAGTTTTTTCTTGAGAGCAAAAATAATCATTTTGAATCTTACCATTCAAGAATGAAAATGAAGTTTTTATTATTATTATTGTTATTGGTGCTCATTATTCAGTACATACTTCACAAAATGAAAATTATTTTCCATTTTTTCCAATGAAAAAAAATATATTTTCTCCAGCAATAAAAACAAAATTGTCCCAATCGTTTGAATATTCTTTTTTCTTTTCTTTTTTTTTGAACAGAAAAACATGAATAAATGTTGAACCAAAAAAATTATTTGGCTTTTTTCAAACAACAACCCAAAACAATTTTCCGATATGATAAAAATTCATTGTTATCGTTTGGTGCTTCAGGCTTTGTTGTTGTTGGATTTGATTTTTTTTATTTTCATAAAAAATATTTTTTTTATAGCTTAAATGGTTCATCAATGATTTACATACTCGAATACTAAGGGGAAAATATTAGTTTTATGTGGAAAAGAAGAAAAAAGAATCGATTATAATGAATTCTGTTATTTATAATGAGCATGTATTATTTAGAAGAAGAAGTTTTTTATTATTGTTTCATAAAAGAGATTTTCTTTTTTCATATTTTCATATTATTTAAACAAAAGCAAAAGCTAAATATCAGCTACCCACTATATAAGCTTAATAAATTTTCGGAAGCTTGTTCGTTCATTTTCAAAAAAAAAATTTTTTGCCATTTTAATTGGATTCTATGATTTATTTTTTTTGTTTGTATCGAATTTTTTTTTCTTCACTATCAATGTTTGCAGTTTAAACATGTAAATTATTTAAATATTTTTCCACACAAGATTGAGGATGATCGGTTGATCAATTATTGATTCTTATTATTATCATCATCATCATCATCATCATCGCTGAATGAACATATTATTAAGCTTTGTGTCAGATTTAGATCATAACAAAAGAGAGAGAGAAAAAGAGAATAAAAGAATAAAAACCTATAGGGCAACAAGCGATAACGGATTTTTTGATTGGACTTGTTTTGTCGTTCATTCATTGTTTTTTTCATCATTCATCACTTATCACTTTTGTGTTTGATATTTGTATTATTTAAAAAACAAAAACTAATCATTTTTTTCCATTTTCTCTTTCTCTCCCCTTCTCTATAGGGTGTGGCAATAATATCCGTATTTTTTATCTGTGTATCAATATTTTCATTTTGTATAAAAACACATCCAAATATGCGTGTACCGGTCATTTACAACCGTACTATTAAACAGCCACCAAATTTTCGTCCGCCTTATTCTCGTTATTCTTCCATACCATATCACCAACAACAACAACAACAACAACATCATCATCATGACCAATATTCTATTCATTCAAATCATCATCGACATCGACATCATAATCATAAACAACGGCCACCTTCTCATACACATCCATCATCATCATCAACGATTGCTCAATCATCTTCATCAAATGGTGATAATATTCAAAGTGATCATAACCTCAATGATGATGAAAATTTTGACAATACTGAATCAAAATCATCATCATCATCATCATCAACAACAAATTGGAAAGAATCATGGACCTTGGATAAACATAAAACCGATGCACATGATGCATTTTTTTATATTGAAGCTATTTGTAATGCTTGGTTTTCGTTTGAAATTGCAACCAGATTTTTGGTAAGTTTTTTGTTTTGTTTTCAGAAATCATAAAATATTAAATAAAAGATTAAGATTGAGAAATAATGATTATCTAATTTTTTAATGTTTGACATGAATAATAATTATATAGTAAACTATATGGATAAAGTTACAAAGATTTGTTTGTATGTTATATTTAAAAAAAAAAGAAAATTTGGATCATTATTTCATCACCAAGTAAAAGTAACAAATATATTACGTGACATTAAGCATTTAAAAGAATTTTGTGTTTTTTTTTTTGGAAATTATCTTTGCTGTTGTGATCATGATATGATGATAATGATTCTAAAAATTGTTGTTGTAAAAAAAAAGTTTTCTCGTCATAAAAAAAAATGGTGGCAAAAAATTTTCTTGACAGACGAAAAAAAATGAAAAAATTCTGGTACAAGATGAATGAATGAATGGAACATAACATTTTTCGAGAGTGACAAGTTTTTCTCTATTTCGCATACACACACACATACAGATAACGGTAAAAAAAAAATAATTTATTCAATTCTTGATTCGTTCATCACTGTTGACCATTTAGTTGATTGTTCGCAAAGAATTTTATTTTTACATTTTGATTCATGTTTCATGTGTGTATGTCCGTGTATGATTGTGTGTGTGTGTGTCCATGTTTTAATCAATCAAATGGCAATGTTCAAGAAAAAATAAAACAGGAAGACCAAAACGTTGAATGATAAGAGTGTTTTTTCAAAATTATAATGTTGTATCGATTGCTGTATTTATTTCAAATAACTAAATCAAGTATTTACTCTCATCATATTCAACAAAATCCATGAAATTCTATTAAAGACACACAAACATTTTTTTTTTTGGTTGATCATTTAGAAATCGTTTATTATCGCTTACAATGAGAATTGAGAAAACTTTGCGGTATGAATAAAAACAACTTATCCGTAAATATGACGTGAATACACCATTCGTCGACAGACCAATGGTTATTTTGAAATATAACTTCTTTTTTTTTGGATATGACCGTTATGAATGAATTAATTCTATCTATCTCATACTTTTATTACTACAACATTTGTATTTATCTATGAAACCAGTAGCTCTATAGTTCTAACCTTCGTCCATCATTGTCACACGATTAATTTATCCATTTTTTCCCTTTCCTCAGTCATATTGAAACTAGAAGCAAATATTGCAAAAAAAAAAATGGGAAAAATATGATTTATGAATGATCATTGCATTTTCCTTCGGCATTATATCTGTTTGTCTGTCTGTTTTCTCGGTTAGTCTTAATGAATATTTTTTTCTTCTTCGTTTCGTTTATTCGGGTTTTCTATCCCGTTTAATATTTTTTGGTTGTTGTTTATTTTCTTGTTCATTGTTCATTGCATATATGGCTATGACTTTGACTTTGTCATGGCATTTTATGCACGCATGCAATATTATGATGATGATGATAAATATATGGCTATCATCGCTAAGCGACCGAAACGAAAAAAACCAATCCAAAAGCATCATCATCATCATCATCATATTATTTATATTTTTCGATGAAACAAAAATATTTTCACATAACTAAAAAAAAAACAATTTTGCATTTTTTTTCCTGAATAAGAAAAATATATACTTCGTAACGATGGTGAATGATGATAGTTTATCGTTGCGTGGAGGAAAAAAACGAACTGACATTGATAACATTGCCATTAGGCTGAATTTTTTTTTTTCGTTGTTTAAATAAATGAATAGTTTAGAAATGGGACGATTTGCAGAATCGATATGCATTATTATTTTTTCTTATGAATTTTTTGTTTTTCTATTAAATGTTCACATTGTTTAATATGTGTATGTGTGTGTGGGTATATTCCATAGAAAAATACATCAGTAAATAATTCATTCAAAATTATAATAATCCTCATTTTGTCCATCATCTTATATTAATCACATATAACTTGTCATATATGTAGAAATAAAAACAGTGCTTGTTTGATCGTAGTCAAACACACAAAAATCCCAAACCGATATCTAAGAAAATATGAAAACAAAACCAAAAAAAAAGAAAACAATGTCCTACCTATTTTCATTCAACATAGAATTTCATTCAATATTTAGCAATAGCTTTTTTTTGTCAGCATTCAAATCCATGAGGCCATTATGTTTATATAAATGATTGTGATACAATTAAAAGAGGATCATCATTTCAATAATGATCAAGCTTGAATGTTGCCGAAAATTATCAAAAACAATGGATCTTAATTTTAGCCGATTTGTTTTATCGGGGGCTTTTTTTTCATCTGATTCTACGGTATATTTGGTTGCATTTGAAAATGTGATTTTGGTTTGTTTGTTTTTCTCTTAGTTTCGTTGTTACATTTGTGGGATTTGGGTATTTTGTTTGGATTCCAATTTTGTTTTTGTTTTTTTTGTTGCCTGTCGTTTGGGTTTAACTTTGATAAAAATTTTCAACATTACTTCATTTGCCAATTTTTATTTTTCATCCTAAAAATCTGATCTTTATAAAATAAACAAAATAATATAGCTGACAAATTGAATTTGATTCGGAAATATATTTGTTTCATTCATTCTTTCTTTTCGTTCAAAAGCATTATTATTTTGCCATTTTTGTTGGGATTCCATGCACAATATTGAATTCAACAGAATTTTTTTTTTGGCGGAATTTTTTTCCTGCTTTCATAGAATTGTGATAAAAAAGTATTCAACAAATAAAAATGCTTTGATCCTTTCACTAATGGATATTTAGCAAGCACATATCGATTCAAAGTAAGTTTGAAGCACTGTTAGAAATATAAAAAAATCAATACCCATAATAAAAAATGTTGTGTGTGTGTGTGAAATTAAAATTTTTTTCACGGATTTTCACTTTATTAAATAAAAATTAATTTCATTATTTTGTCAATGTGTGTGTGTGTGAAAGAACGCAACAAAAAAATTCTATTTGGTCCATTAATTGGTTTGTTGAAAAAAAATTTGACACTTTCTTTCGAATTAATCGAATTCACATCCAACAAACTTAATTTTTTTTTATTACTACCAGTTAGTTAGTTGTACTTCTATTAGTTACGCAGAACAAAAATTAATAATTTAGAATTTCAATGTGTCCAACTTTTCTTTTGCCCAAATCATTATTGGTTATTACAATAAAAAATTTGTCACTTTTTTTTGCTTGTCGACCAATGACAAAAAAAAAGAAGTCACATCTCAAAAAGAATAAAAGTTTCGAATTAATGTTCGTATTAGAAAAAAAATGGAATAAATTCTTCGAAATATTTTATAACGATAAATGTCAATCGAAATTTAAAGATGAAGATTCATGAATTTATCTCATAATTTTGTTTTCTCTTCTCTTTAAAATCAATTTATAATATTTTCTTGTGACTGATTCAACTTGTTATCGTGACACACACACTTTCTCTCTTTGTACCATATAACATATAGCGCTTATCGTATTTCCTTTTTTTTCTTATTTTTTTTTTATTTTTCCTGACTATCATCGGAAAAATAGTACCCAAGCGACTCGTTTGAGAACATTTCCTCATATTTTTTTTTGAAATTCTTATGATGATGATGAGAGAAAATGAAAAAAAAGTACAACTTATAGCTATCCACAAAAAAAACTACCATTTCACATACCTAAAAAAGTGGGCTTCACTGTTTTAATTCATAAATTCTTTTAATGTTGTCTTTCCTGAATTCATATATGTTTGTGTGTCTATATTATTTTAGATCGCGTTGAAAACGATATTTAGATGATAATAAGAATATGAACAACCAAAAAAAAACCAATTATCCATTTGCAATCATCATCATCATATTATTATTATCATTATTCTATAATAACTCTGTTCTTCAATGTTGAAATATATTTTCGATAAATTTTTTTTTTCGCTTGATTTACTTATGTGGGTTGTTACGCTTATGTGGGGGGAGGGTGTGGAAAGATTGTATGACTTGATTTTGTTTTGTTTCCAAAAAATTCTTTTCTATAGCTTTTATTTCATCGATTTTTCTTCCATGAAAGCAAAAATTTAGACATGAACAGCCAAAAAAAAAAACGTAACAAAAATCGAAATTCCAAATCGTACATTCGGTTACGCCAAATACAAAACAAGAAAACAGCACACATTGTCTAGACATTATTTTTATCATTATTATCATCATGTATAGTTTTTGTTGTTGATGATTCTGTTATAGAAATCATATTTGTGACTTAAATGAAACATTTCTTTTCGATGTTTTGTTCACTGTTGTTCGATTAGTTTGTCAGAGATGGTTTCATTTTCTGGACATATTAAAAAATAAAAAATTTCAAATAACTAGCTAATCGAAAGAACAAAGACAAAATAAAAAATGAAAAATAATTTATTAGAAATTTTGTTCACGTAATAATTTTTCATCATTTATTTTTCATTTATTTTTTTTTTGAACAACAAATATATTGCTATCTTTTTTATACGCTCAACGATTGACAATTACTTTTTGTTTCGTAAATTTTTTGGTTGTTGTCTTTTTCTGAGTGTTCTGTTTATGTTCAATCATTCGATCATTCATTTTTTTCAATGGAAAAATGAAATGAGATAATATTGTTCTCATCGAGAGGAAAAAAAATTATTAAATGAAACAATATATCTGTGGTGTTCTTCAACAAGATAAAGATAGCCTTTTATTGGAATTCTGTCGCCAAGAAAAAAAACGACACACAAGAATCGTTCATGTATTTTTGGTCAAAGATTCATTTAAACATTATTCATTATTCTGATTATTATTGGCTTGAGGCAAGCAAATAATCATCATATAGCCATTATGATAATTCAATTTTCATTTGCATGTTTTTATTTAAACGTATAATAATGGTGAACGAATGAATACGAATATTTGATTCAGGTTTTTTTTGCTCTTCCTCTCTCTCTCTTTCGACTATGTTATGTGAAACAAAATATCAAAACAGCATTAATGTTATTATTTTTTTTGTCAATACAATTGTCAAAATTGAAATTGATCTTTTGTTGATAGAAAAAAAATGAAATGAAGATGTTAGGTGAAGCAGAAAATAATAATAATAATAAAATCATCACCCCGAATCTAATGGATTTCCTTTTCCACTTCATATAAACATAATGTTTTATGTATGTCTAAATAAATAAGAATATTTGATTTGAAAATAAAGAGTGTAAAAAAATGAAAAGTTGACACATTTTGATGTTGTTGTTTATTTTTTGGTAGAATTTCATTTTTATTAAATTTGATTTTATGTATTTTAATTTTGTTAAAATGATCATCTCTGTTGTTGACGATATGAATTTCAAACTATTTTTTTCACTTGCAATAATAATATTTGACAAATGTTAATTTTATTTTGTAATTTTAAGCATTTGATAATAATTTTCGTTTTTGTTATGTTGTTGTCTGTTTTTTTATTTCATCAATAATAGGTTGCACCAAGTAAATTGGAATTTACTAAAGATGCCATCAATGTGATCGATGCCATAGCAACCTTGTCATTTTATTCGGATTTAATATTACAATCATTAGCTGCATCTGTACAGTTAGCTAATGCTGATATATTGGATTTTTTCTCCATTATTCGTATATTAAGATTATTTAAATTAACAAGACATTCACGTGGTTTGAAAATACTTGTACATACATTTCGTGCAAGTGCCAAAGAGCTATTCCTATTGGTATTCTTTTTGGTATTAGGTATTGTTATATTTGCCAGTCTAGTTTATTATGCTGAACGTTTACAAGCGAATCCACGAAATGATTTCAAAAGTATACCCGAAGGATTATGGTGGGCGATTGTTACCATGACTACGGTTGGTTATGGTAAGTCAATTTTTTTTGTTGTTGTTGTGAAAATATAAACATACAAACACATAACAATCATATGTAGAAATATTTCTTCTTTTGTATTTGGAATTAGATTTCAATTCAATTCAATTCAAAAAAAAATACAAATCTCTGAATGCCGAGATTCCAATTAATTCTTCGTTTTTTTATTATTATTCCATGTTTCAAAGCAATCTATTCGTACTTTTAATAATATGAAAAAGTCAATTGAATGTTTAGAATTTTTTGATTGTGATTATAGTGAGTTTTGTTGTCTTTTAATTGAAATTCATTCGGGTTAACCATATAATATTATGTTTTTATGTTTTTTTTGTTGTTCTTTTTCTGGATTTTTTTCCTTTATAATAATGAACCATCCAATTAAATGAAAAGTTTAAACGTAAGCTAAATAGTTTTGACAAACATATAAAAAAACAGGTCAGAAACAGGAAAACAACCTTTTCAAGTAAAAATAAAAAACGAATTTGTTTCCGTTGTCAGCTGTTTTTTTTGGTTTGAAAACAAACGACTATTATTATGAAATTCTATTTCATATTTCTTTTAAAACTTTAATTCAAAGGGATTCCATCATTATCATTAAATTTTGTTCAGGTTTTTTTTTGGAAATATTCTGAAATTTAATTGAAAGATTCAATTTCATCAGAATGTTTTTTTTGGCTTTCATTTTTTTTAGGTGATATGGTTCCACAAACTTATGCCGGAATGTTAGTTGGTGCATTATGTGCATTAGCCGGTGTATTAACTATTGCATTACCAGTACCTGTAATTGTATCAAATTTTACAATGTTTTATTCACATACACAAGCAAGAGAAAAACTTCCACGACAACGACGTAGAGTGGTAAATGTAGCCGATCCATTTCAGCCATCAACAACAACATCACCGGCACCGCCTCAATCATCTACACATCATAGCTGGACAACAACAACGGGTTCTTTAGCACCAACGCCTACACCACCAGTGCCACCTCAATCATCTTCATCACAATTAAAATCAATAACGCCTACAGTTACGATAAATCTACCACCACCACCACCATCATCAATATCATCATCATCATCAACACAATTGAATTCGATAACATCAATTACAACAACGACAACATCAACAACAATGGCAACTGCAATGATAACATCTACAAATACAAATATAATTTCTGAAAAACGACGACGTCATTCAAGTCAATCCAAAGTTCAACGATTACCTTCGATGAAATTGAAATCTCCAAATCATATTGATACAACATCAGAATCATACATACACATTAATACGTCAAATGAAACATCAGAATGTTCTAATGCTCAACACGATTCAACTAATACAATCAACACTGCTGCCATACATGAAAGTAAATTCGTTTTTCTTTCAATACTTTTCGATTTGATAAAAAGAAAAAAAACAAATATACAGTGACCATATATATTCAATAGAAGGGAATTCAATTTATTTTTTATTTTTTTTGTTTACCTATCCAAATATTGGTCACACCACATAAAGTGATATTTAATGAAAAAATGAGAAAAAGATTGTATTACTTTTTGAAATATGGCTTCATGTTTTCGATTCAAAAGACCAATCGTTAGCAAATTGATTCTATTTTATCAAATGGTTACTTGTGGACATTGCAAAAAAAAGCTCTTCTATCATAAACAAATGAACATTCTTATATTATATAGAATTTCATTTATAATGATAATGATGATGATGATGATGATGATGATGATAAACATTCAATTTATTCTCAATTGTCATTTGCATCGATAGTCATTTTTTTTGCAGTTAAATAAACTTTTTCAATAACAAAAATTCAAAAAATCAATAATGGATGCACAATATTAGTGTATCGATCTTGATATCATCATTATACCATCATCGTAATATATTTTTTTCTAGCAATTTTTTTTATTATTATATTTTTCAAATATTGAATTTCATATGTAAATGATTGTGTTGATCAAATTCAAATTTTTTTTGAATTATGTATGAAAAAATTTTTCAAAAATTTGATGATAATCTTGTTGTTGAAATTAAATCCAATTTTCTTGGTCCATAATCGGTGAATCATTTCATTTAAATTCATAGATGAATCCAGTGATGATAGAAAGTTTCAAATGTTGAATAAATAAAATGGATGACTTCAAATACAAAAAAAAATGACAAAATTAGATTTTGACAGCTGTAGAAATTTTTGATACAGATTCAATTCAACTGACAGAATCTCATTTTTCTGACTATTAACTTTTGAATCAATTCAATTTTAAAATAGAATAGTAAACATTACATTAGTGATGTTGTCAGGATACTCCATTTGAGGAAGAAAAAAAGGCACATTTTTTTAGTATATTAAATCAATGTTACCGATACGATTTTATTATCTAATAATTTAAAAAATTTATTTGTAAAATAATCAATGCCATACGAACGTTGAATGATTCTGATGCTGAATTGAATTTTTCTTTTATTGTGGCCAATATTTTGGCCATTGTTGCAAAACAACAAGCGTTGATGACGAAGAAGAGAGAGAGAGAGAGAGAGAGAGAGAGAGAGAGAGTGAAACGATAAAATCAAATCAACTTCAGGAAAGTTTAGTTGAAAAACTTTTCTATATTGCTGGCTTGTATACATGGATAAATGGATGGATAAAAAAATTATTATTATGATTGAAAAATAAAAACATATAACAGTATAATGATAATTTACACATTTATGTTTGTTTTTTCCTCACCATTCACTCAGGGAACGTCCATTTTCCATTCTTTTCCATGTTTTCAATTCGGTAAATTACTTTGGATTTTTTTCTAGATATCTAATAATGATAAAACTTTTATTTCATCATTATTATCAGATGAAATGTAATTCAAAAATTATTTTTTCGTTAAGATTTTCAAGTTTTTTTTCACAAATAACAATTCAAATGGTTGATTTCAATGATCACAAAAAAAAGCATTGAATGATGTGATTTGTTCATTTTTTTCGTCAGTATCCGTTAAAAATCGTGAGATCATATTTTTTTCCCATATAATTGAAGTGTATCAAGTTTGAAATGAGAGAAAGCAAACAAAAAAGAAACAAATTCAAATTTATAAGAATTTTTTTTTAATGAAATTAAATCCATGAATTTTTTCCCATTTTATTCGTTACCTTGTTTCTCTGAAATAATTATGTGGGAAAAATTTTCGGTTTAATTCGAGATATGGGAATTTTATTCTTTATTCTCTTGAAATTGAAATTTATTCCGGTTCAATAAAATCAATTATAATATCTTCTTTTTTTTCTATTTTGTTTCACTCATCATCATTATCAGTATAAAACGATAATTTATTTATATTCATGAACATTTTCAAATGTACAACCAAAAGANCTTCAGGAAAGTTTAGTTGAAAAACTTTTCTATATTGCTGGCTTGTATACATGGATAAATGGATGGATAAAAAAATTATTATTATGATTGAAAAATAAAAACATATAACAGTATAATGATAATTTACACATTTATGTTTGTTTTTTCCCTCACCATTCACTCAGGGAACGTCCATTTTCTATTCTTTTCCATGTTTTCAATTCGGTAAATTACTTTGGATTTTTTTTTCTGGATATCTAATAATGATAAAACTTTTATTTCATCACTATTATCAGATTAAATGTAATTCAAAAATTATTTTTTCGTTAAGATTTTCAAGTTTTTTTTTCACAAATAACAATTCAAATGATTGATTTCAATGATCACAAAAAAAAACATTGAATGATGAGATTTGTTCATTTTTTTTCATCAGTATCCGTTAAAAATCATATTTTTTCCCATATAATTGAAGTGTATCAAGTTTGAAATGAACTAAAGCAAAAAAAAAAAAAAACAAATTCAAATTTATAAGAATTTTTTTTAATGAAATTAAATCCATGAATTTTTTCCAATTTTATTCGTTACCTTGTTTCTCTGAAATAATTATGTGGGAAAATTTTCGGTTTAATTCGAGATATGGGAATTTTATTCTTTTTTCTCTTGAAATTGAAATTTATTCCGGTTCAATAAAATCAATTATAATATCTTCTTTTTTTTCTATTTTGTTTCACTCATCATCATTATCAGTATAAAACGATAATTTATTTATATTCATGAACATTTTCAAATGTACAACAAAAGAGAAAAGAATTTCTCATCCAAAATTTTTTTCCCAAACGTTTTCAATCATTTAGATAATTCTCATTAATATTCAACAACAAAAAGAAAAATCTTTTCCGTTAAAAGATTTTATTTCTATCCATTACAAAAAAAAATAATAATAATAATGAAAATGATTTGAACAACTAATCAGAATGATGATACTCATGAGAGAAGGTGTCGTTTTTTTCCCTCACTGAATATCATTAAACAAATCACAATCATTTCATATCTGTCCGCTGTGTATCCTTGTACTATATTACAATTGTCAAAATCCTTTCATTCAATACAATTCATATATTCTAGTGAAATGAATGAAAAAAATAAAGAGTTTGGTAAGGAAAAAAGTTTTCATATTTGTTGTTTGTTCATATTTTTCATATTGATAGTTAAATAATAGTGCAAGAAAAAAAATGACAAATTTGTTATCATTAAATGTCAACGGTTACCGATCACAAATATAAACATACACAATTGACCAATATGAAACGAAAATTAAAAGATATAAAACTTTTTTTTTCTTTCATGTCTAACATCGTCATTCATAACCATCATCATAATGGTCAACAACAACGATGATAAATGGATTGTGGAGAATGTTGACTGAATAATATTGTTCAAACTTGTGTGAACATTATCAATTAGCTTTTTTTGTATACTGTCAATTAAATTATTCTTTTTAGTTTGGAAGAAAAAAGTTTTCACATACTTAAAAGAATTTTTTTTCAACCGTTATAAATTCAGTCCAGTTTTTTTTTTGACAAATGAACAGTTTATTTTTGTTATGGTCAAACTTTTTTTTTCTTCACTTATTTTTATACAATATGAAGAGTAAATTGAATCTGGTGCTTGATAAGAAAATTGGATATCAATTTTCACTTTCGTACAATATTTTCAATAAAAACGATTTCCTTAGCCAAAAAAAAAACTGAAGACAAACAATCCGGTAATATATAGTGTTATATCGAATATGGTGATACCCGCCGGTGAGCTTATAAATAGATGATGATGATGATGATGAATGATTTCTTAACTTTGTGTTTGTATATAAATAATGATAACGATAAATTTTGTTAATACGTTACTAGAATTTTCAATTCATTTTGACACATCAATAACAAAACAAAAAAATTATCATTTCACATATTGATAAATTAGCATTTATATTGAGCATTTGATTCCTGAAAAGAAATCTTTATTTGAAAATTATTTTGTTTTATTTTAATCATAAAATCTAATTAATTTGTTTCGATTTATCTATTTTATTTTTGAACAAATATAGAAAAGATAATAGTTGAAAAAAATATCTCGATAGAGAATCAAGCCGCTGGAAATGATCATGGAGTTTCAACTAAAAATCATACCAATGATAATAGTGAAAACAAAGTGTGCCATCAACAAAGTGAAAAACGACAGCAACAACAAAAAGCTAGAAAAAAATGTAGACATCAATCGATCTCAATTGCAACCAATTCATTCGAATCTAATAATAACGAAACCATCAACAACACCAATCACATTAATCGAAATGAATCAACTTCTACTATTCCAAAACTTCAACAAACTCGTGTTGTATTATCGGTGGATCGTAAACGATCAACTCCACATGTCGAAATCATTTCTAATCCTAAATCAACAGCAACATATTCGAACATATCGAAAGATGGAAACAATAGTGTACATGTTAATCAGATTGTTTCGCCGGTTACGAATCCAACTCTGAACAATAATATTAAAGAACAGAATTTACATCAACAACAACAACAACAGCTGCCAATAAATGATATACAATGTCCTTGTTGCCATCATCATCAATTGGAATTAGAAAAACAAGAACAACAACCACAACAAGAATCTTTATCAACATCATCAACAATAACATTGTCGGCAAAAAATCAAACAAATTTTCAGCGAAAAGATTATCAATTTAATCTTTGAACTAACAAAAAAAGAAAAAAAGAAATCATCATCATTTAATGAATAACAAAATTGAATACAGACTACACAAAAAGAAAAACAGATGTTCATTGTATATTTGATTTGATCTATTCTCTAATCAATTATGTTCATAATTTTTTCTTATTTTAAAATTCTTGTTATATGAACGATTATGATTGATGGATGAAAAACAGACTTGATTCTGTTTGTTGTTGAATTGTTAATTTGATGTGAAAGAAATATTTAAAATTTTTTTATTATTAGAATTTCTTGTTTTGTTTTTGTTTCGAATTCTTTGTTTTTCAACGATATTCATTGTGTTTTTTTTTCATTTTCTTTCATCAGTGTTGTTCGATGACAATGATGATTAATTACAGAAAAAAAATGTTGATGATGATGATGGTGGTGATAATAATAAATAAATAAAATTTTTTCTGTAAATTTTTTTTCTTTTTAACTTTGTTTAGTTGTCGACTTTTGTGGAATTTGTAAAATTTCATTTTTCGATTCTAGTTTTTTTTACGGAAAAGAACAAATTGTCGCAATCGACAATTCTAATCCTTTTTTCTCGTTTCTTCGATTGAATGATGATATAAAACAAAAGTTTGATATTATATCGAATAAGATGATGAGGAGTCAGTTTTTTATACATCTAAATTATTCATTTATGAAACTATTCATTCATTTTTTGTTTGTTTTTCCCGTTTGTTTATTATCGTATACAAAAACAACTATATTCATGATATTTGATAAGATTATTGTCATTTTTTTATTTATTTATTATTAATAACGAGACATTCATTCTACTTGTGCATTAAGATTATTGTTATTTTTTATTGTCATTATAATACAATGATTTTGTTTATAATGTTTATGATGATGTGGAATTTTTAAAATCAAGACAAAGGAATATAATCAAACTGTCAAGTTGTAAAATAAACGATAAACAACGGAAATGATAATCGAAAACAATATAATCTAACAAATGAGCTGATATATTAGATTTTACTTTGATGAAATTCACTGTTACTAATAGTTAAAATTATTATGTTATTACTATCATTGATTCTTATGAATTAAAGCATAAACGTGTATTTCAATATGATTATGAATGATGTTTATTCAGTCATCCATGATCAATGTGAACATCGATCAAAATCTTCTCTCTTTTTTTTTGAGTAATTTTCCTCTCATGCACAGACAAGAACGGAAGAGAAAAGTTCTACCATTGAATTTGAATTCAAGGAAGAAAGCCATTTAAGGGAATAATCTTCATTGAAAACCTGAAAAACAATTTTATCAGATGATTATCATCGATAATCAATCACGTTTATGTTGATTGAAAAGTTTTTTTTTCCGCAATAAAAACGATGATTTCACTTGATCATGATTACATACATTCGGTTTAATTTGAAAATGCAAATAATCCTTTTCAAACATCGATTCAGACTGTTTAAGAACAAAAAAAAAATCCGGAATAAAAAATTGATTCTTATCACAACTTGAGGTGTAAAAAATCATTGGGATAATCATTCATCGTCAAGATGTCTATTAAGAAAAAAGGTTGATTCTTTTCCTTATAGAAAAATACAACATGAAAACTGGAGCTTTTTCCTAAGACAAAAACTTACATAAATAATTTATAAACAAATTTTCACAATCTTTATTCTGAAATCAAAAATGAATGAATGAATTCAATCTCTTAAAGCTTTAGGCAAAATCATTTAATTCGAATAGATTGATCGGCAGTTTTGATTCTTTTTATAGTGATGTAAATGTTACTGAATTTTTGTTCATTTGTTTGTTCAATACTTGTTTATTATTGAAATTTTGAATCACATGGGATAATACTTGATGAAAATCCACTTATATATAAACTATGGTTATTGCCTGAATCATATATAATAAAATGAATTCAAAGTTTTCTTTTAGCTAAAGTGACTTTTCATCAAGTTTTTGTTGGCGCTTTTACAATAATGATATTTGTTGTTGCTGTTTAATGTCATTTATTCATACGAATAGAGGAACAGAATAATAATAATAAAATTCATTCTTTTTCTCATCAATTTTGATTCATTTACACAAGATGATATTATTTTATTCTTTTCATCAACATTTTATCGTTTTTAAATCTTTTTCACAAATTCAACTTCCGTTTGTTGTCAAGCTGTCAATGTTTGTTTATTTTACTTTTGGATTTGTACAAACAATGAAAATGTCATTAAATGAACCGCAAAAATAACGTGGAATTGTAAAAATTTAATGTTGCAAGAATTGCAATTTTCAAGAATTGTTTCCACACATCTGCTGCCATCTGTATTCGAGGATATCATTTGAAGGACTAATCGAAATCAGCTGCATTACGCGGTCATTCGATTTCAGCGTGGGATGAGTATTAATCGTTTATTTTTTCAACGTGGCTTTTTTTCAACATTCATTTCATGAATTGAAAAAATTTCTTGGGTATTACCATTATTTCCTTATGCCTAAGTACTGGCCTCAATTTATTGTTTCGTTACAGAATTATTGGCGATATCGTTTATTCAATAGAAATCGTCGTTTGTTTCCGTTGCCATCTTCCCGAACACAAGCTGATATGATGTCACACGATTTTATCCGACAACTTCAAGCCAATCACGAAGTATTGGCATCAAAAATTGCTCAAATCGAATCAACATTGCAGTTTAAAAATAAAAATTCATCTTCAGCTACAAATCAAAAGGATATTGAAGTCGAAAGACAAAAATTGATATCTGAGAATCAAAACCTCCGTAATGAAATTCAACGTATTACAAAACGATTAACAGATTTGGAAATTCAAATCCAAGGCCAAGATTTATCGAAAAAAGTTGTCAACGAATCATCGGATCAAATATCAAACTCTTCATCAACGCAACCACAAACACAACCAGCGGCCAAAGTAATTGCCGTTGAAGCCGAACAAAAGACTGAAAAACAGAAAAAAACTGAGGCAAAACAAGCCAAATCTGATACTAATAAACCTAAAGGTAGCAAAGGAGGTAAAGCGGGCAATACTGTCGAACCGGAATCTGAAAGGCCCATTGATGCTAGTCGTTTGGATTTACGTGTTGGAAAAATAATCGATGTTAAAAAACATCCGGATGCTGATTCACTTTATGTTGAACAAATTGATTGTGGTGAAGACAAACCAAGAACTGTTGTGTCAGGTTTGGTTAAATTTGTTCCTTTAGAAGAAATGCAAGATCGTATGGTTGTCGTCCTTTGTAATTTGAAACCGGCCAAAATGCGTGGCATTGTTTCCGAAGCTATGGTCATGTGTGCATCAACGCCCGAAAAAGTTGAGATATTGTCACCACCGGCAGGATCAATTCCTGGTGATCGTGTAACGTTTGCTAAATTTCCCGGTCAACCTGATCAACAATTGAATCCAAAGAAAAAAATCTGGGAACAGATTGCTCCCGATCTAACAACCAATGATAATTTGGAAGCCACATACAAAGGCGATACGTTTATTGTTGCGGAAAAAGGTCCTGTTAAATCTATTACATTAAAAAATGTTCCGGTCAAATAGATTTTTTCTTTTCATTTAATTTTCGAAATTAATTAAATTGTTTTTGAACATTTTTTTTTCTTACAAATAAACAATTAATATTTTCAAGTATTTAAATCAGGTTTAGAATTTTTTTAAAAAAGATGTTGTTAAATGCCTTAAGCGAGAATGAGCAAAAGACAAGGCAAATCAGGTGGAACTTCAGCGTCGACAATTGATATTGATCCAAAAACAGCGGCAGTATTCAAGCGTAAAAATTATCACATCTTAAATCGTCTTGGAGCTGGAGCATTCGGAACTGTAGGTTTTAATTTTTTTCATCATTTTTCTGGCAATATTTTGTCTTTGTTCCCATTTTGATTTCAGGTTTATAAAGCTGAACGAATCAATCAGCCAAGTGAATTGACAGCGGTAAAAGTTTTAGAACTAACTCAAATGTCTGCCAATTATCGGGCAAAATTTTTGCCACGTGAACTTCAAGCATTGATCGAAACGAAACATGAAAACATAGTCGATGTTTTTGACATAATACGAGCAAATCAACGGATCTATATTTTTATGGAATTTATGGGAGGTGGTGATATTGCAGGTTATGTACGAAAAAACAATGGTATTTCAATGAAATTGGCTTGTATATGGTTTTTACAGATAACCAATGGCCTGCAACATCTTCATGAGCAATTATTAATGTGTCATCGAGATATTAAATTAGACAATATGCTATTGAATGATCAAAACATTGCAAAATTATCAGATTTTGGATTCGCAAGACAATCATTTGATTCTAATACTAATAGGGTTTTAATGTCAACAACATTTTGCGGTACATTGCCTTATTATTGTCCTCAATTGTTACAAAAAGTTCCCTATGATCCATTTAAAGCCGATGTCTGGGCTATGGGTGTTTCGTTTTTCATAATGCTTGAGAATCGTTTTCCATTCCATTTCAAGGATAAGCCATTGATGTTACAGGAAATGACCGATTATCCAAAATTCATTCGATCCAGATTCAGCGGGAATACGCCAAATGAAGCGAGACGATTATTGGAAATGATGATGAATCCGAATGAAAAGGAACGTTTAAGTGTAGGCGACGTACAGCATAATCGATGGCTACATCGAACAGGATCAACACAATCTTTGTAACAATAAAAAATGAAGTATTAATTTCAAAGGGAATTATGGCAAAAATTTTTTTTTAAATTTTCTTTTCTCATATATGAATACGTTGTTTATGAATATTATCCTTGTGTACTTTTGTCCTGTTGACCATTGAAAAAAAATTGCCTGCATGCCAAATTCATTTTGTGTGTTAAGCTAAGATTTAGTAAATCATTTCGTTTTTTTTCTCGTTTGAGTCGATATCAAATTTCCAAAATGGACAAAGTGATCCCGAAAGTTCATGCTGAAGAAGAAGAAGAGGAAGAATTAGTCGACCCGATGACTGTATTACGTGAACAATGTACGACCGAACATTGTCAATCATTGAAGGATAAATATGAAGCTTGTAATGATCGTGTCAATTCAAGATCGGCAACTACCGAAAGTTGTTTCGAAGAAATTGTCGATTTCCTTCATTGTGTTGACCATTGCGTGGCACCGAAATTGTTTTCCAAACTTGTATAGCGATTATGAATAATTTGGAATGTAAAATCCTGGCTTTGCAATTAAGTTTGTAATTGAATAAATGATTTAGATTTGCAAAATAAAATTTTTTTAATTAATTCTTTGATTGACTATAGATAAGTAAAGCAAATGTAATCATTGTAAATGATACTAATGGTATCATAGACCATCGTTTTTGTTGCAATTGAAGTTGCGCGAAATTTTTTTTATTAATCCATTGACGACTTCGATTGACTGCTAATCTCCATGATTCTTTCATTTTTTCACGCTGTCTGTTGGTGATTTTTGGCTTAAATATTTCTGCATCCTGAGTTTCTTGTTGAAATACAATGTTCACATTGAATGCCTGACCGGCTAGCATAGCCGCTCCTATCAATCTTAGTGATATAGATGCAAAATCTGGTCGTATGATTGTTTTGTTGGAAATATCAGCCAGTAGCTGACACAATAGGTTAATGTTGCTTAATTTTCCGTTTACAATTAATTTAGAGGATTCAGTTCCAATCATATAGTCTAAAATGTCACTTGTTTGATGAGCAACCGATTCTAAAGTGGCACGAATCAGATGAGATTTACGGCTAAATTGTGACAAACCGATGATAGTACCAGAAGCATTTGGGTCCCAATATGGCGCATCTAAACCGTGAATAGCCGGAACAAAATAAACACCACGATTCTCTTCTGATGATAGTGAGTCGATCTCATCAAAATCACCGATTAATCCAAGATTATATTGTAACCAATCAAAAGCAATAGTTAAAGATCCTTCAAGCGCGTAATGAATTGGTTGTTGGTCAGATAATTGATAGGCGATAGTTGAAATCAATTTTTGCCTACTTTTTACCGGAATTCGAGATAGAATTTCACTATATGGACCAGGTCCAATGTTTTGCTGAACAAAACATGTATCATCAAATGTTATTTTTGTATCACCTAAATCTAGACATTGTTGACCAAACAATTCAGCTTGTTGATCTGCGATCATTCCAGTAATAGGCACTCCTCGAAATGGTTCTATTTTAATTTCACCAAATGTATAAGATGATGGATGAATGATTGGTAAAGATGATTTTTGCACTTTGAATAATCTGCAAAGATCCTGATCCCAATCAACAATTTCCAAATTCATCAAAAAAGTAGCACTTGCATTTGTCACATCAGTACTGTGCATTCCGGTCAATTTCCACAAAAGCCATGAATCTATGGTACCGATCATTAAACGATTTTGCCGATTGGCAAATTGAATTTTCTCATCATTTTTGAATAACCATAACAATTTTGACGCCATGAAATAATGTAATAAAGGAAGGCCTGTTTTGATTTTCAATTCATTTGAATCGATTTGAATGTTTAAGGATTGAATAAGATCTTTCGAGCGATTATCTAGCCATAAGATTACATTGGTTAATGGATCACCCGTATATTTATCCCATACAATAAACGTCGAACGTTGAGTGGTGATCGTCATACATTTGACACAAGTTTCAGTTTGATTTTCATAAAGATTTCCGTAGACAACCTCGAATGCTTCCAGAATCGAACGAAACAAGTGATCGGGATTTTGTTCAAGCCATCCATCCTGTGAGTGTTGGCATGGAACATGAACATGATGTTGAGCCACAATAGAACCATTTTTCATTGAAACTACGGCAAAGCGTATCGAATTCGCATTTTGTTCGATTACTCCAATTAGATTTTCTATCCGTTCTTCATCCATGGATTAGCGATTGATGATTTTTTATCAATGAAGACAAACGTTTTTTAACCATCATAAACATGATCGAGGATAAACAAACCGAATTTACACATTAGTTTTATTAATAGTAATTGTGATAAAATTGATTCCTTGAAAATCAAAAGAAAATCGAAGGTCAAAACATCGTTATCCCTAGAGATAAAAGAGCTGATAATAAACATTTTCAACTAAAATGATAGTAGTGATTAAAAAATTATCTCTTTATTTGTGATTTTTCATTTTGGTTAATGCATTTATCAAGTTATAAAGCAAATAGAAAATTGATTTTATACATCTGGCATTTCACCCCCAGGAACCATCTACAAAGAAAAAAAATAACTTTAAAAAACGATTTCAGGATTTTTTTCGGATAAACTCACCATACAAACATTAACACCGTTCAACAAAATTTGATCTAATTTAGTTACACGTCTTCCTTCGAGAGTATTTTCGCTAGAAAAACATATTAAATTAGATTCGGAAAATCAGAAAAACATTACACTTACTATTCAGTGACATCTTCCAGTACCATATCTATGATTAAAAGAGGAAAAGATAATCAAGATTTATATGAGAAAATATTTGCAAAGTTACTTACTGACGAAATCATCAAAACCTAATAATGTTCCGACAATTTCTTTGTCATTCTTCATGATTATATGAATTCTCGAACCGATACATTTATCAATGAGTTCTGAAATTTTAAAAAAATTTCACCTTATTATTGTTTGACAACGTTCATCAAATTCATGCTTAAAATGAACATACCTAATGGTAAAATTGTTGATGGATTAACGATTGGAGTTGATGTTGCCATTTTTTCATTCGATTAATTGTGGTTAATTTTTGTTTTAAAATTTCTGATTTGAACACGTGATGAAATGTGATCCAATAAACAATCCGTTCATACATATGATGATATGATCATCAAAACAGGCAGAATTGTGGGCGAATCATTTGGCATCATCATCTGACCAAATTTGACAGGAAAATCAATCAAATCATTCTATTTTAATTCATTAATTGATTTAATGAAAAATGCCTGGAAGGAATACAATTCCAGATCGAAGTACAACGATTCCAAAAACAACTGGACCATCATCTAGTTCGGCTAATTCACCTCCATTGCTCGAGGTTGTTTTTCGTGTGATAAATTTAAATCAATCTAATTGTTATTTATTTTTTATTGAATAGGAACTTGATCGTGAATTACGAACATTATTGAAACATTTTGATGGAATTGCTGCTTTCATCTGTGATCGTGAAGGTGCTTTTCTGATCAAAGGTAATTTTCTACAATCTAACTGACAGAATTCAATTTTATTGTTAAAATTTAGTTTTAAACGATTCTAAACCCGATGGAATATTTCTACAATCAATGTTACATCAGAAATTGATCAATTCGAGTGAGAATATTCATAAAATGAATCTGGATGCACCTTCTAAGATTCTTCTGGAATATGATCGTTATCAAATAATGCAATTTTTTTCAAACAAATTTATTGTGGCTTTTATCGCTTCCAGTCAATGTCCGACTGGAACTTTGTTCGCTCTTGAACCAGATAGTTTGGCTATATTTCAGATACTTCGTGAACATTTTGATTAAAAAATTATTTTTTTTTTCATTAAATTGTTAATTTAATAAATCCATGATTGAATGAGTAACACAAAAAAAAATCAAAATGTAAATATCAACAAAAAAGAAAGAAATATGTGTTTTAACACGATTGGTTATATAAATAATAGTGGTTTTTGTATGAGTTTTTTTGTTCATTCTGATTTAGGATCGATAAAATGTCTTTCATGTTTGTAAATCTCTTTGAGAATCCAAAATGATCGCATTAAACGAAATACTGCCAGCGAATTGGTCAACATTAATAATGACATCGATATTAATTTATACCATTCATAGCTGCGACATAGTAAGATGAATTGAAAAATTATAACTCCAATGATTGATGACAATAAGGTTAGGAAACCACAAGAAGGATCAGAGAATACAATCTACACATGAGAATAGTTTAATTAAAAAAATATGTTATGAATTTGAAATTATATATAGAACTTACATAAAATCTGAAATGAGATTGATTACCCGGCTCGGCACAAGTCATATTTGCTTCTGATTTATAGTATTCCTTCAGATGACGGACAACGATTCCCGGTCCATAAATAATAGATTCTGTCCACGATGGACATGGCAGTACAGTATTTCTCGATTCAAGTTTTTGCCATTTACCCAAATGTAATGATGATCGGTGAAGTATGTCGTAGAATTGTGGAGAATAAAGATGTGATGTTAACATGAAAAATGTACACATGCAAGTTACGGCGATATGTTGAGCTGTCCAGAATGTATCATATTCATGTTGTGTAGGAACAATAGCTAAAGGTAGAAATGAACCATAATATGATACATAGATCGAACGAAAAATAATAAATTTAAGACGATCATTGAAAATATTTTTCAATTTTTCAACTTCATCGCGAACCAAAAATGGCGATATTGATGTACATGTATGTTGAAATGTTGGAAAACAGGTGGATATTGATGTTGGTTGTAACATGAAATGTACAGCTTGCAAACAAATATCTAGATTTGTCGTTTCGGAATCTTTGATCCATTGATAGGTACGAATCAAATTAGGTGAATAAAGAATTGAATAAATTAATAATGGACACAAAAATGTTAAAAGACCAACAAAACTATATGTTTGAAATAATATTAATAGCAGATAGGTTTGTATGTAGAAAAATGTTGAACAAATTAATACATTGATCAGATAGATGTACGAAATACGTATGGATAATGGTAGAAAAAATTGAAACTTAAAAAATAAATGTGAAACAAAAGATTTTATGATTGTCGTAACACAGAATCCGACCACATATGGATTGATCAGATGAAAATTCTAAATTCGAATAATTAATGAATTTAATGATGTTAGTGTCAGATTCATATTACAAACCATTGCATAGCGGCGATAAGTATCGGGCATCCACCAGAATGTACGAAATAGATTCAAATATTGCGTTGACATAGCAATAACGAATATAACAATCGTTTGCATTTCATACAAAAGTTCATTTTCATCCGATAATTCCGGCAATTCTACATGATCAGGAGGCGTGAAAACGCTATTCGAATCGATTCTGTCAGAGTAGATTAAAATTGATTTTTTTTTTGGACATTAACCGAATGTGACACATACCTTTCGGTGGTTGTTTCGTAGGTATATTTTGGTGCTAATTTTGATGAATTTCGACCTCGTGGAGGTAATAAATAAACTTTATTATTCTTTCCCATATCAGAAGGATTAAATCAACAAACAAAGTGATTTTTTCAAGTGATCAAAGAATTTTTTTATTCGCTACAGAATTATATCAATAAATTTAAAAATTTGACAAAACAATCATCAGGTAAATGATTGTCGAATGATAAAAATATTTAAATTCCAAACAAACAATTCATTCATCAAGCTGATATGAGAAACTTTTTGACCGTGTAACTCCAAGAATTCCAAAATATTGTCGTAATTATTTTCGTGTGAGAAAATGAATGAATTTAATTGGAAAAAAAATTCTGAACACGAAACATGTCATGAAAATGAGAAAAAAAACGGGATTATTCCGTAAATAAATGACATAACTTTTCAAGTTTGTTTTGATTGTGTTATAACAATCAGCTCGATTATCATTAAATAAAAATTACCATCAAAATTTCTCCTTTAATCATCGCAAAAATTCGATTTCATTCAAACTAATTGCAATTTTTCAAATCAAAAGCATCAAGATTTATTTGAAAAAATAATATTTTGAATCGATTATCTTTGATACAATTCCAAATGATTTTTGATATGTTTTTCTGTTTATCATAATTTATATCGTCATTTCATTTTCCTGGTTTTCTTCCCTACTAATGACCTTTTATCATTATCAACAAACTAAACAAGATCAATTATGTTTTATCATTCATTTTATTTCAGTTTTTAATTTTCATCTCTTTTTCCATATATATTAAATAAATAAATTAATGATTGTCATCAGTAACCAATTTCAAGATGAAAATTTTCCAGAAACATTGGACTTCTAAAATATCATCTACAATTTTATCATCATCAGATTTGACAATAATTAAAATGAGAAAAAAAATTATTTATGAATTCATTAAAGTGTGTCATAAAAACAGTCGTATCATCAAATAAACTTTATTTTATAGATAAATTGTTTCATTAATTTTTCTATTAATGATTCGTTAAAACATCCACGCGCTACACTCATTTATTTATTTTAAAAAAACAATATCAACATAAACAACGGTCATTATCATTGCGTATATTTTATCTTTGAAAATTAAAACGCCTTCAATTGATATTTGCCATCATCATCATAAGTTTATAAAATATTTGCTTTTCTATATCGATCAAAACAATATTTTTTTTTCTATTTCTTATTTATTGACTTTAAGCTTTTTTTGATAAAAATTGTTCTGAAAAATTATTGGAAAAAATATATTATCAAATTATTGATCGATAATTTGCTGACCATCATTCAATGAAAATAGATGCAAAAAACGGAAAAATATTTCATTTTATAATTAGTTGCAGTTGCAATTGATCATGACGAATAATGCATGATTGGAATTTATTGTTTGGATATTTTTTTCGATGACTCGACCAAAATTGGTAAATGTTATTTATTGCCATCAGCATATTATATTTAGAAGACAAAAAAAGCGAAAAAATCAAATCTACAGAATCAATCGACATATTCGAATACAAAAACTTTTTTTTCAACATTCGAAGCCCTTTGCCATTTCAGTTTTTTTCCTGTAGTTGAATATTCAAAAGGATAAACTAAATTTGTACGAAATTTCTGCAAGCATCGATTTATTCGTGCTCAATCAAGTGTCCTTTGTTTTTTTTTAGATATTTCTTCTAAATAACATCGATCATTCAGCCTAGTTATGGTGTTGATGGTGTTAGAAAAATAACAAAAACAAACATTATTTTATATAATACAATACAGGAAAAAAATGTAACCAGCGTCAAATATCATCCGCATTTTTTTCCAATGATCAAATCTCAAAATTGAATAGTGTACTTTTAACGCAGATCAGCTATCAACCTTGACAAGAACAGTAGCAACAACGTCAAAAACGTATCAAATAGATTGCCAAAAATTTTTTAACGACGATGACTTCAACTTATCTTCTGTGATTAGTACTAACAAAATCCGATCATCCTTAATCGATCTCAATTAAATTTTATGTGCAATTAATTCACTTAATTTATACTCGTAATTGGGACTTGTTACCTTGAAAACAATTATCATAATAATAGTGATATAATTATTATCATATAAATAATTATTGTTTGCCAAAATTATTCAATTCTTCCATTTAATTGAAAATTAATCAAACTGCATGTGTTAAATACGAGATATGGCCAAACATCAATCGATATCCGAAATTAAAAATGAAAATGATGTTAAAAAGATGAATAATATTGGTTTTGAAGATGATTCATCCATTTCAGATATGACTGCCGTTACAAATGATTTTCGATCGTCATTGCCATCATCGATCAATGAATGTGTCGAGGATAATGTACAGAATTTTCCTATAATTAATAATGATGATGATGAAAAGTCCCTCGATTTTAAAGAAGAATTTAAAGTTTACAGGATAAGACATTTTCTTTTATTAATATTTATTACATTATCAATGACCAATGCTTTTCATTGGATCGAATATGCTATAATTGAAAAAATTGTTTGTGATTATTATCGGATATCGACTTTCTGGGTAAATTGTACTTCAGTGATCTTTATGATCATTTATATTATTGGCATAACACCCGCAACATTCATGCAGGACCGTTATGGTCTTCGTGTTTGTTTAATATTTGGATCATTTATTAATGCTCTTGGATCGTGCATAAAATGCCTGTCCGTATCACGATCAAGATTTTGGGTCGCAATGATAGGTCAAACTTTAGTGGGTATTGCTCAATTATTCACATTAAATATACCACCAATGCTTGCAGCTCAATGGTTTCCATCAAATGAAGTTACCAGAGCTACGGCTTTTGGAGTTTTTGGTAATCAAGTTGGCATTGCACTTGGTTTTCTTATACCACCATTATTGATGCCCGAATTGAATTCTACATCCAACGAAGAAAATCTTTCATCCGAACTAATTAATCATATTGAACATGGATTTCATTATCTTGTATGGGGTTTATCCATCATAACCACAGTGATATTTTTGTTAATATTGATCTTTTTCAAAAATCGCCCTGAACAACCACCAAGCAAAGCTCAAGCATTAATTCGTTTTATGGAACATTCTGATTCGAAACAATCATATTTCGAATCAATCAAACAATTGATTAAAAATCGAAATTTCGTTCTCCTATTCATCAACTATGGATTAATCACCGGAGTATTTTATGCCCTATCAACTGTTCTTAGTCAAATGATCACACGAACAATGGGTCCAGAGTATTTGGTCGAAGCTGGTTATATGGGGCTGACTATTACTTTATCGGGTATTACCGGTTCAGTGGTTTGTGGTTATTTATTGGGATGGTCTGGAAAATTCCGGCTAGTCAACCTGTTGATTTATATTTTTTCGTTTGCCGGTACAGCGGCATTTGGTGTGGCCATCGAAATTCGTCATATAAATCTATTGTTTATTACTTGTGCCATATTAGGATTCTTTATGACCGGTTATCTACCTATTGGATTTGAATTTGCTGCCGAAGTCAGTTACCCACAACCAGAAAGTACTTCGGCTGGTCTATTAAATGCTTCAGCTCAGGTAAAAAAATGAATGTTGAGAACTATTTAAATTTACCAAATTTTTTTATTCATTTTTTTTTTGATTGAGATAGATATTTGGTATCATTTTCACTTATGCATCGACACCTATCATCGATCATTTCAATTCAGTCTGGGCAAACATCGGCTATTCGATTGTATTGGTTATTGGTGTTATATTATCATTTTTCATTAAGAATGATCTCCGTCGACAAAATGCTCATATGCATTCAGTTTGATAAAAACTTGTGATGATTTTGCACTAACTCAAATTTTAAAAAATTATCATTTTTTTCAGCTTCTATCATAGTTTGTTGATTTATGCAATTTTTTTTCTACAAAATTGTTTTTGTTTTTTTTGCATGCATTATATTATATATCTTAATATTTATTATACAAATACTATATTTTCTGAATAAAAAATCTTTTTAATATTCAATTTAAGCCAATTACCCCGTATTTTTTCTAAATTTGAAATATTCTATTTCCATGGCTTCGAAGAAAAAATTTGCGCAAATGTTTGGGGAGCGACAATTTTTATTAGTTGATTTTTAATTAATTTCATTTTTAGCAATTTAATCAATTGAATTAGCCTTGTTCGATTAATATTAATTTAATTATTTTTATTTATAAAAGAAATTCGCTTTTCCTTATAAATTGAAAGTTAACGGGGAATCGGTTTGATATCGTGTTCATAGTTATCATATCATATGTTCGTTTGCCATGGATAATAAAGAAATAACTGATTCGGATACAATATCGTATTCAAATAAAGATTTGTCGGTCAATTGTAATGTATCCAAAATTCGATATTTTCTTTTAATTATATTTATAATTCTATCGATGAGCAACTCTTTTCATTGGGTTATGTATGCTATTGTTGAAAATATCGCTGAAGAATATTATCGCACGACTTCATTTTGGATCGATAGTACATCGACAATCTACATGATTACTTATGTTATCTTTATAATTCCAGCAACATATTTTTTGGATCGTTTTGGACTACGTATTTCACTAATCATTGGAGCATCATGTAATGCTTTAGGCTCATTTATTAAATGTTTTTCCATCGAACGTTCGCAATTTTGGATATGCATGGTTGGCCAAACGATATCTGCTTGCGGACAATTGTTTATTCTGAATATTCCACCTATGTTATCGGCTACTTGGTTTGCCGCTAATGAAGTAAACGTTGCAACGGCCTATGGTGTTTTCGGAAATCAAATAGGAATAGGATTTGGCTTCTTGATTCCACCGTTGTTGATGCCGAAACTAGGGCCACTAAATACAACAAATGTTACATTATCGATGATGGAACTGAATCCGGAATTTTCGGATGAGATAAATATTAAGATTCGACAAGCATTCATATGGATAACACGGCCTATGGCTATCATTTGCTTAATAATTTTGATATTGATTATAATTGTCTTTAAAGATAAACCCGATGTTCCACCAAGTGATGCTCAAGCATTGCGAACAAAATCTGAGAAAGAATCTTATATTGAATCGATGCGAGGACTTATTCATAGTCGAAATTTTTGTCTTCTTTTTTTCAGTTATGGACTAAATGCAGGCGTTTTTTATGCAATCAGTACTGTATTAGGCGCTATAGTTGTAAAAACAATGGGTTCGGAATATCAAAGCTATGCGGGATATATGGGCTCATTAATTGTAATATCCGGTATTTTCGGATCGATTATTTGTGGCTACATTTTGGCATGGTCAGGCAAATATAAATTGATTACCGTTATCACCTATGTATTAGCCATGGTTGGATTCATAATTTTTGCGGTGGCTTTGAAATTAAAATCAATTTTAATGATGTTCTTTGTAAGTGTCATTTTGGGTTTTTTCATGACTGGTTACTTGCCGATTGGATTCGAATATGCCGCCGAAGTAACATATCCACAATCAGAGGGTACTTCTGCTGGCCTATTGAATGCATCAGCTCAAATATTTGGTATAATTTTGACATACTGCTCTTTATCCATGATTGATATCATCGGACCATTTTGGGTTAATATTGGCTTTGCCATTATATTGGCTATCGGAGTTGTCTTAACATTACTAATCACTAATGATCTTCGCAGGCAAGAAACAGCACAAGCAATGAAAAAGAAATCTCTGTCAAATGAGTTATCATCTTAAAGATTGAATTAAATCAAATGTTTTACTCAAAAAAATCAAAGGAAACTTTCGAGTTTTAATAAAATTAATAATTTATTTATGAAAAATACATTTAAAAATTGAAAAAAATATCAATCAGTAATGATGAGCTCATCGATTCCCCAATCTTCATAGCTACCATCTGGCAAAAATCGTCGGATAATTAATGGTATTTTACGTTCCCTTAAAAAAATATTTTTGAAAATTAATATGGTAAAAAAATATAATTCATTTAATTTCTCACTTTAGTTCTTTCATGGCGATTTGTAACGGATCAGTTTCGCCTTCTAATTCCACCATAATTGGAGCGCACATAGCAATCTGTAAGGCTCTAGTCCCCAACACTCGAGCTCTTTCATATTTGGTCATATATGGTGTAGTTATCTTTTTGGCATTTTGCTTCTGTTGCATCTGATCGGATGGCAAAAATTCAACATTCTCTTCATCGACAGCTTCATCGCCAATATCATCAGCATCCACTGCATCTTCGAAATCCCCTCCAAGGCTAACAATTTGATAAAATAAACATCATCATTATTATTTATCATAAACGGAAGAAAATTATTACAACATACTCATCAACATCATATTCGTCATCAGACATTTTCAAAAAATATTAATATTTGTTTAAAATTGAAACCAAAAAATGAAAATTGTATACAAATTTCCAAAAACATGCCTAGAACGAGCTATTCATAAAAGACGATTCGAAATTCGACAGAAATCAATTTAAATACCCAAAAAAAATTCCAACATAAGTAAACAGTAACTGAAGCACAGGCTAACCTCACACAATCAATTTGGCTAAATTGTGGAATTTTTGTAAAAAATTGAGAATTTATTAATTTATTGTATTGCACAAAGCTTTAATCTGAGTTTAAAATTTTACAAGTTTTAAAATATCAAAGTATGTAACAGATATTTCACAAAAAATAATCATAATGATGCTTCATACTTCATATTTGTTTGAGTGATTTAAAAAAGTTATTTACTGTTTTAGAAAGATCTGGATCACGATAAATATCTTGATGACCATAACCATATTGGGCGGGATATGATACAAATTGTGTTTGTTCACTAACATTTTTCGGTTGCAACATTTTAGCTTGTTCGTATAGTTTTCTTCCGAGATCAAAGGAAACGATAACATCATCTTCTGCATGAAGTATTAATAATGGACAACGAATTGTAGATAATTGAGCTGTGCTATTGAAATTGAGTTCTGGATTATTGACTAGCGGTTCAACAAAACAATATTCAAAATATGGTAGAAAGGAAAATAATCTGATCAATGGATAATGATGGCTTGCTTCAACGATTGATGTAAAACCAGATTCAATAACCGCAGCAAATGGATAGATTTCATCAGGACATTCACTTAAGAATCTGGTAGCAACACCAGTTCCCAAAGAATGTCCCCAAATGATGATCCTATCAGATGTGACATTATTTCCAAGTATCCATTCATAGACGTTTCGAGTATCATTTGTCAGGCCAAATGTGCTAGGTATTGCATTAGTTGAATCAGCATATCCACGATAATCAAAAGCGATAACATGAGCATTAGATTTTTCACTTAATAAATTGTAGAGTAAACGACGATGATAAAAAGCTCGACTTGCCATATTACCATGTAGATAAAGAACAATAATTCCATCATCATTAAAATCATGTGCCTCTCGTTTACATTCGTCATAATCATCACGAGGAAATATATGCCAGGCACCAAGATTTATGTTGCCTTCATCATTTGTCGTTTCGATTCGAAATGGTTTAGCACAACGTAAACCAAATTGTTCTGTATTCGAAAGATCGTGGAAATAATGTACATTGATGATATTCATGAATACACCAAAACGTTGAAAAGTAATGGAATTACGAACAATGATTGGTATGACGATGAAAATAAATAATAATATTAGTATTATTAATGATATTATAATTGAAATTAAATTTCGACGAATCATTTTGATGAGTTTTTTTTCGAAGCTCTGATCTGCCTCTTCATTCAATTCACCAATGAATGATTTGGTTTTTTTAGGTGGCGACGAAACCGTTTTTGTTGTTATCTTGTCGTCAGAAGAAGCGATGCGCTTTCGAATTATTGAATTCATCATTTTGTGTGGATTAATACTTTTCTTTCTTTTCTGATACTGATAAAAATTACAATTGCGCTAGCATTAATCGCAAAAAATTGAATACATGAAAACAAATCGATGAATGTACGCAACATACAAAAACAAAATACAACCACGAGCTTATTTTTGTCTATAAAGTTACAAGGAAATATATTGACGTAAAAAAGTGAATGAATGATAAATTTAAAGTTTGTATCATGAAAATCAATGTCTGACAACGAATTATTATGGACACATAAAATATTTCATCAGTTTAAAACAGGGAAAAAATTGAAAGTTGATGACATCATCGATATCAATATCACTGATTTTACACATACAACAGATGGCGTTCAAAAGGAAAAATTGATATCTTTTACCTTCTTTGTAATTAATTTATTACATTCTAATCACGTTTTTCAAGACTTGAAAAGATTTTGCAATCTGCTATTAATATTTATAGCTCTTCGATCATCGTTGATTTTGATCATGAGACACAATCAATGATTAAGCCTTAAAGGTATGCATAGTGATTTCATCAACAGGGCGGCCAACAATTACGAACATTATCTTTATGACCATCATCAATCCATTCCAAATATTCTTTTAGTAAAACTAGAAATCAATAATACATTAATTAAGATAAGGTAATGGTGGCTTTCGAAACTTACATTTAGAGTTAGCAGTCCATTTGGCTATTAAGACACGCTTACAATCGATTTGATTATTTATCAAACATTTGATTACGTTATCCACTTTTGGTTGTACCATTGCCCATGATTTGATGAATAAAATTGCAGGTGAAGACAGGTACGGCAAATTTTCTTTTAATGAAGGGATTACCAAACCATTAAATAAAAAATATGCAAAATGGCAATATTTGTCCAGACCATCAGGATAATCCACTTCAATGGCTGGCAATTCCCAACTGTGTGGTCCAAATGTTGATTTGCGATGACATTTGATACAATCATCATCTGGATCATATCTTGGAGGTGGATCCTCCAATGGATTCGAAAAAGTACAATGTTTATGTGCATAGATCGCCAGCCATTCCATTTGAATGGGTAAAACATTTCTCATGTACATCTTACCAGAATCGGATGATTCAAATATCTCTTGATAGACGACAAAGTCGTTTGTCTGATTGAGCAAAACCGAATTAGGAGAAATAAATACATATTGTTCAACTTCGATTGATTGATAACAATTACGTATAGATTTTTGAACTTTACGAACATCTCCGTGTTCATCTTGTACAGTGACCATAGTGAACGGTATGCGTCTAGCAATGTGATCGCTAAAACCTGAAAGAAATAGCTTACTCAACATCTTGACCTGGATTTCATTCGGTACGGATAATTCTGGAGAAAGAGTCTGATTTTTCATTATCAATCGAAGTTGATTCAATAATTGTAAACGAAGTTTTTCTGCTTCACGTATGGCATTATGACGTAGACCATGCGAAAGAGAGAATTTCTCACTAAATCCATGATAATGAGAGGAACCAAACGCACTTAACAATGTCCAAATATCACCCAATATTTGACAGAATGGATGTGAAAAGAACCAGCTTTCACGTCGTTGTTTGATTTCTTTCGATACATCAGAAATGAAAAGTTCTTGTACAGTTAACAAAGAAATCAAAGTGACTACCAACGGAACAAGATCAGCTTGTGTTGACAATAATAATATTCGGCTGAAACGTGGTGAAACTGGAAAGTATGACATTAATCGTCCGAACCATGTTATATTTGATCTTTCAATCTTTTTATTTTTCTTTATGATTAATGTTTTTGTTTCGAGAGCATCCAATTGATTCAATAGTTTTTCAGCTGCGACTAAAGCTTCCAGATTAGGTTTAGTAGGAAATGGAAAATTTATTACATTTTCAAAACCGATAGCTTTCATCTGTAACAATAAATTATCGATTGGTTTCTGCAGAATTTCTGGTTCAGAATACTGTTTGAATTGATCATTGAATACAGCTGATGAATAAAGACGATAACAATATCCGGCCGAAGTTCGACCAGCTCGACCAGAACGTTGATCAGCAGATGCTTTTGATGTCCATTCTATGACAAATGTCGAAACACTAGTCATACGATCATAGACGACATTTTTAACTTTTCCTGTATCGATTACGTATCTAATATTAGGTAAAGTTAATGATGTTTCAGCTATATTCGTCGCAATGACACAAAGACGACATCCAACAGGTGGTGGCTGAAATACCATAGCTTGTTTCTTACTGGGCATCATTGAATACAATGGCAAACAATATAATGGTTCTGTTGTTGTTAAAAATCCTAGATCTTCGGTAATATCCTCGTCTTCTTCGTTATCATTGTTATTTTCATTCTCATCAGCATCATTTGAATCATTATCATATAAATCAAGACCATCAATAATTTTTTCGCTTGTTTCGACCGGATCTATGGAATAAACGTCTAGATTGATTCTCAATTTTGAATTCATATCATCAATAGATTTTTCAATTATTTGTTCATTGTTTTCGTCATTGGCTTTAGTCATATTGTTTTGCTTTTCTCGATCAATTCGATGAGTAATAGGAAATTTAGCTTTCAACATTCGGCAAAGAGATAAAACTTCTGTACGGCCAGTAACAAAAACAAGAATACCACCCGGTTGTGAGATGGAATGAATTTTACAAACTTTTTTGAATGCTTCCTGTATATAATTTGGATTTGTATATTTACTGAAATGAATTGTAACTGGATATTGACGAGAATCAATTTTTATGACAGGTGGAGGATTCTTAAACAAGTGTTTATTTTCAGTGAAATCTTCCACACGTAACGTGGCCGACATAATAATCAGCTTCAATGGATCACCCTTTTTATGTCGAACCTGAACGATACGAGAAAGAAAGCCAATCAAAATATCAGAATAAAGACTACGTTCGTGCGCTTCATCGATGATCAATGCAGAATATTTAGTCAAATATAAATCTCGTTCAATTTCTTTCATCAATATACCGTCAGTCATGAATTTTATTCGGGTTTTATCACTAACATTTCCTTCAAAACGAATTTGATAGGATACTTCTTGTTCGCTCATATTAAGCTCATAGGCAACACGTTTAGACATTGAAATGGCAGCTACTCGTCGTGGTTCAGTTACACCAATCAATTTACCGTTGGTCGCATAACCAGCTTCATAAAGAAATTGTGGAACTTGTGTAGTTTTACCAGAGCCAGTTTCGCCGCAAATTATGACTACTTGATTATGCATGATTGCATCCATAATGTTATGCTCTTCCGATAATATCGGCAATCGTTGACGAGCTTGTTGTATTTTTTCTGGTCGATCGACATGGACAAATATGCTTTTCTTTTTTTCCTTTACCGCATTACCATCTTCAATTTTAATTTGATTTTTATCAACGGTTTTTATGTCTTCCAATGGTTCTTCCTCAGGAGATTTGACAACCAAAGTGGATTTGTTTTCACTTTCAGGTTTCTCTTCTAGTCTTTGGTCAGAATCCGAATGAATTTTTTCATTTTCTTCATCATTTTTTTCATCATTATTTTGATCATTATTTTCATCTTCAGATGAACTTTCTAATTCATCCTCATCCTCATCTTCCTCATCATCAAAACTATCTTTGAATCCAATGACATTCGGATCTTTTCGGTTGAAATTTTTTTCATTACTTTTGAATTTAATTTTTCGGATTTTGAACCTTTTACGAGTCAAATGATTTTGATCTTCATCTTTTTGTTGATTTGACCCTTCGTCACCATTATTTTTGTTGATCGAACTATATAATTGAAGCAGATCATTAATTTTTCTTTTTCCAACCGTCTGAACAATACTGGTGGAAGGCATACTATCATATTCATGTTCATCAATTTGATATTGTTGTAAATCGCTTATCAAATTTGTCCGCTAATAAGAAAAATATCAGAGTTCAAATGACTTATTAACTTATTAAATTTACTTACATTAAATTTTCTATTTTTTCTTTCCAAAATTTTTTCCAATTTCTTTTTTTTCTTTTTCGACAATAACTGTTTCTTGATCTCTTCTTTTTTTATTCGAAAATTTTTTCTTTCTATCCCATCACCATCCAAAACATTATTTTTTTCTGTGTTAATGATCAATAAAAAAAAATTACTTGATTAAATGAGAACAAACACGGTACTTATGGTATTACTTTTACCAGATAATATTAATTGGTTATATTCATCATATTTGCTTTCATCCACATCGAATTCGATTTGAATTTTTTCTTGTTTCATCATTTTGGAAAACCAGATTATTTACTTATTTTTAAAAGGAATAACACAGAATGCACACATGAAAATAACGCGTGATTCAATAGCACGACTATTTTAACCTAATCAAAATGACTTAAGTATTCAATAATATTCTTGAATTTATTTTTCAACAAAATTTTTTCAAAAATGAGTGAAAATAATCAAATTTCCGAAGATGTTGATGAAAAAATTTATGCATTTGGTAAAAAATTCAAACACACATTAGACAGTGATGAAGAAGATGATGAAATTGGAGCAGAAAAATATAATGTTCTGGATGATGATGCTATCGAAGGAACTGAAAGACCAACAATCGAATTCGATGGCGAAATCAAAATTACTCCGTTCAATATGGATGAAGAACTCGAAACTGGTCATTTCGATAAAGAAGGCACATATATTTTTGATAAAGAAAATGACATTCGTGATAATTGGCTTGATAATATCAACTGGAATGTAGTAAAGCCAACAACCTCGAAAACAGTTAAAAAAGAAAAGAATACTGATAATGATTCATCTAGCGATGATGAAAAAGAAATAACTATCAGCCAAGAAAATATAAAAGAATTTTATAAACAGATCCTAGATTTAATTCAACCAGGAGAATCGGTTCGAAAAGCGATACAACGTTACGGAAAGCTTTGTAATGCTGAACGTAAAGGTCAGAAACGTAAAATCAATTCAAATGTAGCTGCCAACCAACAATCGACAATCATTAGTGAAGCCAAAGAGAAAATGATGAAATTAATTTCGATTGCCGATCAAATTCTTCAAACAGGTGATATGGACATTTATGAACGAACATATGAACAATTTAAGCTACAATTGAATAAAATCGATGATGCAGAGTCAAAACAATCATCCGATAATAATGATGACATGTTTAGCGATGATTTTAATGATAAAAAAGCATCCACTTCCAAAGTAATGACATCTTTTGATGAAACGAAAACCTGTTGGGAATACAAATGGGAAGATAAAGATGATGCCCAAACATATGGGCCATATACCACTGAAGAAATGTTGACTTGGACGAATCAAGGTTACTTTGATCAAGGTGTTTTCGTTCGACGTACCGATTCAACTGATGCTGGATTCTATAGTTCGAAAAGAATCGATTTTGAATTATATATCTGATTTTATTTGTTTTTTATTTATTATAACATTTTCATATGTTTGCATGAACAGATGTTGGAGAAAAATTAAGATCATTGGAGAAAAAAAATCAGTATTGAAAAAAATTATACAACAATGTAGTTCGCCTTTTTTCAACGATTGTCATTTGATTTTCTAACGCACCACGATCAGTTGTTTCGGCATTTTCTATTTTCCATGCTAGATTTTCAATCTCATTTTCGAGTGCTGCCTGTTGAAATTCGAATAGTTCTTTTTGTGGGCCACATTCCATATAGTATGCATATGGATATGTATATTGTAATGTATAACGACATTTAGATAGAATTTTAGCACCACGTAATAGATATTGCCAATCTATCCATGTACCATTGTTACGATTAAGTTCATCATCAATTTTGGCTTGTATTCGTTCACGATTTTCATCCTCTAATTTTAAGCTTTTCATGTGATTATCCCAGCGTTCATAATAAAATAGATATTTTTTTAATGCTTCTCTGGCTCTATCCGATTCATTTTTTATATCAAGATTTTCTTTGTATTTGCTACATTTAAAATATTGTGGTCCATGTATGTCCCATGAGCCTAATCGACATAAATGCAAAGATAACAAAAAAAACATTATTATTTAATTAATGGTAAAAAAATGAATACACAGACCTAGACAAATCCAGCAAAACTCATGTTTACAAGAATAGCAGCTCATATGATTACAACCACCATTTTTTTCAATACAAGAACTACAGTTTGGACAAAGTTTAGTATGTGCACGAATATAATGAGCCGTTTCAGAATCATCTGCACACTTTCGATACCAAAGTAAAATAGTTTTACAATCGGTTGGAGCATGATAATCATTACCACATTCGAAACAAAATGAATTATTACAATTTGTACAGGTAACACGTTTGGGTGACGGTTGTTCCTGGGCGATTACAACGGTTTGACATTCGGAATTTATACAAAGTCTCATGCGAATGTATGCATCGATCGATTCACGAAATGTAAGTAAATCATATTTCTCTCGTAAAAGAATAGAATTTTGAAAAATAAAATGAACAAAATCTTCTGGCAGAAATAGCTTGCAATCGGAATTCATGCAACGAATTCCGGTTGATTGGCCATTCTGGATATTCACACGACAATAATTAAACCAACAATCAAGACAAAATGAATGGCCACAAATCAATGATAGAAAGCGGTCTTTCAATTTTGAATCTAAACATACATCACAACATATCGCTACTAATGTTGTTTGTTGATTCGATTCTGCTGTGGGTGAATAAAAGCATTTGGATCTACATGCTTCGATCAAATCTTCCCAGCTTTTATGAAAAGGTTTCACACCTTTACATTCAAAATATTCATTATCACATGCGAAATATTTGTTTAGAACTTCGTTTGCATCCCATTTACATTGTATCAATAGCATTTTAGCCAATGAATAATTGAGCTATTGTTTGAAAAAAAAGCCAAACAAAAAATCAACATAGCCTTCACTTTAGCGATAATTTCTAAAAATAACATACCTTTATACGATTAGTTATACTATTAATTAGTTCGTTTAGAATATCTTTTGCTTCAGAAAAACTGATACAACGATAATCGAAATGCTCTACATCTTTAGTTTGAATATCTTCATTATCATCGATTTGTTCACCAAAATCTTCATAATTATCATAGTTCCAATCATCAGTATCATCATAATGATATTCATCATCGTTATCCTCGTTATGCATCATGTCTTTGAAATATTAACTTGTCGTGGTCAAAACATTGATTTCGTTAATTTGTGGTTGTCTTGATCCACAATCCTCGAATCTGTTAATCACATTCCGAACAGATGGCGTTCATTACCTTTTTGTTAATATTGCATTCAATCAACGATCACAACATATGGTTCTTCGCATCTAATTTCATTGTTTGGTGATCATTTGACAGTGATCATTTTTCTCAAGAATTTTGATGATCCTTTTATCTTAGTAATTTGAATAAAATCAGCCTAAAGTTATGGCATTTTCTTATCATTTATTGCTGTTATTTTTTGTATCAATTATATTTTACGGGTCAGTTGATGCAGGTTAGTGTCTAATTTATTTGAACAGATAATGATAATAACAATAATGATCCATCAAAATTATAGATGAAATATTTGTCAATGGTGATATTAAAACAATGGTCGATGTTGATTCTAATTATAATATTCATCTGGAATCGAGGAATTTTCCAATTTCATATCATTTTAAATTTATTTTTTCCATACCTGAACTCAATGTCCTTGATGAACAATTCACAGAATTTAAAGATATTGACTGGCAAAAGAATTTTACGAAAACAGGATCATACCAGTTCAATATTCAGGTATATCTCTATCCATTTAATAATTATATTTACGGATGGAAAATCGCGGAAACGGCCGTTACACTTGAAATCAAAGGTGAGCTCTAACTCTCATAAATGCTTATTGCGATTGATATTTGTAATTCAATTATCTAGATAATTTAAACGATTTAATTTCAATTCATGCTAAGCAAAACGTATCCAGCCTGACAACAGATTTTGTTTTCGAAATCAACAAAACTGTTAGTTTTTCGCCAAATATCGATCCACAAAGTATATTGGTTCGTTTTGCTGACCAAATCAAATATGAGTGGAGCGTTGAAGGACCCGATGTGAACAAAACAAAATTTATGCAGAAAACATTTGATTTTGTTTTCAATTCATCAAATGAATATTCGATTTCTCTGCAAACCTCAGTATCGTTTCAAAAGAATTTTGCCGGCACGACGTCCTTAGCGATTCAGATTAAAAATCCTATCACGAATGTTTCCATTTCGGGCAATAATTTTGTCGAAAATGGATCGCTATTACATTTGAACATCACCTGTGATGGAAGCCCAAAGTTTCTTCTCTGTCATGATTTTTCTTCCACAAAATCGAATGATTCGTGTTTCAATTCGGGTAAAGTTTCATCAAAATGTGATTATCAGATTATTCATTATTTCCCCCAAAATGGGACGAAATACGTTAACATTGGCATCAGTAATGATGTTAGTTTGGTTTATCGCAATGTAAAGATTACCATTTATAAGATTGGTCCAAAACCATCGTTCGCTTTTGTGATCATACCACTTATTAGTCTTTTATTAATTATTGTGATTGTTGTTGTCGGTATAACACATTTTATAAGACAGCGACGACGAATGAATGCTACAATAGAGGTGGCAACCATTGAAAATTTTGCCATCTATAATGATGTCGATTTGGGTAATGATGAACAACCATTGATAGGAGAGAAAACATTCTGTCGTCGAGTTAAAGATTCATTTATCGAAACATTATGCCCGAAGTGATATTCAGAAAATGAAAAAAAAAAATAAAAACAACAATCCCTTGATATATTTGTTTTCTTTATTTTATATTATAAATGATTCTCTTTTTCATCATCTTTATTTCCTCTATCAATGTGTACATATTATTTATCAATTTGAAATAGCAATATTAAAATAAAATATATTGCAACAAAAACTTGAACAATTCATTTCATTTATTATCATAAATTTTTTTAAACAAATATTCAAATGAATCAATGGATTCCGGATATTTTTTTGTTTTTTGTTTTGTTGTATATTTAATGTGTATGAAACAACAACAAAAATAATAATGTGACAGTCATCATTGATGATAATGATCATAATAATGTTAGTATTATTGCCATAGGGATTTGTTTTCTTATTGATTAGTTGTGATGTGTGTGTGGTTTGTGTTATTTTTTTACCTGACATTATTATCATCACCATCATCATGATTCTGTTTTGGTTGAGAGAGTGTGATAAACTTAGGAATTTTTAACTTTTATTTATACATTTAAAATATTTATAGATTATTTTTTATTCACTTATTTTTTTCAAATTAAATTTGTAGCATAGTTTTTTTTTCACATGGGCTTTGCTGTATATTTGAATGAATAAATAAATGAATGAATGTATATTTGGTGAATGTGTTAGTGTGTGTGTATATATATAATCAATGAATGAAATGATTTGATTCAAAACTATCATCTTATTTCTTTTTTTTTTTTTTTTTGAAAAAAAATTCACTGCAAAAAATTGAATTCATAATGAACAAAACAGTTGAATAAGTTGGAAACAAAACAAAGTTGATAAATTATTAAATCAAAACTACAAGATTATTTAGAGAGAGAGAGAAAAAAAACAAATCCAAAAAACAAAAAGTTAATTAAATTAATCAATTATTGCATTAATGTGAAAAAACTATAGTTGCAAAAACAATCTAGATAAATGTGTGTGTTCGAGTGAAAGAGATGAAATGAAAAGAATAACCAAGAATAAATAAGATTAAAATAACAGAAAAAAAAGCCTAGATATTATAAAATATTTCTTGTCTAACTTAAAAGAAAATGATTGAATGTGAAAAGTGAACAATACATATTAGGAGATTGAAGTTTTTTTTTTAAATGTTGATTTGCATCAATCATATTATGTATCATCATTTGTAAATGGGCACTTGATTATTGTAACTGATGAAATATAAATGAATAAATAACATCCATTTTTTATGTTATATCCCTTTTAACACAAGAATTCATCTTTCGTCTTTTTTTTTCATAAATTTCTGCAAATGATTTGCCGATTTTAATGTTGTGGTAGTGTGTTGTGTTGTATAGTTTTTGATGTTTCAATCTTGATAACAGTTAATGACTTATTATTTATTATATATAAGAATATGAATTGAACAAACAAAAAGTATATATTTTTTTTATCACAAACTGTTTTTTTGTTTTGTTTACAGAATTATTCACATTAAATTGACATACGAACAAATAAAACACAAAAAAAAGACAAAAATACAATCAAAAGAATAAAATTCTAATCATCATGTTTGATCAATTAATTCAAATTAATCAAATTGATTTATAAATGAATTTTGGTTTGAATAATAAAATTATTAATGATGGAAATTGGCTAGATCATAAATAATGCTGATTTTTTTTCAGATTTTCAAAATTGATTGTAATTAACAACAATAACAACAAAAAAATTCACTCAGATTATACTGTATATGGGTAGTTTTTTTTTCAAAATCTAAGACACATTTTATTGGAGAAAAAAAAGAATGAAAAGAATGGGACTGAAATAAATAAAAGGGTCATTTCATCATTATCGGGTTGTTGAGAAATCAATCAAAGTTGACTAGCAAAAAAAAAACAAAACAAATAAAAAGAAAAGAAAATCAAACAATCCGACAAAAAGAAAAGTAGATAAAGAGAACAGGTAAAACAATGATTTAAATAAAAGGACAATTGAAAATGAAAAATACTTGAATTAAAAATTGAAAAGATTAATCAGGTAAAATATATTGTTTTTTGAATAATAATAATAATAATAATGATAATTAGGAAGAAACAATGACAAACTAATTAAACTAAAACAAAAAAATTAGGCAAATTGAAATTCGGGACCCTAATAAGTTTTGGGCAAAAATTAACAACAAAAAAAAACGAATTTTTGAGGCCAGCTCAATTTTTTTTTCTCTGGTAGGACACAAATGGGAAAAGTTAATTTACATCGACATAATTAAATGTCATTATGAGCATCGTGATCTGTGTGTGTGTGTGTGTAAGAATGAAATACATGACCAACAATTAACAAGAAAATTTTCTCAAGTTACATCAATAATAATAAAGATAATAATAATTTTTTTTTTGTATGGATGTGTTTTAATGGCTGCAGGCTTTTATGGTTTATAACAGTGTGTCTTTTATCATTTACATTTATATTCAAATGAATGATTGACGATGATTGTATTCATTAAGTTATACGGCAGATTTATGTTTGAAAATCAAAATTAAAAAAAAAATAATAATGAAAAATTACATTAATTTTTTTTCATTCATTCATTTTTTTTTACCGATAAAGTTGTGTTTCAATATTGAAAAATTCAATACAAAAGAAAAAAAAACAAAACAAATAGCATGAAAAAAATAGGAAACGCACACTGAAATCATTCGAATATCAATAATAATAATGATGATGAAGATGAAGATGATGATGATGAAAGTTGTTGGTAGATTCTGATGAGAAAATTTCCATGCTGTTTTATATATAGGCAACTTGAATTTGAATTGGAAACAAATTATAGGGTTGGATTAGTTATTTTATTTAATTTTTTCGTTTTGACTTCGATTATCCATTTGGTTTGTTGTTGTTTTTTTTGCATCTCGGTTTGATTAAAAAAAAATCAACGATGTTTATCATTGACAATCGGATAAAGCTGTTGTTGTTAATTTATTTTATTTTATTTTTGGTGTATTGATGTTGATTGATTGTAGTAATAATGGTTTTATGGTAAGAATTTTTATTTTCTTTGTCTCAAATCGTGTGATCTGGAAGCACAGTCTTGAGATTTTGTCCTGTTTTGTTTTTCGTAATTCAACACATTATACACATGATGACAAATATACAAACAGAAGAGAGAAAGATGAAACACCGGAATAGAATAGAGAATAGAGAAAAAAAAGAGAAGAAACAAATCAAACACTATAGCTTGTTATTATTAATAAGCACATTTTTCCTTATTTTTTCGTTATACAGTTAAATATTTCATAATAATAATAATTTAGGTTTCATTATTCATTCATCAAAACAAAGGAAGGAAAACTAAAACAAAGCTAATAAAATTTAAAAAAAATTCTATTCAAAAGCAAAGAAACAATGATGAAACAAAAAACGAAACGGAAATACAAAAAAAAACAGTCACAGTAAAGACAATTACCCTTCACCATTTTTGTTATTATGATCAGCATCATCGAAATCGGGTTTCACTTTTCTTTTTTCATAGACAAGTATTATAATACAAAGTATGAGCACTTCGGCAACTATGCCGAGAAACGGCCATAATGCGGCATATTTATCTATTATGAAACAAGAATGAATCATTTCGAATTTCATTCATTTTATCAAACCATAATTACCTTTGACTCGAAGTAATATGGTGTTATTATAATCGGTTATTTCATTTGTCGCTTTACAAACATAAAAATATCGATCTTGCGGCACTACTGATTCAATTGTGAGCACACTTTCTTGTGCTGTTTCATTATTTTGGATGGAAATTCTAGTATCCGATACGTTGATTTCACGTTCATTATCCGGTCCTTCAAATTCACCATACATGAGCCATTGTATTTTTGCATCTTTGCCGTAACCTTCAATTAGGGCACATCGAAGTGAAAGACGATCGCCTTCCACCAAATTGGCAGATTTAAAATTATCAGCATCTAATTCTTCAAATTGATGTAACAAAGGCTTGGCTATTTAAATTGAATGAATTGAAATACAAATTAGTTTTTGCTATTTCCAAAGTATTTCGCTTACTTCTAACTTTTGTTATAGCCTCTGAATTATGGATTTTACACTTATAATCACCAATATCATTTAGTTTGGCTTTATCGATGACTAGATCCCATTGTCTATCAGAAATTTTTTCTATATATATTCGACTTTCATCACTATCGTTTTCATTACTATCATTGTCATGTTCATCATCATCGTCATCATCATCATCATTGTTTCTATAGTTTACATTTAGTTTTACGTTATCCTTATACCTAGACAGAAAAAAAATTCAACAAATCAATCCTATTTAATTAAAAAAAAACATACCATGTAGGTTCATCTTGTCGTATGGGAATCGAATCGGAAAGCCGACAAGGAATCCTTAATTCTCGTCTTTCTATAAGAATTTCTTTGTCATCCATATCGATGGAATTATCTATAAAAAGATCATAATTGATTTAATTGATATAAATAAATGATGATTATGAATAGGTTAATTCGATACAGGATAATTTATGGATTAATATGCATACCGACAAAATAGAATAAATTTAAAAAAAGGATGACTAAAACAAACAGATTATTGTGATTGGCCATTAGGGCGATTTTTTTTAAATAAAATTTTTTATGTATTTTCAACGGTTGGTTGTAATAATTATTAATTCCGTTTCGTAAAAATAGAATTCAAAGAAGAAAGGATTTTTTTTGTTTTGTTTTTTGATTTATTCGAAGACTTGAGATTATGATTTAACTTTTAAATACTATCACTATTATTAATAACAGAAAAAAAAGATTAAGAAGTAAAAAGAGTTCGAGAGCGATGTAATGGCTGGGCACTTGGTGGTTTTTTTTTGAAAAATAATAATAATTTAATCGGAAATCAATGAGAAAAACCCGGAAAAACAAAAACGCATGACAAGATAAAGATGTGATGAAATGACATGATTATCATCATAATTATTATTATCGAGAATGATAAATTATAATAACGGTATGAATAATAGAAATGAAGCTTATTTTAAATAAATACACACACACACACAAAAACAAACACAAAGATGAATACAATCGTTGGTGTTTTGGAATTCAGTATGATTTTACGATGAAAATTTAAAAAAAAATTATCATCCCTTTATAATTGCATTGAAAATATTCTCTCTCTCTCTTTCTTTCAGTGTGACGTCAGTAATAAGTCCATAAAAATGAATTTATCTTATCAGTAATAAGTTTATGTACACACAAACACACACACACAAAGTAAGCGATTTGTTGCTTAGAATCAAAATTGGAACAAAATAAAAAAAATGTAATAAATAAATGATTGACAAATCAAATTTTATTTGTTTTTTTTTCTTTTCTTTTTTTTTTGTTCAAGCGTTGAAAAACAATTCTTTTAGGTATGAAAACAATGCAAGTATGAATCCAATGACTTTTGTTATTTATTCATTATAATTCGACATTGATTTCACACCGTAAACGTGGTCACATCACATCACACAAATATAACATACAAATGGAATTTTTTTTTCCTTGTTGCCTTCCTTGATGAAGATCTCTATTATCAACAAAACGCAACCAAAAGGTTATGTGTGAACAATAGTATATACACAACCTTTTTAATAGTCGTCATAGCTCAATAAGTATTTCTAAAATGAAAAATAATAATAATAAAGTGACGAGTACTGACTGACTGATGATATTTGCAACATTTAATTATCGTTTTTTTAAATGTTTTTATTACTGGTAGATGAACAACAACAACAACAACAAGGCTATGAAAATTATAATGGAATTAAACGAAGACAATTTTTAATGATTAAAAAAAATCATAATGTTGTTTTGTATGGGTGTGTGATGGTTGAAGTTAAATTCAAGAAGATTTCATTGTTTTTATCAGATAAATATGTGCATGTATCATTTCAATCAATATCATGATAAATAGATGAACACACACACACACAAGGAATATATTTGTTGGGATAAAAAAGAAAAAAATCTTTAGCTGAAAATTCTGTTGTTGTCGTAGTTGGTGAAGAAAAAAACAAACCAAGACACACCATACAAACAGAATTGTAGAAACAAAAAATTCTTGGACAACCCCGAAACTTTCTATCCCAAAAACTTTATTCTATAATTCGTTTTTGTTTGGTCGTTTGATCGAATGTCGTCGGTGATATCATATACACACACACACAGAATTCTTCTTTTGTCGGTTATTTTTTTTTCTACCCTCCGTTGTTTCACTTGTAAGGATTCTAGATTGGCGCAGATACCAAATAGGAAAAATAAAAACCCCAAAAAAAGAATATTACAAACAATAAGCACATTATTAAAAAAAAATACTCAATATTCTTTCTTTTTTTAAACGGTATCTATGTTTGCATTTATCCTCTATCGGTCAAATATAGTGAAAGAGAGAGAAAGTGAAACGAAGAGGATACAATGATAATTTTCAAAGTAGTAGCAATAGAATTAGTTATGGTTGTAGTAGTATAATATCATTGATAAAGAATGTGGATAAAATGTCAATATTATTGGTAAGATACAAACACTATTTAATACTACTACTACAAAGATTAATATAGAAATATTTTACGAATCCTCATTCCATTTTATAACGGTATTATATTCTTTCAAATATAAGATAATGTTTGTAGGAATTTTTTTAAATATATTTGTGTTAAAGAATTGTTTTATGACGGTGAATTATAAAAATGTACGCGCATGCATATTATAACAGTATCTAATCAAGAATTGAATTTATTGTTATTTAAATTCCTTAAGTATTACACCCATTCACATTTTTGTTTTGAACATCAGATTATTTATCAAAGACGAAATTCTTTTTTTCCGACATCACATATGTGAATTTGTTTTTCTTAATGGTCAATAAAAAAGAAATTGTGATTCATTTATTTATCACCTGTTTGTTAAAATAAATAATTTAGATAAAAAAACAACAACAACACTTACCATCAACAATTAATTGAAAAGATTTCTGATCACTTGTCCAAATATTATCCACTTGACATTTGAAGATGCCGGAATTCTGACGTTTTAATCGATCAATGATTATCATATCGTTTGGTTGTTCACTTTGATCAAAACGAATTCCATTCTCTGATGATAATGATGATGATGATGATAAAGTGTTATTGTCTATTTGATATATGATTAGAAACAAAATTAATGAAACCAAGTATGAATTTTTGAACATACTTATCATCCATTTTATTGTTCCTTTTGGATGACCACTGTAATTACAAATCATTGAAAGACTATCGTTTTCCTTTCGACGAATTACATTCATTGAAAATGGTTTCACATTTATTGCAGCTAAAACAATAAAAATTATTCATTTATTATCTAATGAAAACAGATATGATTAGAAAAATACCTCGTAGTTCGATTGTTTGTCCTGAATTTTTGATAAGTTCAATATCAATGCTGTTGATTGTAAGTTGGCAATAATATTGTCCTGCATCAGTTTCACTGGTTGCATTATAAATGATCAAACGGTTATCATGTTGAATACGACGACCATCTTCTCGTTTGATTGGAAGGCCATTTTTGCTCCTATAAATATGATGAGATATATGTCACCATAGAATTTAGGTTTCAACCGTATGATTACAACTACCAATTGACAGGAGAATATCGTTGATTATAGTGATCAGATTGACATTCCAATTCGACATTATCAAATTCTTTTTGCATAATTTTGACTAATCTCGATGGCGATATATTAGAATGATTAAAAGGAAATTTGGGAAGAACATGAACATAATGTACTCTAATCGAATGTTGATTACATCTATAGAATCCTTCATCATTTAAGCTAACATTTTCGATTATTAAAATTTCTCGTCGATCGATCGATGATTGTCGGCCATTTTCAAATCTTAATTCTATTCTTGAATCTTCGATTTCATCCAATCGTTGATTGTTAAACGACCATTGTGGCCAAAGATATCGTGATAATATGCATGAAATTTGAAGAATTTTACCTTCCTCTAAATATTTAGGTCCTTCATAGATGACATCCGTTTCTAATAAATTGACGAATGGAATTCCTGTTTTATGTGTAAAAAAAAGTTTCAGTTCAAATTTCATCAATGATTCAATTGAATTACCAAATTGGCAAATAATAATAAAATAAAATATATATGACAGCATTATGATATCTTTTTTAAGGTTAAACTGATCTTGATTGACAACCATATAAATATTTTTCACAACCTTACATAAAACAAATTGACACTGGAAAAAAAAATATGAAACAAAAACAAAATTCAACACACAAATTTTCGAATAAAAATATTCAACCGATATTATTGAAACCGAAAAAACGAATATAATGAAAATTTTAAATCCAAATCGATCATATAAATTCGAGTCTACAAATAAACAACCAAACGTCAAGCAATGAATAAATCTTCATCAAACTTTGTTTCCTTGTCAGGCTTTAAATCATTTCGATTTTTGTAACGATTAATGTTATTTTCTATTTTAAAAATAGAAAACGAAATCTAAACAAAACAAGGAAAAAAAAACAAATAAATTACAACAGTATTCATCACCCCCGCTGGATCATCATCATCATTAAATGTTTTAAATGTCGAAAAAAAAACTATTAACAATGCGCCAAATTTTTTTTTTTTTGTATCAATTCTGTATGTTATATTTTCAAGTGTTGAAAATATCAATATTCAATATTATTTTTTCCATATGGTTTTTCTTTGGTTGTTGCTGTTGCTTTTAACGATTTATTCGAATCAAATTTTTTTTTACGAATCGATATAATTTACAAATAAAAATGATAATGTCTATCATCATCGATCAAATGGACAATTTTTTTTTTGCAGATAAACAGACAACAAAAGCAGATCATCGTCCCTAAGGATCTGACCAAATACAATCATTTTTTTTCTCTCTATTTGTTTGTACAAATTGCGTGTTTGTGTGTAAATGGCAAATAGTGGAGAAAAAAAAATTAGATACAATCATCATCAGTATCATGCTAAAAAGAAAAATGTAATGTTCCGGATGGCCAAATGTTGTCGAAAACATAGTTATTGTCCAAAAAAAATAATATTCTCTGAATTATGATAACGACAAAAACAAGAATCGAATTGAATAGAAATAATTGGCCGGTAATACTGCTATATCAGTGACAATAGAGAATTGACATTGAAACAAACGCTAACGAATAAAGGGAATAAACGATGCATGAATGAATGAATGAAAGAATGATTCTACATGGACAAGTAAAACGTTTTTTTTTCTTCTATATGTCAATGAATTTTACAATAAAACCTGATACACAAACAGAATGCAGAAGATTCGTCTTGTCTTTTATTTTTTATATCTGAAAAAAATGAGCTCATGAACATGATGCATGTGGAGATCATTTGACGGACTCACAGGACATTCAAATCGATACAATACACAAAATAATAAACGTTTCTTTACGTATGTGATATAGAGAATTTTGACAACAAAAAATCTAGTAACTAGAATTCTAGCACCAAACAAAAGACGAAGAAGAATCGGCAACAGGAATAGTATTGAGTTCAATAGAATAAATTCAATATCGCTTCCAAAATGGATCAAGTTGGCGCATCTGTTTATAATATACAGAGCATAAAATTCGGTAAAATGGATAGCAACACATATCATAAAGGTTGCCGCTACGGAAGCAGCGGTATTGTTGAGATCTCATAACCAATCATTGAAGTCAAAGTTAGTGAGAGACTAACAACAAAAATTAATTCATATATACTTTTTTTTTGAGAATGTTTACCGAACAGTGATCATCAACCGTTTCAATTAGAATCTGATATAAAAAAAAATCAGAAGACGTCAATTCGATATAGTTATATGATTGATATTCGTTGGTTGTCACTGTTTGAATGTATACAACAAACGATTGAAAAAAAAAATAACAACAACAACAGTCCAAAGACACCGAAAAAAATTGTATGTATTTTTTTAATATATGTTATATACAGACAATCGTATAGAACCAATGTATGTATGTATGTGTATGCGTATTTAGTAATATTGTAGAATATTCTATGCCAGATACAGAAAGACAGTCAGTTAGAATGTTTGTGAGTTTGCAAAAAAAACGAGAGCTCAAAATACCGAATACGAATCATTGTGACCAAATGAGTGTAGAATTGAGTGAGAAACTAAAGTGAGAGTGAAGAAAAGAGAGAAAGAGAGAGAGAGGGAAAAAGAAGAAGAGTGATTTCGAAAGAAAAGGATTCTTGACTGATGATTAGTTGATTGAATGAATGTTCTGTCTGGTGATTCTGTCTTAAGGACCATTGATTTTATCGTATTTTTTTCCCTAACCATAATTCATATTAATGAATTTTAAGTTATTTGTTTTTTTATTCATATAAAATTTCTCTCTTGTGTGCTACCACGATTAATTTGTTTGTATACATTCATGCTGTTATGTAAAATGATTGATAAAAAAATTCATCAGCAATGACAATTGGTGTTCATCAACACAATGTTTGTATAGATATCAAAACCGGCACCAATGAGTGATTAATTCTTTTTTTTATGATTGTGTGATAGTTTTGTTAAAATCAATTGATTAAAAATATAATATTCAAAAATTTAATTAATCATCATGATTCAAATTTATTGCAATGGAAAAAATTTTTCCATTTAATTACAGCATTATTTTAGTGATTATTCTACCGTATTCATCATTACAATTTTTATGTTCCATTTTGTTTGAGTGTAGCTCAAAAAATTATTATTCAAATAAACATTTATCTTACAAATCAAAATTCAGAATAATACCCATGACACAACGGAATTGTTTGTGTGTACATGTGGATCTTTTTTTATGATCTGATTGTATAATGATGGCAACAAGAGAGACAACAACTGGTGCCAACAGCAACAATGGTCGTTTAAATGATAGTCAACAACAACAACAACAACAACAGCAACAACACATCAACAGTACAAATTCAAAATTACCCATCCATCTTTCATCACCATTACAGCCGGTATCAACTACATCATCAACGACAACGGCAAAGACGTCGATGTCGACTTCACTCAATACTACGTCAAGCATTTCAATCAAGACGAATACGAACACATCTAATTTAAAACAATCGTCATCATCATCATTAATATCGAAAGATAATACAGGATCAACTAAAATAACAACAATGGCTGCGACGGTTACGACAGCACCAACTTCAACTACATCAGAATTCAATAAAATATCTTCCGCTATGACCACAACAGCAGCTACAACCGCAACGACAACAGCAACTATTAACACCAATGATGAAACAACGATTGAATCGTTAAGAAAAGAATTAGAACGATTAAAATTACGATTAGAAGAAGAACGAAATAAATTGAATGATGTATCATGTATGTTGAATTACCTGAGTAAATTTACATTGTTAATTTATAATGAACTTTATATATTTTTTGTTAATTATAGTTTCTTCCGCTGCCAATCGTTTAGATCAAATATCTGTAATGAATATTAAACCACGTAGACATCTTAAAGGCCACATAGGAAAAGTATTATCTTGTAATTGGTCTAATGATAATCGCCATCTGGTCAGTAGTTCACAAGACGGTCGTGTTATTGTTTGGGATGCATTCACGGGCACAAAGGTAGGATTCTTTTGTTATAATTGTTTTTTTTCGAAAGAATAATACAATATATTTTATGACCAGGAACATACGATTACGACACCAACTACCTGGGTCATGTCAACAGCATATGCTCCTTCCGGAAATTTCATCGCTTGTGGGTATGTTTATTATTATTTATGATTTTGAACAATTTTAAATGTTTTTTTTCTTTAACTCATAGTGGTCTCGATAATAAAGTTACGGTTTACCCTTTGACCTACAGTGATGATGATATTTCTTCAAAAAAGAGATCTGTAGGTACACATACATCATACATGTCCTGCTGTTTATTTCCTGGTTCCGATCAGCAAGTAAGTATCATAGACTTATTAAAATTGAATTGAATTTAATATAATTTTTCTCAATCAATTTCAGATATTAACGGGTAGCGGTGATAGTACGTGCTCGTTATGGGATGTAGAATGTGCCACATTGATACAAAGTTTCCATGGCCACTCTGGAGATGTTATGTCGATAGATTTATCTCCTTCTGAAATGAGCAATACTTTCGTCTCTGCAGTATGTTGCACTATTTATTATCGAATTAATCAATTAATTGTTAATAATCTTTTATTTTTCTTCGCGGATCACAGGGCTGTGATAGACAAGCTCTTATATGGGACCTACGTAGTGGCCAATGTGTTCAATCATTCGAAGGGCATGATGCAGATATTAATTGTGTGAAATATTTTCCAAGTGGTGATGCTATCATAACCGGATCTGATGATGCGACGGTAAATTACTCTTTGCTCTTTCCTACTTAATTCATTTTTTTAAATTAATTTATCATTATAACTAATGACAATTTATTCATATATAGTGTCGTCTGTTTGATCTGCGAGCAGATCGTGAAGTTGCCATTTATTCAAAAAAAAGCATTATTTTCGGTGTCAATTCGGTCGATTTTTCCATTAGTGGTATGTGTGTTTTCAATCATTTTCATCAGCATTTAATGATAATGAGAATGAAACGATGATAGAAAGATGTATAGCATATATGATGATGACATCAATCATCATTATTGTTTATCATCATCAATATTAAATTATTATTAATGAATGATGATTTTTGATAACATTTTCAGGTCGTTTACTATTTGCTGGTTATAATGATTATACAATCAACGTTTGGGACACTTTAAAATGTCATCGCCTATGTGTTCTATATGGCCATGAGAATAGGGTAACTTGTGTTCGCGTTTCGACGGATGGAACTGCGTTGGCCAGCTCTAGTTGGGATTTTAGTCTTAAAGTAAGTGAGCTTAATTCAAAAAAAATTTGTTTATTAATTATTTCATTTTTAATAGATTTGGACCTAATAATTGATTCACAATAATAATGATTTGATCTCCACTGTTGTTTTATATTTATAAATATGTTATAAATAATTGAAGATGATGTATATGATGTTGATAGTGATGATGATGGTGAAACATTGAGGTAAATCAGCCTGAATAACCCGATCATCACTACTATCAAACAATTGTGATGTGAATTCCAGAATAAAAATATCAAATTGTCTCTCCATTATCATCAGCATCATAAATTTATCATCATTTTGCCTGCATTGAATCAACTAATTGATTTGAAAAAAATGAAAATTTTCAATTTTTTTTGACGTAAATGTTTATCATCTTGCATCATAAAAAAATCAAGATGAACATTTTCTGCATGTATTTGAATATCGGCAAATTGAAAACATTCTGATACATATTTGCTATTTCTGTCTGAAAAAGCACTTGTTTCGAAGTAAACATTTCTAAATTATCAGCCCAGTCATTTATTCTTGACTGATCACAGACAGAAACAATCAGCAGGGCAACAAATTAATCATTTGAATATTAAAACTGAAATGAATAACTTTATTATACACAGTCAAAATAATTACACAAATGATATTAAATACAGAAATGAGAAAAACAATGGCAGCTAGAATCAAAGAATATCATGGCAAATATTTACAAAACATTGTTGTTATTTACAGGTTAATTGAGAAAAAAACAAAAAATTTTTGAATGCCAAAAAAAAGTCGATAATTATAATTATGTGACAAAAGGTATACACATTCCTTGTTTATTCACAAATTTGGATCAAAATTAAACTGTGGTTTCACTTCGCCTTAATGGCTGAAGTTCTCTTTGTAACCAATCCAATTCATTATAATATTGATGATCATCGGAAGATTCTTCAGGTTCTTCACTTGAGCTGAATTTTCTTGTATTATTTGGATTTAACGGTATGAAACCGGCATTATTTGGATGAATGCCAAACGAACCTTGTAATGAATGGAACGCTGAATTTGATGTGACTGATGAGGAAGTCGATGATAATGGTTTACGACGTGATATCATTCCATGTAATGGAAATGTTTGAGCAGATGTAATCGAAGGCGCCGTTGGTGATAATTGATTAACGTATTCATGATCAACACGATTGTTCATCAATAGATATTCTGGATTTTCGATACAAGTTTGTGGCATTAATGGTTGGCAGTTGGGATTGAAATTGATCGGATAACCTCTTAGTTCACCTCCATTGGCTCGCCCATTTATCATTTCCATGTAAGTTACTTGGTTCACAACTGGACCGGCAGGTGATGGCATTAAATAATCATCTTCATCAACAGGTAAATTAAATTTGAATTGTTCTAAAGTTGCTTGACCATTCATCATATTTCGACGAATCAATTCATTTAATTCTCCTAAAATAAAAAAATATAAACATGAATAAATCACTTTCAAAAACTATGTAAAATTTTTAACCTTTATCCATAAGTTTGATCGTATCAAGTGTTGAGTTATGGCTTGTATCACGAAAATGATGGCTATTCGAGCCATTTACTAATGACATTCGATTCGTTCCATATGAATCGGTCAAACTGTGCATAAACATATTATTATATTGACCTTCTGGACCCAAGTGTCGATGTTGAGCAGCGTTAAATCGAGAATCGATATCATCGTTGTGGCTAAAAATTAAACCACCATTTATGGGATCACCTTCAAATCCACGATCATCCATGAACTTTTTGATTGGTGTCGGAGGCGGCTGTTGTTTGCAGCCACTGAATGCATGTAATGATTTACTTGGTTGAAGATATTCTTCAGCATCCATGATGGTTTCTGGCCCTTCGATAGGCATCGACAATGATCTTATCAATTCTTTTTCATCTTGTTGCGTATACGACGGTAGACGCATCAATTTATCACCTTTGATAACTAAATAACGACCAGGATCACGAGCCATTTTGGCAAATTCTTCAGCCAGCTCTTTAAATGATGGTCGTGATTCAGGGTCGATCATCCAACATTTAACCATTAGCATGTAAACATCAATCGTACAAATTGTTGGCTGTGGTAATCGTTCACCTTTTTCCAATAAATCCGGAACATCACGCGCAGAGACATTTTCATAGGGTTTTCCACCATATGTTAAAAGTTCCCAGACTAGAAAAATTAAAATTCGATGAAATATTGCAAATCATAATTATTGATGTAATCAAAACATACCTGTTACACCGAAACTCCACACATCGCTTTTGTGCGTGAAGATTCTATGCTGAATACATTCTAAAGCAAGCCATTTGATTGGCATTTTGCCTCCAGCTGCTTTATATTCATCTTCATCTATTTCCAACAATTTAGCTAAGCCAAAATCAGTAATTTTAACCCATCCGGGTGTCTGCAATAGAACATTTCGTAAAGCCAAATCTCGATGAACCATTCTTTTCTCTTCTAAATAAGCCATCCCTCGAGCAATTTGAGTGCACCAATTCAGTAATGGTTTCGAACCAATCTTATCTTTGTTATTACGAACATAATCCAACAGGCAGCCTAAGGGCATCAGTTGAGTCACGAGCATCAATTGCGATGTCATGCACACAGCCAACAATTTAAGTAAATTAGGATGATCAACACTGGCCATAATATAGGCTTCTTCAAGAAATTCTTTATTCGTATTCGATTGAGTTCCTTCACGTAAAACTTTTATAGCGACTGGTATTTTGAAGTTCTCGCCTTCAGGAACCCAAACGCCTTTGTATACAGTACCGAATGCTCCAAAGCCAAGAATTCCACCTTTACGTAGTTCAGCTTCTTTGACAATTCTTAACTGCGCTAGATTAGGCTTGACGTTTGATGGTTTTAAAGGTTCATTATCATCATAGCCAGTCATACGCATAGTTAATTTCATTGTATTCTCTTTAGTTCGGGCTCGTTGAAGCCATTGATAGCTAAATATGGCTAAAAATACACCAAACAGAACGATACAAACAGCACCACCGCCGATAATTACAGGCCATGGATCTTCTTCAGGATTACTGCCATACATAATATTCGGATCTTTATCCGAACAGAATGGATCTTCATTTTTATCCTCAAATACCTTGTATGGTTTCTCGGAAGGACAAGTGGCCGTACAATTAAATGTCTTTTTGTCATCATCCAGATAAACACGATAATTTCTACAAGCAATACAATGACTAGAAGTTGGGCCACGACAACGACGACATTCATCTGCACATTTTACACATTTATGATGTTCTTCATCGGCATAATGATCACGTGGACATTGATCTTCACATTGTTCACCTGAACTATATCGTAAACATTCGCATACGGATACGTGTATACCAAACGCTGTGCAATTTTTACATCGTTGATGACATTTTCTACAAACCGATTTTCCAGTTAATGATTTGAGCGCGCCTTCTTCTTGAGGGCCAATATACTCATGATAGAATCCTTCCGGACAAGGTTCATCGGCTTTTAGACATTCTTCAACGACATTCGGATCATACATGCTAACAATTGCCTTCTCACAGCTATTACATCCACTTTCACCAAGTCTATTCAATGGCCCTGTACAACCGGATACACAATTTTCGTGACATGATTTACACTGGCCATCTTGAGGATATTTTGATACTGGACATTCTCGTACACAGAACGGTCCATCTCGAATGTGTTTACATTTCTGACAGTTACGTGGTCCAGGCCCTGAACAAGCACCATCACATTCTTCATGACAATGTTTACAAATTTTATCGCCAGCATCATATATTCTAGCAATTAGAAAAAAAAACCGAGAGTAAGCATTTATGTCATTCAAAATTGTATTTGCGTGTAAGGATTGTATACATACCCAAGTGATGAGTTACAATTCGAAACACAGGTTTCACCCAACCTGTATGATTTGCAGGATACACATTCATCTGGTCCAGCACCCCAACAACCATCTGAAGCACATTCAGAATGACAAACTAGACCTTCAGCCTCTGTGAATAGTTAAAAAGAAAAAATCAAATAAAAAAGAAATCATTATTTGAGTAAAAATTTTTCCCTCTTTGTTTCGATCTGATCACGATCAATGAGAACAAATAGATTGTTGATGTGGATATGGGGAGAAAAAATGATCACCACACATGACCTATGTTCACACACAAGCACAGACAACAATATTGACTACTGACTATGAAAATTTAGACTGTGGTGACCTATAAGGCCATGGGAAACTAGATAGGATCGAAGACTAACCAACAACAATCAGGGTCATTGGAAAATACATTCGATTAGAACAATGTATGAAAAAAAATACTTACGGCATTCGCTTTCATTTCGATTACTCTGCATCAATATATGATGAGCTGATGAATTGGCTACCTTTCTCCAATCAATCTGGCTAGCAAAACATAAATCTTGATTTTCTAATATAGCTACCGAACCAAATTCAACTCGTTTCAATGACCGTAAACCAAGCGATGTTAACGATGTTTTGACAATGTAAATGGCAGCAAAATATTCTGTTAATGTTCGACCCCCAACTGTTTCCAGATTACGAAAATAGGAAAGATTCTTGAAATCTGGATGTGATGCCTGAATGTTTAAATAGCCAGTAATCTCTCGTAAAGTGCTGAAAACTTCTAATCGACTTGGATGAAATGGCTGATAATGTGGACCGAAGCTAAAATTTTGATACACTTCCTGATAGCCTTGAAACGATGTATCCAATATGGTGATTGATCCTTCAATAATTGTACATCCTTTGAATGAATCAATATTGGTAGAATGTACGATATCAACACCAGGACAGTTTTTCGGACATGGTCCATCACATGGTACACATTCTCCATTGACGGATTTTTTGCCCACCGGACAGCTACGCACGCAAGCTCCATTATCTTTAAGTAAATGTTCGGGACAATTTTTGACACATGTTGCACCATAAGCATATTTTCCTTCAGGATTCACCTCCCATGAATAAGTAGCTGGATTGTAACGCATCATTGGTGGACATTCTTGCTTGCAGATACCATCGTCATAGAAATTGCGACAAGCCTTAAACGCGATGAAAATTTTAATTATTATATTGAACAGAAAACGACAATTTGCTATCAAAAACAAAAGTATTAACTTACCAAACAATCACTTTGTTTCGGACCAGTACATCCACCAGCACAGAAAAGATGACAACATTCTCGTGGATTCGATCCAAAACATCTACCTTGATGACATTGTGGTGAACATTTTATTTTCGAAAATTTCTGACAATTTAGTGGTCCTTCACCCCAACATCCTTCGGGACAGCTTTCATGACAACTTGGACCTATTGATAATTGAAAATTTGTCAACAATTTCATTTTAGAGTTTTATTTTTTTTTACAAAATACGTACAGGCACGTTCAGGTTGAGTAAAGTTATACACATAAATAGTTTTGGCACCAGGTCCGCTTAGTATTTCATCCCAATTCAATGTACGAATATGACATAGATTATAATTATTGAAAAATCCAACATTACCAACCAAAATGTCTAAATTTTTTGAAAAAAAATTGTATTGGTATTAGGAAATATTTTAATGAATAAACAGAAAACAAAAAAGAAAGATATAATATTAATATTCTAATTACCTCGTAATGAAGGTGCTTCCAGATTTTCCATTTTACTTAATGTAACCATCAATGCAAATTCTTCATCTCGAACATTTAGTTTAAATAATGATCGACCACGAATAATTTGTAAGTTAGGCAATACAATACGTTTAACATCAACATGTGATATAAGTACATAACCGGTAACTTCACGTATGTATTGTAAAAAACTAAGATCAAGATTTTTATCCTGTAACCATGTTAGCTCAAGATTTCCATCAACATATGTACAATTTGTATAACGATCTCGTAGATTTTGAAAATGATGATCACGATTCGATGGTACCGACATACGGCCATTGGTTCCAATACATACTATAATGATTATTATTAAGAATAAGAATTTCAAAGTGAAAAAATTAATATCATTTTTTTTAAATAAAATTAATTAATCAATTCATTCATAGTGTTTTCCTTTCTTAAAAAGTAAATGATGTTAATTTTAAAAAAATAGTCAGAATGGCAAGTTTAAAACACATCCTTTAAGGGTAAATAATTTATTATGCAACTCAAGAATCAATCCGATTGATTCGCAACCTTTTTTTTACGAAAGCAATAATTGCAAGCTGATTAAATACTTATTGTCATAATAATAACAACAGGTATTCAAATGCAATTGACTTTGAACAACAAAAAAAATTGATCCGATAGTGTGTCTGTATGCTTACAATCATAAATTGTTGGCTTTAATAAGTCAAAAAGTGACTATAGCCAAGAAACAACAACAAAAAAAAAATCTTTAGTTTTTTCCATTATTTTTTTTTGTTTTGTTTTCTACTGATACAAGAACCTAAGTAAGAATAGGAAAATGGTAATCAGTGAAAAAGAAATGGAATCGAATGAATAAATTTTCTTCTACATTGATATAGTCATCGTCACCATACCATCAGTATGTGGTATGACATAAAGATGTGGTCATTTCGACAACAACTCGAAAATGTTTAGCAGGAAAAAAAAGTCGTCGATCGTCATTGTCAAATCAGTGGTATTATAATTTTCGGTGTAAGGGAAAAAAAATGACGACGACGACGAAAACTAAAATCGAATCGAATCGAACCGAAGTGAAAGAAAAAAAAATCTTTTTTCGTGTAATTCGAAAACGTCCAATTTCTTTACGATTGACCATTATCATTATGTGTGTTCGATGATGATGATGACGACAACAGACGAACGAACGAACGAATGAATTGGACAGACAAAGTCAGATCATCATCAAACATGGACAAGTTTGGCAAGATTTTTTTTTTTAGTTTCGAAGATCATTCTTTGTGTGTTTGTGATGTGTATGGAAGCTAAAGATGCATCACTATTTGTTATTATGATTATAAATGCTAAGCAGGCAGAAATTTATTTATTTATTTATTTATTTTTACGTTGCAATAAAAAAAATCATTTTAAAATTTAATGATAAAATGGATTTGAGAAAAACACACACACAGAGACATGTATAGTAATGTGACAAACGAAAGTAATTCTCGAATGGATCGCTTAAGTAAGAGATCGATTGATATGTGACTGGAATTTGTTTTTTTTGTTGTTTGAATTGAAATTTTTTATTTTCCAGAACCAAGATTAACACAGTGCTTGACAAGACGGGAGAGAGAAAGAGAGGGAAAAACAATTTTTCAAAAAAATAATAAAATTTATTTTCAATTTATCAGCTTTAACGAAATTTGAGATCGATCATCATCATCGGATTTAAGCAGATAACACACACACATACAAAACATATGGAGATCTGAATTTCTGAACACTGTAAAAGAATTCAACAAGACAAACAAAACTAACTTTTTCCTTTAACAGGTGCTGGTTGACGATTATTATAATCATTGGAACCATCTCTGACCAGAATACAGCTCACTAGATTATTATTTTGTATATTGTTGTTTATAATAATAATAATGATAGCTATAAAAAATATGGCTATCTTATGATAATAATGATGATGATGTGAATATTGATGAAGAGAATGACTTATTATTGATGGTTGATGTTGATGTATTATTGACCTCGTCGTTAAATTATTTGTTGAAAAAAATTGACATTGAAATTTTGGCCATAACGATGAATACAACATTGATGATATTAAATGTTGTCGTTGTTTATGTTGATGATAATAATGATTGTTTTTGTTGAAACATGAACGCCTTTGATCATCAACATCATCACAATCATTATTATTATTATTATTAAAATTCGGAATAAAACTAGGACCACTAATTATGTCACTAGTAGAGATGGATTGATCATGTTCATCATCAGGTAAATTTTTTTGATGATGATGATGATGATGAAAATGATTATGATCCATGTGTAATATTGTTTTATTGTTCTGTTCATCACAAATATTTGAAAAAGAATTGTTGGCGGTGGTGGTGGTGGTGATCATTTTCATCAATGATTGTAATCATTATGAAATCAAACAAAATAATATTAATCGAAATTATTGCAAATGGATTGATTGATTGATCGATGGATGATTATCAATAGAATATCACAGATTTTTCAATAAGGCCATCATCATTCAAAACACAAACAAACAAATGTTTTTTCTTTAAGAAATTTGTCACCGTTTAAATTTGACACCAAAAAATGAAACCAAATTCGTAAATTAAAAAAACTAAGCAGAAAAAAATGGCCAACATCCAAGAACAAAAAACAAACGAAGAAAAAAAATCAATCAATTGTTATCGAATTGTGCATCGAACACACACATATTAAACATTTTGAAAAAGGAAAAAAATTTTATTTTTAGCCGGATGGCCAAAAGTCTTGTGCATTCCAAACAAAGTCAGGATACCAACTAAACATGATGAAGTAAAGAAGAAGACGAAAAAAACGTGAGCTTATTATCGTTGCGCGCCGTAAACATTTTATTTTATTTTTATTTTTATTTTTTCATTTCTCAATGCTCCTAGGCAAATCGACGACCAGGCTGGCTGGATTGAATGGCTATGGGCTTATTTTGATGAAGAACATTGTCCAAAATAAAACCACCACACAACCACCATCATCAAAAACCATCAAAAAAGTTAGAATCACCACTTGTTGCATGCGCGCGCAATATATTGAATAAACCAATCAACCAACCAACGATAATCAAACTTAGACAACCAAGTCAAACTTAAACTAAACCAAACCAAACCAAACAAACAAAACTAAAAAGAAAAAGAAAAATCAAACCAACGACCGAAACCATGGAGAAATGAGGACCGATTTCATCAAACAACAACAACAACATATGAATGAATGAATGGCGTGCTGAGATTGAACAAGTTTGACTACTCACCTGCACATTTTGAAAAAGAAGAAGAAAAAACTAACTATTACCTATACCGATTTTTTTCGATAAATACCTGTTGCTGTTTCAAATATCTTATAAGCAGAATAGAAATTTTCAAATACATTTTGCCGAGTTCAAACTGATGGTGATGGTTGGTTGTTTGTGGTATTTTTTTTTACCATTCGGTTGTTGGTTGGTTGGCCCTACACTGCTTGTAATACATGACGGTAAAACTTGTACATTTTTTCAATTGATCGTCTTTAGAAACGAAAATGAACCCCCTCTCTAGAATAGGTATACCTTTTTTTTCATCATTTTCTTTTTCTTCGTCTTCTACTTTTCAACATCAATACACAGTGAGAAAATATAATCAAATGAAACAATCTTTTTTTCTCCTGATTGCTGTGTTGTGTGTGTGTGTATGTGATCTGAAAAAACATGGTCTGGCTATTTTGCCAATGGTATTTTAATAAAATAAATACGAAGACATTATAAATACAGTTTTTTTTATTTGGTTAGATAAAACGAAAACAACAACTGCAAACATTGAGACCCAAAATAAAATTGTCCAAACAAGAAGAAGAAAAAAAAGTCACATATAAACAGATTGAAAAAAGCCTTCATCACTACAAATTTTTCTTTTTTTTAGTTATATCAAGCTCCAATTCCCAATACGATAGCAACAACAACAAGGCCTATTAGTTCAAAACAGGCAAAAAAGGGCCCAGATTTGTGTTTACTTGACTGAGAAAAATACCCGACAATACGGTACATTAATACAATAAACACAAATCTAATGGCGGCGACCCAAGAAATCATAAACTTTTTTTTTGTTTTGCTGTACCAAGGGAACAGTTATATAGCATGGTGAAACAAATATGACATTGATTTTTGAGTCTAAATTTCTTTTCTTTCATTCTTTTTTGTTTTTTAAGCAATGTAATACCAAAGAAAAGAAAAAAATAACAAATTGACCACTATATAGATCAACAAGTGATGATCAAAGTTCGTCAAATTTGTGGAACCAACAATTCTGACCTAGTCCACCAGTTTTTTATTTCAAAAAAAAAATCTTAACTTGTTGCGGTTCAAGCAATGTTTTTAGTCCAGATAGAAAAAAAAGTTAAAAAAATATGAAAAAATTGAGTGTGAAAACCCGAATCGACAATAATAACGATGGAAACAAAAATGAAACGGCAGCATATAAATTGTGACACCCAGCGCGCGAAAGAAGCGCTGAGAAACAACAACAACAATCAAAGTTAGAACAACAACCAAAATTATATGTATCGGCCATGGCCAATAGACACGATTTGATCAGAGTATTTTTTTTTCTTCTTCATCGTCTTTTACATATATTGCTCTAATTCACTTTCTCAATTCGATTCTTTTTTTCAATGTTGTTTTGTTTTACCTGGACAGTCAAGTCAAGTTTTTTTTTTGATTCGCCCAAACACCTTATTTTTTTCCCGAAAGAAAATACCATAAATAGAGACTGAATGAAAAGAAAACATGGAATACCTGTCGCGCGACCAAGTTTTAGTGAGGAATTTTCCAATTTTTTTTAACTTTTTTAAATTTTTTTTTTTTTGATTCTCAAGCTATCTTTTCACCATCTCATACATAGCTATTTTTTTGAGAAAAGATATTCTACATTATAATTATTGATATGATATACATATTTTTTTTCGTTTTGCTACATAGCAAGACTAAATTATATCACACAAAATAGTCACATAGGTTTAGTTTTATTTTGCATATTTTTTTGTTGTTGTTGTGTTGGTTTGAATTTATTTCCACTTGATTTGTTCTCATGAATCTTAGATATTATTAAACCAAGCGAGAAAAAAACAACCAATAACATCTTATTTGACAAAAAAATTCTCGGATTCATATTCATATTTATTGGTTGTTAGAAATTTCTTTTAGTTTTTAAACGTTTTGGGAAATATCCGGAAAGATAAAAGATGATGGCTAATTTTGTTATGTCTATCTATTATTATTGAGTGTTGATAAAAGTTAATTATATTAA